GCTCTCTGGGATACCATCGTTCGCCAACGTCAGGGTGACTCTTGATCCTGTTCATCAGCGTTGCCTCGCCGAGATGTCCCCATCTGCCTTTGACAAACGTAAACTCGACGTCGTCTTTGCGCTGCTTCCTCGCCTGGTCCCTGAGCTTTAGTACTTCTTCAGGGACGTCCATGGCTTCGAATTGGGCGTCGTAGCTCACGCCTTGGAAGAAGGGCACGGAGTAGCGCGCGCCTTCGCCTTTGCGTGGACTGAGGACACGATGCGTGGTTGATGCGCAGACACCATCTGTGAGAGCCTCCATACCTTGGCCGATTGCCACGACAAGAGTGCCAGGTATCGGCTTGCAGTCTATCCATTCACCCTTTGCGTTTTGCGCTTGCAGACCAAGTTGATTGGAAGCTTGCAACAAGTAGCTCGTCAGCATACTATCTTTGTGCGGACCTACGCCCTGGCGCTTGATCTCCCACTTCTTGCGATCCATCTCGCTCGCTTCAGCTGGCAGATCTGGTACATCGACCTCCGGGTACTTGACTATCTTGAGCTTGTGCTGCTGGTCGCGATCGAAGAATTTCTCAAATGCAGTAGAGGGAAGTCCAATAGCTTCTGCTATCAACGATGTGAAGAGCGTGGAAATGTGCGACATGCGACGTATGTAGTCCTCATACACTGGTCGAAAAGACGGTAGATACTCTGGCGAAGGCCATTGGTTTGGTGCGAGAAGATTGTGGTACAGTGGGGCGTCGAGTCCTGGTATGGGGTGTGGAGTCGAAAGATCGAGCTGTTCTCTGTGGTCTGGATTGAATGCCGTGGTCTCGTTGTCGAGCTACGAACGAATGTTGTCAGCATGCATTACGACGAGTCGGAACAAAAAAGAAAAGTGTTTTTTTCAAAGCAAGAGGAAGAGAAGGACAGGTAATGGCAGGGGAGAGCGAGCGCAAGTTTACGGCCTTCGAGTACATATTGTTGGCGTCGTGTATTTGGGATATACCCGGGTGATTTTGATCTTTTGCCACTGGCGTTACTTTGAGGGCATTGGAGGTTTATTGTGCATACGCGTTACGGGATTACGGCCGGTTCTTATTCGTCGCTTTCCTGCTTCTTCCGTTCTTGTATCATAGTTTCATAGACCGATTTCCTTTTATACCATGCATAGCGTAGCATAGCGATAGCTTCTAATAAGACCATCGTCATATCTGCACATTACGGCCTTCTTCTGCACATCTATCGCCCAGGACTTGAAACATGAACAAACTCGAATGAATCACAAACTCACCCTACTCCAGCCCAAGAAACTCTTCTCATTCTTCATTTCGATTCTCTCCTTCTCTTCTGTCGGCAATTCCTCAAAGAATCGCCCGCACTCCTTGATCACATCTTGAATCAACTGCCCAGGCAGACCCGTATCGCTTAGGTACAAGAACCCCACGTTCAATAAAGCGGAGCGCAAGTCTTCTAAAAACCGAGGTTTCGTAGCGGGGTCCAGAGCTGCACTGAGCGGGAGTATGGGTAGGGTCGTGAAGGTCTGTGGGACATCTGCCATGTTTGCGGTGTATGTTGAGAGACCAGTCGAAGCGGCGATGCGTGCCACCGATATGTGACAGTGCCTCTGATAAAGCGCAGTGTTGCTGATGATGTTGTTGTCTGTGGGATGTAAATCGCGGCCCCGTTCCGTTGTCGCTCTCCTGCCTTGTGGTCTATCGAACTACCCCGCCTCACACCATACAGCGGGGCAATCACACCAAACAACTCCTGTCTTTCTGACTGGTCGCGGGAACTGGTTCCCTGTAGCGGCCAAAACTACTTGCTTCACTTCCCGCCTCCATGTTTGTTCGGCAGAAGAGAGTGTAAAGACGTGTGCGCCCTAGTACCGAGCCATCCATTTGAACGCCAGACCAACAGCTGTGAGCTTCAAGCCACCGATGACGAGGATACTGAGGGCTTCGAAGATCATGACTGTAATTTGAAGTGGATCTTTGTCTCGAAGAGGAATGTGTGGATGTGGAAGAAGTGTTGCGATTGGTAGAAAGTAGGTATTCTTGTTTCTTCGAGGTAACTTGATACGGGGTAAGGAAAAGGAAACAACACGATGTTTGCTTCTCTTATATACAAACTGACATCCACTTCCCGAACAACGGCGCGCCCTGTCGCCTCGTGCCCACACGCCTCACACACGGAGCTGAAATAAGAAACCTGAACCCGTTTGTTTTCGCTGCCGTCCGTTGGGCAGCGGGATGACTTGCTTGCTGGCTTGCTGGATGAGTAGCTCGCTTTTGCTCCACTCGACCGTGGTTTCCCCAGTTATCTACAACGATCGAGGCATCGCATCGCAGCCCGCCGTAGAGAAGCATCTCCACAAAAACACTTTCGGCGTAACGGCCGGCGTTGTTCGACCACCAATTACCCTCCACGTGCTCATTCATCTATCATCATATGCAACCCTCAGCATCACGCGATGATATCCGCGGAACAGAACCATCGCATACAGCGCTTGTCGAACTTCACCTACACGTACGATGCTTACTCGACTGTTCGATCGTGGACTGCACTCGTTGGGCAGGGCAGCATATGTACGTGTGACGAATGTCGCATGCGCGGTGCGGCGATATGCACGATCAGCGGTGGAAAAATGAGGCTGGTATGCAGGTGTAGCGAAGGCGGTTAGAGGGTCATGTGCTACGTAGTGTGTACGACGACGACGACGACGACGACGACGACAGCGACTACGGGTGATATCGCGTGTGCGATAACTGTCGGATGTAGGGCCGGGTGGAAGCTGCGATTGTGCTTTTGTATGCTTTTCTCAGTAGTCCTATCCGTTGTGCATACGTTTGGTACATATCGGTGTTCCTGATGTAGGTAGTACAGTAAAGTGGGTATCCGCGGCTGCTGTTTATCGGTCTGCAAGGGAAGGCAGCCTCCACGAGCAACGTTGAAGTCACAGCAGGATCCAGGATGGCGGATACGGGATACGAGAAAACCAATATTGTGTAGCACACCTTCATACAAAGAGGAAAGAAAAACAACGTTGTGCCAACCGGCCGCCTTCCAGCTCTATACTTCTTTCTTCCCTCATGTTTAGGCTACCTACCCGGCCTGTACTGTCCGCAACCACGAAATAACAATTTCAATACGCTCACACCCACCGTTCCGTCTTCCCCCGCCCGCCACATACGCCATACGCAACCACCAGCACACACTCATGGAAAAAAGGAGCAATCAAGAGAAAACAAAACAGTCGCAGCATAGCCTACGTCACCCCAGCCTTTGCAATTTCAACGATCGGTCAACCATCCCACTCTCATGTCCATCCTAACCCACATATGCCTACAGCCCCGAACCGTCGCCAAGACAACGCGCATTACCGTTACTTTGCCCACACGACCTAGAATACATGTGTCGCAGATCATTCAACGGCATTGCATCGGAGAATTAGCATCTCGAACGCCCCAAATTACCCCTACAAACCCGGCTGGGCAATATGCATGTCAGTGAGTACGTTTAAGAGGAGTTGAGTCAAGGTAAGCGGGTCGAGGGGAGCACGGACTCTATATAATTTGAAACATAACACTGCAGGTGTTGATAGGCACGTGTGAGTCGCATCTCTTCGGCAGCCGAACATCATATAGCATATCCAGCGTATCATATAGACAACGGTGAGTTTCCCGTGCAGACTGCCGACTCAGTGAATGCGGTAGATCATGACACTCGCGCCGTTACCCCCTAGAGAAGTGGACAGCGAGCAATACGACTCAGACGCCTACAGCTACTTACCGTGTTCGATAATTCTGATATCAAACCGTCAAGTAATATGTGTATCATACTAGCTGCCATCACATCATAATCCACCGGAATACAAGTGATGTGCAGCGTCGTGATCACCGCCCACCAACCATCGACACGACAGCCTCTGTTCACTATGATCAAAAGGCGATAGACCACCGAGATATAACTAATATGATGCGTTATGATCGCCACGCCCCCCATCTGCCACCCCATCTGCCACCCCATCTGCCTATACTATACTATCCCCTCCAACCCATCACTTCGGCATCTTCCGATCGCATATACAACTTTCTACCCGCCATATAGGCAACAACAGCCCACATTTGACACATGGTGACTCGCAGAATAAATAGTTCAAACGATCATATACAGCATCCCGACGGGATCATCCGCTTATATTCGCTATCCCCAAGCCTTAACAGCGCGCCTCCTCCCTCCTCCCTCCCCACTTACCAATACCCTCCCTTACTATAGACAACAGTACAGTACTCGCCCCGGCCCCCTTCGTTACAGTCATGCCCGCCCATGTCCACGCTGTTGTTTTTTTTCTTCTCAAGAGGGGGGAGGGGGAAGGAGCTTTACCAGACCTGGACTACTTTGCTCAATTGGAGACCACATACTTGCCGACACGCTTCTTCCCCATGCTTTCTCCTTTTCCAAAACTGCTTTGACCCTTTCATCGCCCTTCCGTGCCTAGGTTTTTACCGGGAAACGCCGGAACACATGCTTCCCGCGGGCGTCCAGGAGAAGTCAGAGTTGACTTTCGTAAAAAAGGCGCTTTGACGCTGTTGAGAACGAGATTCGCCGTCTTAGTTGTTTGAGGCGTTGAAGCTACTTCCCGTCTTTTGAATTGATATTAGTGATTAGTCTTGACGGGCTGACGGTTCGTTCGCGTCTTTTTTTTTTCTTCAGCCGAGGTTGCCGCTGGTGTAACAATGTAATTTCGACTCGAGAACTCGGAGGGTTTCTCGGCGCGGGACAGCAATGGAGCGAGTCGTGAGAGAGTTAGTCGGAATGGAGGAGGAGGAGAAGAAGCGGGAGAGAATGACATGGTTTTGCAAACAATTGTCATTGGAAGTGTACATCGCTAGAAACAGTCGATAGCGCACGACGGACTAGGAAAGAAAAGTACCACTGCATGCTCTACACGCGCGATGCCAGTCGCCCCGTATCATGATCTCATACCTCATACCATCATAAAGCCATGAAATCAGACCCTACCTCTTCTCCTGCGGGTAGTATGCCGGCTGTCCCTCGAGGCTCTCACCAACACCCGTCCGATAGCTAGGCGGCGGGCCTCCAAAGCTCACCTGACCACCAGGCGCTGCGCTACCACTCTGGTTGGGAGGAGCATTATTGTTGGATGCGCCCATGCCCAAGTCGCCTGGCGTGACAGTACCGCCATCGCCTCCACCAACAAGAACAGTCTGCTCATTGCCCTTCTTATCCTTGACTTTACCAACAACCATGCCCTTGGCTACAGACTTGATAATGGCTTTCCTGCTCACGCCAGTTACATCAATGTACACCAGGCCGACGTTCTTGACGCCGCCAGCGAGGTTGGTCGTGATTTGTCCTGCTTCGGCGCCGTATTTGTGACCGACAGCTGCAGAGGCGGCTGCACCACTGCTTGTCAAGAGTTGCTTGCCAGAGTGCGAGATGCCGTCTGCGACTGTGGAGAAGGCGATCAAGCTCTTGTTCAGCAGTCCGGGTTTGTAGTTTGTGTTTGGTGTGCCATCTGGGTTCACGCTCTTGGCGTGTGTCTTCTTGTGGCCTGCCATTCCTGCCGCAGCGTTCTGAGCGTACTTTGTGAGCTGGCCTACAGTCTTGGCCGAGTAGCCAGCGACACCGGTTGTAAGGGTGTTGATCTTGCGGACGCGCTCGTGGGTCGCGGGCTTGAAGACCATGGGCTTCTCGTTGGGCTTGGTCTTGCTGATAAAGTTCTCCGCACCAGACACCATCATGTTACTGATGTAGCTGGAGCCGGTGACGACGAGGCGAGATGCGGCGGCGGCATTCTGTACAAGGCCGGAGTCTTTGTAGGCGGGATGGCGGGCCATTTCGAGGTAGTCTTCTTCGAGCGGGCGGATGTCGATGCGCTTGCCGTCTGGGGAGACGACGATTTCAACGGGATCTTTACCTGTGTTAGCATGAGCGATATGCGTACGCGCAAAAAGGGTTCAAACAACATACTCTTGGAGCCCTGCTTCAGTGCTGGGTCGGCGTGGATCATGGCACCCTCAGCCAGCTCACCGACGACGCTACCATTCTCCTCGTCGACCAGAACGACCTCGCCATTGTTGCCGCTGCCTACGTAACCCTCGCCTGGTCGGTAGTCCTGGGGGTTGTATGCCTTGACGTCACCCTTGCCCTTCTCGTGCTGAGGAGCTTGCGCACGCTCGAGGAAGGCTGTGCACTGCGCCAAGATAGTCTCGAAGGTGTCGACGTCCTCCTGCGTGACCGAAGTCGAGCCCTTGCCAATTGGCGGGAACTCAATGCGTGTGAAGGCGCCGCTCTCTGGGCCCAAGTCCCATCGCGGTATCAGGTAGCTGCGCGGCGGTTGGTGGTAGATCTGCGTCGTCGCGGGGAGTGGGAGGTCGAGCTCAGGAGGCAGGTTCAAGTGGAGGTAGAAGTCTTCTTCAGGCGCTTCGTTCTGGCCGCGCGTGTTGCTGAGATCTGCAAAGGGCGAGTTGGTAGGGACCATCAGCAGCGAGAGCGTCTGCGGCCCTGAGGGTGTGAGGGGGCTCTCTTCTCCCTGCTGGATGTGGTAGGCCTTGATGCCTCCGACCGTGTAGAGCAATCGAGGATCTCCATGGCCGCTCATGCTTGCGATATGTGTCTCGCGGGGTATCGAGCTTGGTTGGTGGGTGGGAACAAAGACAGAGGAGCAATTAGGCGTCTCTCGAGGGGTATAAGCAGGAGGGGGTATCTTCTATTTTGGTGTGCGAGTGCAGAAGCAGCAACCTTTTTATGGAATGCAAGCGACAGGGAGTCGACTGTCCATCTGCAACCTGCTCGAGTTTCGGCGCTTGCAGGTTACGTCAGAATGCCTGTCGCATAGCCCACGGAGAGCTCTAGAGCATGGCGAATCATCGGACATGTGGCTGTGCAACTGCGCCACCCAGAATCAAATCTACATTGCGCGTGTGAAGATACATACGGTCGTTTCTCCGCTTTCGCGCCATTCGCGTACCATCTTTGCCCCTTCACATGCTAGTCGCTTGAGATGTGCAAACGACGCTGGCCTCGTGCTGAAGATCTGGTGCTTGTATGCGCCTCCGAACGCGTCATCCGAGGTCTTGTCGTGGGTTTGGCACTTCTTCTCGATAATCTCATGGATCTATCGCGTAGTGTTTGGTGAAGCTAATATTCTTTCTACAACGACGGCGTCAGCAGCTTTCGTCATCTAGCTATTGCGGTTAGCTCCACCTAGCTTCCGCTTTGTATCCTCACACCTATCTCGTGGAGCTCCAACTTCTGCTTTACTTTCGTCGCGCTTTACGCCCTAGATCACATATTGGGAATGCGTTTGTAAGGCACTTTATAGGCACGATGCTGGACAAACACGAAGATCTGTTGCCCAAAGAGATTTATTGGCTGCTTCAAGAGGCAGAGAGCTGTATTCAGCAACCACAGGATGCATCGCTTGCGACGGCAAATTGCGCGACATCGGCAACATTGCTATAGTTCGCGTATGTGACAGCGAGAGGCTATAGGAGAAACGATGCTGTGAGTAAGTTTTCCTGTGAAGTCGCTCGAGGATCGGCTCACTTGCGTGATGGTGGACTTGAGCTTCAGTCACACTATAGGGACCGAGTGCTGGTTATCATTCACAATCTCGGGAGCGGATTCACACACACTCTCTCTCAGTCCGTGCGCTCGTTCCTGCCTATATAGTATATCAAGCCTCACCTACCAACTTTCCATTGCCGCTCAACCCACCGATCGTACTTTCAACACTGCAATCAATCGATCAATTTCAAAGCTATGCACACTCAAGCTAGACCCTCTCCTACTCACCCATTCGAGGTGTCGTTTCTCACTACGCTACCCTCGGAGATTCGTAATCGGGTGTACGGATGCCTGTTCAAACGCGAAGATTCAGTTCTACTTCATAATGCAGATGCTTTTCATCTGCCATGTCGGGACCTGGAGAATTACTACCTTGGCCTACAGCAATACTATGACACATATGAGGCTGAAATTGGAACTGACGAAGAGTTTCGGCCTGACTTGCACCAGGGACTCGGCCTCTTGTTATCCTGCCGCCAAGTATATCAGGAAGCCTCTGGGATCATGTATGGCGGAAACACGTTTGTCTTCTCCAGGATTTTAACACGTCACACCAACATCGGCACGAATCACAAGCACCAGGAATATCTCCAAATCAACTACGCTGGTCAATGGCTGACAAATATTGGACCGCAAATCTTCCGTCTCACGAAAGTTGTCATTGATGTCGACGCCATGTGTGCGTGGTACGGATGCCACGGTGATCACGAGCTGGTTGATTTGCTACCTATATTACGTATCGTATGGGAACATCCCGATCTCAGCAAGGTCATCAAATTCGAGAACACTGGCAGAACGCTGGACGGTCAGGAGATTCTCAGGGCGGCGGCCACTGACGGAGCGATTCTACTCAACAACTTGCTTGCAACTCTTGCCGTACAAGACGTTCTCGACCTCCGAAAGTATTGTTTTTCCCGTCGCCTCATGCATTCGGTCGACGTTGAGTTGAGTTCGGATCGAGTGGGACAGGGTTGTATACGTATGAACCTTGGAGGAGGGGTACTCTGGCCGTTCCGTGCATCAGATGAAGGCAGAACAGTCCAATGGAAGGCGCAGAAGAAGCGCCACTCGTTCGAAATTCTACCAGAAGACGTGCGAGAGCGCATCGCAGGATTGCTGATGCATAACCCAGATGGAATTACCATTAACTTGACTACGCACACTATGCATGGTTTCGACTTCGGTCTCTCCCAGACACGCTTGCTCGACATGTACAATCTAGCGAGACTTGCAACACGCTTGAACAACATCACATTGAAGCTGACTAGCGATCAAGCTATCACAGATTTTGGAAAATTCAGGAAGGTGAATGATTTCATGATCAGGCGTGGCAGTGGTTATATCTATGCAATGGCCGAGGACTTCAGAAAACACAACGCACAAACCATCATGCTGGAGATCGCGCCTGCTGAGGTGATTGCTCTCTCGGCTGTCCGAGTCAATATCAATCACTTGATGCATTATTTAACCTATCCACACTTCCATCCTGAATCCATCATCCGTTTGATGCTCACTCCGCCTCCAAGTACCTGCGCACACCAACAAATCACTACAATCTCGATGAAAAAGCTACAACGACAACTCTTCCTCCTCCTCTCCGATGTCATACAAGAGACAATCGAAGAGCATACCGAGTCACTGAAAACGAGCACAAACTTCGCCCCAGCTCTTTCCAATCAGATGAATTCTTATTGCGACTTCTGGATCGACGGGTACGGCAAGCTTCTCCACGCTGTCTTTGAAGAAGACAAGACCACGATAAACTTCAGATATGGCAAGCTCAGCATGAAGGAGTTAGGGGTTCTGGGGTACAGTAGGGCTGCTGGTCTGGAATCGGTGGTTGAAGCGTATATGTTAGAGAGCGAAATGGAAGATACTGATTTCTATTATCAAAAGGTTATACTTCGTTGGGGACGGCTGAGGTGGCAGTTATATGGTGATTGGAAGGCACCAGCACCGCCGGGTTTGAGAAAGTTGGCGCCGTAATCTTAGATGATTGCCCTCAAGATAATAATTGCGACAGGGATTCGGGGTTAGACAGTGTGTTTGCTCTTTAAGCAGGATCAAGTACAAGAGTGCAGATGCCAGATGTAATGAGTCGACTGCAAGACAAGAGGAAGTAAGCGTGGAAGAGGTAATCCGACATGCATTCTCCGTCGCCTTCTATTGTTAGGAGAACGCTTTGCAACGTTTCGGTAAACATTTGTGGTTGGTTCGTACTCCGTGGGGGCGAGAATACACAGCGAATGAGAGCTTCTAACTTTGCTTTTCTGAAAGTGGTGTAACTCAGCCGTCCTGTAGTTCAGCCTTCCTGCAGCTCAGCTTCCTGCACTCCAGCTTTCAAAACATGTGAGACAACGTCAGCTCACATAGTGTTTTTGCAGTAGATCAATGGTTTCCCCGCAGCTTTTTGAATGCGCCTTCCGTCCATATCTCATCTGACCCCACTTCTTACCTACCTAATTCCTCTGCCTATCCACATCATGCGGTCTTACCATATATTCCGTAGCTGGGCCCTGGAAACTCTTACTGTTGCTCTTGCAATTGTCCTCATAGCCTCGATTTCGGGCGTTTTAGCATTCTACAATGGCAAGCCGGTACCGAACTGGGGTAACAACTTAAACCTCAACGCTCTTCTTGCGCTTCTGTCAACGATCCTTCGAGCTCTACTTGTGATTATTGTCGCTCAAATAATATCGCAAAGGAAATGGGACTGGTACAGCGTCAAAGAACCCAGACCATTAGCGGATCTACAGCAATTCGATTACGGTAGCCGAGGAGCATATGGCGCGATGCTTCTAGTACCGACTGTTTTGTCCAAGGACCATATAACACTTACGGCGGCACTTGTATTACTTACGTCATTCTTGGTGGGGCCTTGCGTTCAGCAGGCCAGCGGCATAGCACCATGCTCGCTCCCTAGCTCGAACATCAGCGCGTCGCTTCCTTTCGCGCATTGGGTACCAGGAGGTGGAACAGACTTCCCGGAAACAAGCATCCCTCAGCCAGAAATTATTGCCGCAATCATATCGAGTGTCGTATCACCCAACGGAATCGAGAACCAGGTCAACATGACATGTCCCACGGGAAATTGTACTTTCGGTAATCTGATTTCTGGACGCTCTCAGGACAGAACCTTCAACGACGATAACCGTACTGCACATTCGACTGTTGGAATGTGCAACATATGTACCGATGTGGCGTCCCTCATGACTCAAGCAGAAACACCGACTTCAGACAATCCTTGGTTGAAATACCTTACATTACCTAACGGGTTCAACTTCTCAATAGACTCTCCCAAATCTTCTGTGGCTATGATGAGACCAACCCCAGACCTTATTTGGATGCAACACTTACTAACAGACAGCGCCAGAGAGGCATCCAGATGGGCATATGTCAACGCAACCCTCGTGACTTCCGTCAGTAACCCCAACACTGCGTCTGTTTGCAGTCTATACCCGTGCATGCGTACGTACACTAGCATAATTAAAGACAACCAGTTGCACGAGGAAGAAACGCAGTCTGAGATAATGCGCATCGATTCAGCTAGTCGCAGTGCATACTTGGATGAGAACACAACTGCTCATTTCAACTTTGAGGAGAATCTCGAAATCTTCAACGCTCATTCGAACAACGAATCCGGCTATGCATCAATAAAGGCGCCCTGCCGAGTAGGCGAACATACCTTCCACATGGAGGATCAATTGCCTGAGGATATTAAGACAACGAATCTATCTCTACTTGACTTCGGTAAAGGGAACACTACCTCTTTCAACGTCACTTGGCCCAACCAGTGCATCTATCGGCAAGATGCGAAGTTTGTTAAAGCGATCGCCACAGTGATGAACGGTGATATCTTCGACGGTTACTGCGACGAATTTCGGATTTGCATGAAAAACGAGGTTTCTCAGGGAGAGAACTACGACTCTTACATGTCTAATGTAGGTGTGGGTTCAATACTCCGATCGCTAGTTTCGAATGAAACAACTCATAAAACGGTCACGAAAATCTTCGATTCTATCGCAAATGCCATGACCAACAGATTTCGATTTCAATACGGCAGCACGACCCCAGCAGGTACCACAATTGAGTCCTCAATCTCAGACTTAGTCCAGGGGATAGCATGGGAAACGAAAATCTGCGTTTCGATGCGTACAGAGTGGCTCCTTCTTCCCATCGGCCTCACCTTCGTCACATTCATCCTTTCCATGTGGACGATCATCACAAATTGGCAACATCGGCACAGCATACCGATTTGGAAAGAAAGCATCCTGCCACTACTTTTTTACGGCCAGGATATCGCGCCACGAGATGCTAAAGCTTTGCCGATACAGCCTTCTGACAAAGATACGGGTGGCGATCAGGTGGAAGGGCTGATGGAAGCAAGTACGATGGCGGCTGCTAGCCGTAAGATCATGGTGAGTTTCCGGTTTGATGGCGAAAAGACGCACGATACGGATGATCAGGTAATGAGTTCAACTGTGTCGTTGCTAGATCAAGACATCACTCCGCTAAGGAGACAAGATAGTCGGGTCAGTTCTATGGTGGAATCTTGATGCTCATCATGATAGTAGCATAAAGCCTAAATAAGATACCCGTAAGGTAACATACAAATCTCAATACACGACGGCGCAAAGGCATCAAGTATGCGTACGATATCATTGGCAATATACAACCGCATCTCCAAGGCCACCCTAGAAGACCAAGCGTAAGATCTTGCGAGGATATAAGCTGGTCTTTCTTAGCTTTCAACTCCTCAACATCCCAGTTCGACCAGACAAACTCTCCCTTCAAGAATTCTGCCTCAGGGCTGACAATCCAAACTGCAAATGACGCTGGTAGTTCGACTGCATCATATGTTAGCACAGGTTCGGCTTCACTCCAAAACAAAAAAACAAAAAACAGATTGGTGTAAGGTAGTTCTACAAGTAAGCGGAGCTAGTTGGCCTTAACTCCAGAAGCATTGGGCGGAAGTTTAGTCGTTTCTAATTGCCGTTCAATCGCCGTGCTACGTCGACCAGCAAAGAGAATTTTGCTTGCTCGAATGTAGATCGAAACCAAGCCACCCAAACATCGTTTCAGGGGGCAAGTCGTGTGTCATAGTCAATCCATAGACCATGGAAGGAGCAGAATAGAGTATGCAGGGCACGAAATCGCTAGTGAAGAATGCAATGCTTCTAGAAACTAAGAACACTAGGGATCAAGATGGCAATGCTGGCTTTACAAAGGTAGACCGGACAGACTGTAAGGCAAAGTCTTGACTTGCACAACGGCGATACTTCGATCCTAAGACCGGGTGACTTTGAGAGGTGCTATGCTATGCTAGCTAGCTGCTTGAAATGTCGCACGATGCCCAGGTGAGTGCTGGAAGCTCTGGCCTGTCGTCATTGGTCATCGAAGATACGCCAAGATCTATCCCCACAGCGGATGGCCAAGAATTATCCACTTGGGCTTGCCGGATGCCCAGGATACCAAACAACTAGCCATAATAGTGTTCGCTTGCATAACATTTGTCCTTGTGAGAACCGCTCTCGCTCTCGCTCTCGTTCGCGTCAACCAATGACCGTCGCCCTACAAAGTTCACAACTCCGGCGGACCCAAAGACCCATATCCATTCTCATATAGTCTCGGCAGCAGTGGATAGCTTGCTCAAAGCGATCGGCTTGCCCGTGCAGTCGGTGGTAAAAAAAAAAAAGCTATCACCTTGACCGTACACTCTAACTCCGAGCGGACTTTAGGTGTCCCCGAAGCTGGAAAGAAATTCGAATGTGATTCTACTGCAACATGGGCCTGCCAGATGTTACTTAGGTACGTATCGCGGAACGTTCAGAACCATTGATATACATGCACGCATCTGCTCATTCTCAGAAAATTCCGAACTCGCAATTATCTTCCTTCACGTCTGCACAGCTATGTTATCGCAAAGTCTGGCTTTTTTACTCTTTGGAGGAACATTCGTAACGTGTTTATCAACAGACAAGTTTGACACCCAACCAAACTTCGATGTTGCACTCGTTGACGTTGTCCCGACTGTTCCTACGTTCGAAAACCTTGCGATCCGAAAAACTGGCGAAGTCCTTGTCACTTCTGTTGCCTCTTCCTTATTATACCAAATTTCGCCCAATGCTAGCTACTTGCCTGTACTTGTTGCCGAAATACCCAATTTTACGGGTATACTAGGTATCGCCGAGCTACAGACGGATTTGTTTTACGTTGTTTCCTCCAACCTGACTGGAACCGCCTGTTCGAACGCGGTCTGGGAGATCGACCTACGCAACTCTACCGTTACACCTTCTGGAGAAGCCTCTCACCAGGTAAAAGCATCTCTGATCAAGGAGTTTTGTACGGCACGACAACTAAACGGCTTGACTACTTTGTCCACGAACGATACATCCAACCTTTTGATCTCCGACTCGGCGAACGGTACGGTGTACAAGCTGGACGTCAAAACCGGAGACTACAACATCGTCTTGGAAGAGCCAGAGTTTGATCCCCTTGATACGGGTATAAGTGTTGGCATCAACGGCATTCACGTTTACGATGAAGCACTATACTTCACAAGCCTAGACCAAGGGTTGTTTGCTAGGATTCCGATATCTCTTGAAACTGGCTGTGCTACTGGCGCGGTCGAGATCCTTGCGACAAACATCACCTACGGCGACGATTTTGCGATCTCTCCTCAGGGTTCGCACGCTTGGATAGCTACAAACGGTCCTAACGAGATCGTCGAGGTCGACATTGCGAACAAAACCCAGCGTATAGCGGCCAGTTCTCCTTTCCTAGGATCTGCATCGTCGGTAGCATTTGGCTATTGGCAGTCAGAGAGGATTCTATATGTAACTGGTGGATTGGCTGTTGGAATATCTTCTAACAACACTCGAGGTCATCTCGCCGCCGTTAGGTTAGACTGAGATTAAGTTTGAAACTACCGTTATTAGAAGCTGAAGTCGAGGTTCGGTTCCCTTAATTTGGGGCCGCCAGGTAGGCATTAGCTACGTAAGAGTATCACAGACTTTGTATAGACTGTATGGGGTATATTTTGAGAACAGGGATAGCTGTTGCTGCAGGATCCTGCCAGGCTATCGTGTCCGGAGACCAAATGGGCACGATTGCTCACAAGCACCGCGGAGGGAGGTTTGTGAGCCATAGTCAAAAATTTATAATCTGTAATTGATCCAGTAGATTGTAGTGAGAATGAGCGAAATGTTTGTTGTAGAATCGATTCACTTGGGCAGGGAAAGCCATCATGTGCAACGCGCTAATCCAGTGCGCCAAAAATGAGTGATGACATCAAGTCAGTTAGATTTCCAACATCCTGCAGTTTTTCTCAGAACATCGAGCTGCAGGTCTTCTGCAATCCATATGAGAGCAGCATTCGTGGCTGTAGGGTTCAAGGCTGCCTAGGGAGTGGCAGGCGCTTTCGCGACTCGGGGTTTCGCTACATAAACTTTCGCGACTCGGTCTCTCGCGACTTGGCTTCTTGCGACTTGGCTTCCCGAGAATGGGGTTCTCGCGACTTGGCCTTTCGCGATTCGGGCTTTTGCGACTTGGGCTTTACGTCACAACAGGCACACTGAAGTAGATGCGAGGGGTAGATAACAATGGGATAGCTCATACAATCAAAATCTAGTACTTGAACTATCTTTTTTGTTGATTTGTTGCTCCACACACTGATGTTGATCCAAACCGGGCAAACCATGCCTTTTCTTTTAAGCACGACTACATGGCTTCTCATAGCTGGCATCATCTTCCTATCGATTGTATGATACTATCCATCGAGAAGGTAGACAACTGTTCTAACGGAGAGTATCTAGACAATTGCTAAGGGTTTGCACGATCCTCTTTCACACGTTCCTGGCCCCTGGTATTCGCGCTGGACATCGGCGGTTTTTAACTACCACTGGCTTTATGGAAAACAAACCGCTTACATTAACATACTCCACGAAAGATACGGTTTGTAGATCAAATCCGAAGCCCACGGATTTGTAGCTTATTTGTGACTCTAGGCAAAGTTGTGCGCATTAGTCCTCGCGAAGTTGACATTGCCTCCGTCTCTGGGGCCAAACAGATACACTCTTTCAAGGACCCTTTTCTGAAATCAGAGTTGTATGAGCGACTGAAAGGTGGAAACGGGTCTCACAACGTTTTCAGTTCTCGGGATGTTAATTTTCATTCCCGGAACCGACGCCTTCTATCTGCACCGCTCTCAGAATCCAACTTAAAGGATGTAGAACATGTCGTGAAAGCACGAGCTGATCTAGCTGTCGAAAAGATTGGCCTGGAGATGCAGAAACATGGTGCTGCAGACGTTTTAAAGTGGTGGACATCTTTCACAACTGATGTCATTGGAGAATTAACCTTCGGTGACAGTTTCCGTATGCTGGAACAAAGCAAGGTGAAGACCTTTCTTGTTGGATACCAGGTCTAGATTGCTAACACATCACTAGGAGAACCAATACACGCAAGATCTTCGTGCGAATGCCACCTTCGACAGCGTTCGCTTAGCTTTCCCCTCCATCGTAAAGTTGGCTTCGTACGTCCCGCTACCATTCTTCTCTCAAGCTCACAAAGCAACACAGCGTATGGTATCTTACGCCGAAGAATCTATTCATCGCTACAAGAATACCATGGAAGCCGAACCACAGAATCCGAAACCTACCTTGTTTACAAAGCTTGTCAAGGCAGTCGGAGAGAGCATGCCCGAAGCTGAAATGATATCAAATGCGCAAGCTTACATAACAGCTGGAAGCGAGACGACTTCAGTTACTATGACCTATCTCACATGGTCCGTTTGTCGAAATGATTCGATTAAGGCAAGACTTCTTGAGGAAATTAAATCTTTGCCCGTTGACTACAATGACCAAGAACTGAAGGCGTTGCCGTACCTGTCTCAAGTCATCCAGGAGACTTTGAGAGTCTTTGGTTCCGCGCCGGCCCCTTTACCAAGGGACGTTCCAAAGAGCGGAGCTCACGTTGATGGGTATTGGATGCCTGGCGGTACTGTTGTGCAGACCCAGTCATACAGTATGCATAGAGATGCAAGCATATACCCCAATCCCGAGACGTAAGTTACGCTCCAACACCCCGATTGAGAACCAGGAGATAACATGAGACTAGATTCGATCCTTCGAGATGGGAGTCACCTACAAAAGAGATGAAAGACGCCTGGATGCCATTTGGTGCTGGTGCTCGAGGTATGCCATCTACCCTCATTTACTCCTCAAAAACAATCGTTGATGATAGTAGTCTGTATTGGACTGAATCTGGCGCAAATGGAGCTTCGTGCGGCTACTGTTAGGTTTTTCAAACGCTTTCCAAACGCTAGAGTATCGACTTTACATAGATTTACCGACAAGGAAATGGAGCAAGTCGTTTATTTCATTATGTACCCTCGAGGTAAACGATGTCTTATAACTAGTAGCTAGAATAGTGAATCATCAAAACCTATACTTTTACAGAGTAGTGTTCACATAAAAGTGACTACGTCCAAGCAAACCATCCCTTCCCATCAAAGAAGAACGTCTTCGCTAAGGATCTCACGACACCAGTAAAGGCCAGCGACACGCAGAAAAGTCTGATAGTAGTCACACATGTATAATTGAATAGAACACAAAAACCACCTGCTATGTCCAATCATAACTGATTTGAAGTCACTGCCGAGATTTCTGAAAGACAGCGGGCGCCTCGGTAATGCTTCAAGACACAGTAAATCTCCTTGGCTGTCGACTTCAGACTACTAGTGAGAGTGCGTATCTTCTTGGCTCTCGGCCTTCGGGCTCAGGCATTGAGCGAGAGGGTGTGACGTAGCGATCTCGGAACAATTCTGACTATTTAGTCGTCGACATATCCTGTGGAAAGGAACAAATACAGCCTTCCAACAGTTCGAACTGCCTCTACCCACCTTCCTGAATCATCGCCGCGCTTCAATCAACATGCTTATCTTAATCGCTGGAATCACCGGCCTTGTCGGCCTCCCTTGTGCGAAGGCTGCGATTGCTCGGGGACACAAAGTCAGAGGTCTAGCTCGCAGTGCTAGGAAGCTTCCGAAGGAAGTACAAGATCAGCTCGAAGGCTTTGAGCCCATGGTTGGCCTGCACGATATCGCTGCAATGGATAAGGCCGTTGCGGGCGTCGATGCCGTCATTTGCGCTTTGGCCGGTTTACCCGAAATGTTCTTAGAAACGCAACTGTTGCTTTTGCGAGCAGCTGAGCGTGCCGATGTTAAGGTGGGATATACAACACAACGTTGAGAACTAGACTCATTGGGGCACATTCAGATTTTTCATGCCAGCTCCTGGAACTACGATTGGAACCTCTCACCTGGGAGTCATGAGATCTACGACATAATTAAAGCTTTCGCTCACCAGGCCGAGTTGACTTCGACGATCAAGCCTATTTACATGTTTACCGGCGCGATCGTGGAGTGGTATTTCAGAAATAGCCCTCGCGATTGGGACCCGAAATCGAAGACGTTCAATTTCTACGGGCCGTCGACTTTCCAAACGCGCTACACTACCGCAGACAACATTGCCGACTACACGCTTGAGGCAATAACCGCTCCGGATGCGGCCAAAGGAGGTTTCGTTTGCGTCCAGAGCTTTGAAGCCTCGCCGGAAGACATTGCCAGTGCGTACAAAGCGGCGACGGGTAGCCGTGGGCATGTTACTCTCAACTGTTTAGGAACGATCGAGGATGTAAAGGCAAAACTGGACGATGCGAGAGCCAAGTACGAGAAGAAAGAGTGGTACGAGTATATATGGTACTGTTACCAGTTCCATATTCCGAGTCGGTCCTGGGATTTTGAGCCAGTGGATGTTGCTCGATTTCCTAATGTCAAGCAAACCAGCTTGGAAGATTTTTTCCGCCAGAACCCAGATGTTTAAGTAGAGATGATGTATCATCTAATAAATCGCTCGCGACTAAGCCGTATTGGGCGGAATACAAGATCATTTACCCAGTCGCTCCGATCTAGGTAGTGTAGACACAAATGTTGTGGATTTTCATTCGATGTACTTTTCTTCCAAGTCGTAGGATGCTTCATGGGTTTCCTTGGGCTTCTGCCACGCGTTTCTGCTGCGCACAATTCTTTGATCGTCTCGTTACAGCCGTACGGTATTGGTCCATACGGCATCGTGGTCTTCGAATCTCTACAGTATTCGTCCTACGTGCAATCCATCGCGGTATGGTAACGACGGTAGAACCTTTATTTCCCCTTTTTGAGGAGTATGCTGTCTAGAATCCAAAGACACAGCACCTTCTTATGGACGGATTTGGATAGCACTTTGTGAGAGCGGCCGTCTCAATACGGCTTCGAAAGGTTTACTCTAGTCTCTGAATGAGGGTGGTACTCTGATATATCCATCCCCTGGGGTGAGCGCCATGCTGTGTTTTCTCGTCCGCCCTGCCGTGAGCCCCGAATCTGCAAATCGATACTGACATCTGTTGGGGGTAGTACGGATTCTTCTCGGAGATGGCGTCCGATGTGGAGGCCTTCAGCATTGATCCATCTTGTAGTTGGTAGATTATCGGAACCGAGCACCTCCACCTTCTTTTCGATGTAGCCTGAATTGTATAATGACCATATCGTCTTTCAGTCCGTGATTGGTGGAAATAGCGCAGTTCTGGTCGCACAGATAAGAGCATACGTGCAGCTTGTGGCTATCATACATGGGGCCAACACGCATACGTCTCCACCCTATTGATCCTTCAGCCCCATGCTCGCGTAACGTAAGAGACGCGTCGGCCACGAACCTCCTTCTCATTTCAACTACAACTGCGGGTGAACAGCCTTCCGACGTATTCCAAATGTTTCGAGTTCGACGTGTGTAAAGGCCAACAGCATGGCCTCAAAGGCCCCTACAAAGACAATAGCGCGCAGGATGCGCGACTACGCAGCAGCAGTTTTGACAATCCTCATGTAATGATCTAGTAGCTGTGAGTAAACAGTACTGACTTTACGAAGAAAGGATGTTGCCACGGCTGCCAACGCGACATATCTTAAAGCCAATGCGGCATTCCTCGAAGCCAGACGGCGTCCTGCGAGCGTAACGCGACCGCAACTCAAGCTTTTCGACTACTGGATGATAATCATCCGCATCGTCGCCACTGGCATCATTACTGCCGGAATCACACTCGGAGCCACGCGCACATACATCTCCATAGGCCTCAGTCGTGTCTTCGGTGAAGAAGTGGACGCAGATCTCAAGCTAGCCTTCCTCGGCTTCTTCAATAAAAGTCTGGACGTGATCCTGGTGAGCTCTCTGGAGTACATGGCGTCTTTTCTTATCACAGTGTGGATGGCGCGAGCTCCTGCTGTGGTGGGCGATAGACACGGTGCGACGTACAATGACTTTGGATTGAAGGATGAGTTGACAAAGCCTTGGATGACTGTTGCCAGCTTCATCACAAGGGGCCGGAGGTCGAGTTGGAGATGGAGTTGGAGAAGCGTATCTCGTTTGTTTCTTTGTCTTTGCGTATCTATCTCGGTTATGCTGCAAGGTCTCGCTATCAACACTGTTGCGATACCGAAGAAGCGATGGTACCCTAACTTGCAAGCGAAATGGGGAACGACGCCAGGTGATCGAAACATTATGCATATCGAGTACCCCAAAGTGCTATTGCAAGATGTGGACTGGGGGAATATGGTCGGTATCGGTCAATCAAACATCGGAGGGGAAGGCTACCCTCTATGGGACTGGGCGCTTGGCATGTCTGCTTCTCTTACTTTTGTTGGCTTAACGCATATGGTGTCAACGATTAGAGAAAGTCAGAAAGGTTGGCGACATGTCTACGATTACCGTTTGGATGGAGACCCATGGAAGCGCTGGACTGCGCTCAATACCGATTTCGGTCGTTCCAATGGAGTAGTCGAGACGATATCAGCGGATGATGGGCAGATAACGAATATCTACGACTGGCTCAAGAAGACGAGACATCAACCAACATCTTCATCTATTGGCTGGACCGGCAACTTGACGCTAGTGCTACCAGTGCTCAACACAGTCTGCACACCAACAGTCTCCTCGAGTCCGGAGGGATCGATCGATGTTCAGCCGCCAGCTGAGAATGACGCGTCTGGAGCAGTAATCAAGATCGGCCTTGGACCAGTCTCTTCCTTAGGCTTTACTGGCACCGTGTGTTCCAGCACGTTTCGGCATGGGAAGTACGCAGTCAGTGTGTGGATTGTTGACAGTGAGAGCCCCGATATCAGCTTCAATGGGTACGGTGTTGAATGGCATCAAAACATCGTGTACGAGCCAGTAATTGCAAGCGACTTGGATGTTGCTCGTCGATTGGGGGGTCAGGCGCACGACATCCTTCCGAGACTTGGGCCTTTGGTCCCTTCGACAGGACTGCTACCCCAACTTCTGCTCATGAGCCGTAATTTGCAGACCGCTGATCCGGTAGTCAATTCTGACGCCATGGGCCTGTCTATTATCGTTGGCGTACTGTTGCAGAACATTCTCAGCACGAGTAATAAGTACTGGTCTCCTCTCCCGTCGTCTCTGCCTGCTCGACCCGAGGAGAAAATCTCATCTTACCCCATTCAGTGGCAGCTATATGGATCTAGTCCGCGTCTGAAATGGGAGTGGGCAGCGGTCGCCATTCTCGTGATTGTGCTGCTTACTTTCTGTTTTGGCATGTATCAAACGTTGCGGTATTGGATGGCGCCGGGTCCGTGGGTGGAGCTTGACGGTATGATGATGATTGCGCAGCAGACTCCGCAGTTGGAAAGCATTGAAGATGAGAAGAAGGCACAGACGAGGATGTACTCAGTGGAAAAAGACGGGAGTGGAGTGTTGATACTTAGAAGTGAAGCAGGATAGGAAAGGTGTCCCGCGTAATCGTACATGGTCGTCGTCTTCATGCAAGTCCTCGCTTGGTGGAGCCTTGATCCTCCTCATACGCCATACCTAAACTCGCGGACCTTCTTCTGGTAGTAATAAGTCGCCAACGCACCAGTCGCACCCAATGCGATCGGTACAGGTGCGCGTCCGCCCGTCTTCATGATGCGTGGAATAGCCGAACCTAGCAGCATGATACTGTTGCCAAGCGCGAGTTCAGTACCGTAGTCCTGATTCTGCTTGATGCGGTAACCTTCGATCGCAAGTCAGCTGATATCACAAGCAAATGTGCTGGAGTACTAACCTGCAAAAGCATACGAAGCACCTAATCCGAGTCCAGCGACAAGACTGGGTGTTGAGCGTGTGCGGAGAAAACCCGCGGTTCCTCCGACAGCCACTGCATCTTTCAGTTAGCTTCTGGATACACAGACCCCCTGCAGCACTTACACAAGCCTGCCAATGTGAAAGAAGGATGCTCAGCCATTGTTGAGTTTGATTGTCTTGATGAATAACGATGATTGGGTGATGTTGTGCTGATGACTGGGTCGGGTGATTGGAAAGCTGCGGGAGGAGCACGGACACGCCAAGCCATCATCACACGATCTATGACCTGAGTGATGGCGGACGCAAGAACGAACAATGAGATTTCAATGTATTATATTTATTGTTGGGTATACTGGGTATCTAGTTGCTGATCTAGTAATGAAAAGAAGCTACTCGAATCGAGAGTAAGCTGCGGTTGTGACGAAAACTCCTGGTACCGCTTCTGCCAAACGCCCGAAACCAAAATCAATCTGTATCAAGGACATGTCTCATTCGTCGCCAATTTGTTGCGCAATGAAGCTCTTCCCATCTTCGTGACCGTTCTTGCCGTAACAACAAATTCAAGCGATAATAGAGTGACTCACACTATACCGCGTAGTCGACGGCGCAAATGCCGAATATCCAGGCGGCATGTCGTCTCTCGCGCCAACACTCGCGCTCCTCGCTGTCTCGAAACTCGGAGGCGCAACACTACGCGGTGCAAAGACGTCAGCTGCAGCCCTTAAAGCAGTCTCTTCCACGCTTCTGGCCCTGGCATTCTCGATACCAGTGTCACTGCCTTCAGCGCAAATCTGCACAGGAACCTTGAGATGTATGTTTGAACTGCCGTGGGCGGAAAACTGCAGTGCAAGTGTGTATGTGCGTGAGATGAGGCAGGAGTGGAATGTTGGTATGAAGTTTTGTGTTGTGGGAAGGGTGATCGGAACGAGTATTTGAGCAGTATAGAACAGGCCTTGCTTATAGTCTTTGGATGCAGGTAGAATGCCCATTGCGAAGGCTTCCTCTGCTTCGCTCATAGTTGAGCAGTCGCTGATGCCGGAATCGCGTCTGACTAGGCTTTCTGGGCTGGGATTTTGTGCCGAGTCGTGCTTTTCCCATTGGGCGGAAGCAATGCAGAGGTTCGATAGGGGTACATATTCGGAGTATAGTCCTTGCGATAGGTCGAAGCCAAGGGTTGATCGTGTTGGGAGATTCTGTCGGGGAAGTGATGCATAGTAGGTCAAGACCTTCATTTTCGTCGACAACGAGCCGAGCTTCGGTGGTGTGCTGGTCTCTTCTATTGGATCAAATCGAAGAATCAACTTGGCCATGGTCGTGATTAATCTTCCTTCTGTGCGTGCGCCTGGTATGACAAGGGGTGGCGGTTGTACGGTCTTCGCTGACAAGGTTCCTAGCTTTCCTTTGAACAGACCCTTCTTGACTGTCTTCTCCTGTCGCGATCGGTACTCGTCGTTGTGATCAATGTTCAGCGGAGGCTGCTCTGGAAAAGCTGGCTTGACGCGAACTTTCTTCAGCTTTTCACAAAGCAGCGTCATGCCTTCTGATCCCCGGTTCTGCGCGATCTTGACTTGAATCCCATAAGTGATCTTTGACATCTCCGGTGCAAGATCATCGAGTAATGTACTGCCAAAGCCAGCAAGATCAGGATCTCCAATGCTCGGTGGAAGCGTAAGGTGCATGTCGCGGATATGGTCTGAGGCTACACTATGTGAACAGGCCTTTGGAAGTAGTTGCGATGGGACGGTGAATGTGAATGGGAACTTGTAAGCTCTATGAGCTTCAAATACTCTTGGAGTGGGGAAGTTTGATTCGTCTATTGGTTGTCTAAGAGTCAAAAACCGGTGCTTTGCCTCTGTCCGCCCAGTCATGGTGGGGGAGGTTGTCATCCTGTCGACGTATACCTGGCTTGTACCTGTGCTGTGTTAGGTCATGACCATCAATCCCAAAACACTAGTCGTCTCTTACCGATGAATGCAATATCGATATCCTCGAAGCGAATGTCGTGCGGTGCGGTGATAGTGACTGTGCCTTCGATAGTATCCATGGAAGAATAGCTTGTGATGAACTTATGACTGTGGCCACCAGTCTCGTTGAGGTCGATCGCAATTGTTGGTTGGCCATAATGCGAGATGTTGCGAACCTTGTAACCAATCTGGCTCCCAAGTGATTGCATCCTGTCTGGCGGCGCAAACGACGACGCGCTCGATGAAGAAGGCATGTTGAAGATGTCGCGTGTCTCAAGACCAGCGGGCTGAAAGCAACAGCCAAGGAATAGTCACACGAAAAGCGGGGTTGTGATCCTCAGATAAGACGTCCCGAATGCGGAGAGCTGGGGTAGTGCAAATAGGAAGCGATCAGACTAGTCTTGGTGGCGAGTGAAGATAAGATGTCTGTATTCCAGGGCAGTGAATGAGTGGGCCTCAGGTTCTCTTATACAAAACAATCAGGCACGCCCTGTCTTGAGTCATCTACAAGCGGCACAGTACCAGGGCTGGATAAGTGATGAGAAGGGTTGCAGGCTGCACATGGATGATGCACTGAGAGATGCGCTTGCAGGTTTGCCGTCGGATTCGCCAACCGGGGGAGTCACCCATCCTCCACCACAAACCACGCCCTGTACGCCGATAGCGTTGTGCGCTAGGCCCTTGTAGGTGCGGGCATCTACATCTCTCGAAGCTGAGTACATGACGACGCCAGAAAGTCTCCACCATGTCAACGGTCTCGAAGGCGCTTTAGCCAGGTTCTGGGATCTTTTCCGTCATGATCGCATTAGCTTGGAGCGCACCGATCAGCCATGGCGGTACCCTAGCGGTCAGTTGGAGCCTCAAAGCAGCCCTACACGATCTCATACCATAAAAGTAGACCAAGCGCGACACGTTCCTGACTGCTCGCGTTGAAGGTACACGACAAGTGGATACGTTGTGTCATTGGTCTCTCTGCAAATTTTCAACGTTATGCCGTTAAATGGTAGAGTCAATAAATGTCGCGTTTCAACCTCGTCCAACCATCGGAGCACTCCGATGTTGCTTTTGTTAACAAATTTTCCTCTCTTGCAGCTAGAGAAGACTTCTAGAAAGGGGGCGACTTTGCAAATGATTCAGATTGTCCGCGTCTGAGCATGTGAGATTGCTAGGTTGGTGGCTTAATCGGGTATGCATGTCGACATTGGCATGTAGGGCGCACGCGCAGCGCTCAAGAAGGGCGCTGGGAATTAATCAGCGCAATCACGTCCCACTGTCCACTCAGGGGCAGCAGTTCTGCGGGCCGATGTCGTAGGCGTCTTACTTTGCCATATTGGTAGCACGGAATAGCAGCTGAACTCCGAAGCAACGCAACTCCGAAATGTGCAACTTTCCCGTCGTGTTGCGATTCTTACGGAAAAATGATCTTTTTCCTCAAGACGCATTGCGACTCTTTGTTGAAGGCGCTGCCTAGCGTGCTGGAAGTATTCCGGCAAAACTTGATTTGTGAGAAGACACTAATAACAGATTGGCGAAAGGATTTGCAGGCATGTGAGCACGAGGAGTAGCCAGAATGACCAAGTTTGCTGACGACCTCTTTACAACGGAAGTGCCTGCGAATCTGGAGATCTGGCGAAGGCTGGAAGACGCTCTGATGTTAGTGTTGCGGGGTGATGTGAACAGGGTGGGAGCTATGGTAGCAACGCAGCTACCACCTGTGAACGTCATTTCATCATCAGGAACTCCACGTCTAGGTTACGCGCAACATCTACGTGTGCGGGCCTCCATCTGAAAGGATATCAGTCGTATCCATCCTCGCACGCACGCGATAAACGGGAGCACGCTCATCTTTCAGCGTAGAATGACGACTGTACCCCACAGCTTACTCACCACCTTACATCTGTATCTGCCACCTTAGCAGTACACAGTGCGCAAGACTTCCCTTCATATCACACAGTAATCGTACGCGAAAGCATATAGTCAGCATGTCTGAGATTCTTACCCCGCCAGCGTCATCCGTGGCGCCTTCTCAGCACGCGTCACCTCTTCCACAACCACGCAAACACCCACTGAAGCCTGGCGGGCCGAGAGAATCTGACTTGATACGATACCTCGACCATGGTGTCAACAGAATCCAGAAGCGAGTGGACAATCGCATGACGAATCGCAAACTCAAGCCTGTACCGGGCGAGGAGGAGGGATACAAAGCGTTTTGGGAGGTCGCGAAAGATCTCGACGGCCTAGTAGATGTTGTCTGGGTATCTGGGTCACGTATGCTACCAGCTCTCGTCGTGGAAACAAGATTCGCTAACAGTAAGACATGTAGCCAATCTCCAAGTTCCCTACCTACTGAACTTCGCCGTCCTCACCGCCGACTTCCTCCCTCTCTTCGGGTCCTCAACGCGTTCTGCCCAGTCTACCTTCCGCCTCCTTTCGAAGCTCGACTACGCCTTCTCTTCCCTACTCACTGGCCACGACACTGCGTCTGGGGAATATCTGCCTGGCTTTGAGAACGGCCGCACAATCACTACAACAGACAAAGTTCGCTTGAAGGGTGTTGTAGATCGGACTCGGCTTACCGTCACACGAGTCATGAGCGGGGACAGTGTAGTCGGCGACGAGGATGACGTTGGTGAGGCCATGGATACTGATACCGAAGGAGAGGGCGAGACAGGTGGACGTCAAGACACCGTGACCTTTGAAGGTTTTGAAAATAATGACGACGATGAGGAAGACGACGAATGGGAAGAGCGTGGTGTTGCGAGTGTGTATGAGAAGACAATAGGCGAGCTAGGCGATGTCCTAGGCGGCCCACCGATTGGTATCATCACTGATGATTGGGGCGTCAATGGCACTGAACAGCAAAGAAGTGGTGGTGGCTTCGTCGAGTCTGGGAGTGAGATAGAGCTGTGAGCTTCTACAAATGCATTGCAGGGAGATTGCACTAATCAATGCGATTTCGTTTCGTAGGTATCCTTTTCTGCTGTCATGTATTACCATGAAGTCTGCTCTCGATGTTCTCATTATGTTTCTCGTCATTGAGTCGGCCTACCCAAAGATCGTGGGCTCTCTCCTTTCTCGCCTAATCTCCAGTGGCAATACAGAGTTAGATGCTCTTTTATAGAACATCTGAGGTCGTGACTGAACGGGACATCGGAGCACGGGAATCTTGGCTGCGGTGAGGACGCGTGGAAAGAGCACTGGAGGGCGCCTACCCAAAATGGAAACCCATGATATACGTCACGCAACAACAACAGCGCTCGGTCACCACAACGATTACCCCGAACCCCGCCATATTCGACACACTCTAGACGGCATCAGCGCACTCAATCGCCTAGAAATCACCCAGTCGCCAGGCATCGCGGCTTTGCTTCTCGCGACAGCCATGTTATAATACTTGTACATTCCTTCACCTGCTCTGAATATGCCTACCTATTTCGCGCGTGGCGTGTCGGTGCGACTGAGCGCGACGCCGCTCGAAGACTCGACTACACAGAAAATCATACTAAGGAAGGGCGATGCAGCCAAGCAGCAGTCTGAATTGGCTGAAAGGAGGCTCCTAGAGAGGAAGTTGCTGAAAGAGGAAGTCGTGCCTTTCCCCGATGATGAATACGCTTTTCAGCTCAATTGGGTCGCAAACGCACCTTTCATGCAGACCCGGGTCAAGAACAATGTCTATGACAAGACGGAAGCGACGACAAGTACGCTGTTTGTCCACATCCCTGATAGCATTACTGCAACTGACCACGGCTTCACAGATGCCGCCTCACTCCGCAAACCGAAAGCACTTGCCCTCCACGTTAATCTCTCCGACAAGACCTACGTCTCTGGCCTCTACAATCAGAGAACATCCCTCAAGATCGAGGTCTTCTTCAACGGGATGCTCTCCGCCTGTCTATTTATACCCACCCACGATGTCAGGTCCGGAGCGAAAAGTAATCATCAGGTCTTTGGGGGAACCAGGATCGACTTCCTTGCTGAGCGACCTTGGGTGATCCTGTCGCCTGAAGTGGCAGCAGACGGCAATACTAGGAAGAACACCACAGTGGTTTCAGTTGAGCAGCGATGGCTACACCTTTGTCAGGCGCTCCAAATCGAAGTGCGAGAGCGAGGCCAAGACGAAGAGGGCAACAGGCCTCCCACTGCCGACTTCCTTTGTGCACTTGCGACAATGCAAATGCCGGACCAAGTGCACAATATGCAGAAGCCGGGTGGAAAGACTTTTGGCATCATCGATGTGATCATCACTGCTGGCGAAGGTAGAAAGCTCACTAGCGGTGTGGGCTATCTGAAAGCACCGAAGCGCATGGTCGATGAGAGCTACCCATTCGTGCCCGATGCTGACAGCACTACCATGCGACTACTTACAGATACGTCTGGTAAGAGCGAGACCGATGCGGAGCCCCAAAATTCCACGATAGCGAGAAAGCGTGGAAAGCGTAGGCCGAAGCCCCCCAAATCGGTTCGTGAAGCGACCAGACGGGCTGCTTTTGAAGCTTTGATTGCAGCTGAAGATGCCGACGCGTCGGTTGGTAGAGGTGAGTTCACTGGACCTGCTGCCTCGGAGCCGAGTTCAGAGGTCATCGATGTGGATGCAGAAGGAGATAGCGATCCAGACTATGATTTTCACAGCAAGAGACAGGCTCTCCAGCCAAGAGTATGCTTGACACAGGACGTACCACCTGTTCCATCATTGGCTCTACAGCACCCGATAATGGACCCATTGATACCGTTTATTCCACCACTTCTCCATGTTGAATCGAAGACTACGGTGCTCCAAGCACCAGAAATAAAGGGTCCAGATTTGCCGTCGTCATCAGGTCTTGCACGAGTACATGCGCAGGCTCATGAGCAAGAAAGAGCATACGAGCAACAAATGGAGATCACGTTGCAAGCAGAGCTTAGTCCGAAGATGGCGTATCCAGATATTCCTCCATACTTACAGACGCCCCAAATGCGTCTCTCACCATATGTCGTTCAATTCTCAGATCCAACTCTAGGAGGAATTACGCCTAGTGATCTCATGCGTCAGATTCCGTTCGACAACGAGGGCCAATCTTCCAGTCCTCTGAGTCGCTTTCCAATGAACCTCCAGGGCCCAGGTCATTCGGCTGTGTCATCTTTCCCTCCATTGATACCAGGACTTCAACATAACTCCTCAAGGTCCGGTCTGTATGCATACTCTTCGTCTAATCAACCATGCAGTAACTTTCCTAGTACCCACTTCTCACTCCCAAACTACAATATGTCTGGAACCAGCCATTCTTTCACTGGGAGATCTGAGGTCTACAAGCCGAACATGTTGCCACAGGCTACAGCTTTTGCTGGGCTTCAGAAGTCTACGCCGCCGCAAGTGCCCTTTCCGCCGTTTGACCGCCGACTATCGCTGCCATTACCACCAGCAGCTCTATACTCGGTACCTACAAAGCCAAAGCGAGGTCTCTCTCCACAGAAAGCTTCCTCCTCACAAAAGACAAAGAAGGCGAAGTCCAGCGTCGAGGTCAAACGCTTGGTAGTTCATGGACAAAAGGACTCGATATTGGTGGACCACCGATGGGACCCTGCACAGCATATTGGCGTGTCTCTCAATAGCCCAGCTAAACTTGGAACTCAAGAGACAGTGACCCATGGCGACAAGGAACACGCAAATCCTGTTGAGCAGGGAAGGACGCTCGCAGGCACTTCCAGAACACGGAAGAGTTCTGTCCGGAAAGGAACACCAGCACCCGCATCATCTTCAGAGCACGAAAATCCAGACCTATCTATGGCTGCGGACAAGCATCAACCAATCAGTGCTTTCCAAGCAAAAGCCTTGACTGGTCAGCACGCTGTTAATGCTAAGAAATCCAAGCTGAAGCACGAGTCAGAGAAGGTTGCGAAGGCGAGGTCCGATAGTGATCAGCCTGGTACCGATATGAGCAATCAAAATCTGCGTGTCACAAAGGAAAGGTCTTCTCGTCGCACAACCTCTAGTAACGGCATACTCGGTGTACAAGGCCCAAAGGCAAATCCAATCTGGTTTGAGGATCCAGAAGAAATTTTGCGTGAGGCATCTGCGCGACTGCGACGATGTCGACCTTCTAAAAAGTATGGAAATGCATCTGATGTGGCAGTGCTGCCTAATACCGTAGTGCCGACTGTTCAAACTCCCAAAGCATGGGATACCGATACATCATCTCCTCTCTCGAGCCTCCATACGACCCCTGAGCCCGAGATGGAACCTACTACATACACAAGTTTGCCTCAAGCACCCGTTGAGTCATCTCCTGCTCCCATCCCACAGGCAGATGGCTCACCCGAGCGCAAAACTACGCCTAAACGCCGACGCGGCAATCACGTTCCATCTCCAATGAAGCTTGCTTCAACCTCTGTAACATCCCAACTTTTACTTCACAGTCCCTTCTCATCTCAGTCTTCAGCCTCGAAGAAGCGCAAAATTACTCACCGTACCTTGCCCAAGGAGCCGCGCAGCCCCGACCGCCTGAAGACCAACGACAACCCACCACTGAACAGGGACTGCGTAATCGCGTATGCGGAGAGCAAGGACAAGAAGAACAAACAAGGTATCTTAAGGCAGGTCAAGAGCGAGAGGCTTGGAGTGTTTACAGAGAGTGACGTCGTCTTTGCAGCGAGGTTCTTTGTTGAGGATTAAATAAGGTTATATGAGGAGGTTGATCATGACGAAGAAACATGTACAGGATACTGTGAAGATGTGTATAAAAAGACGTACGAGCTTCAAAGTTCTGCCATACGCTAGAAGAATGGCAAGCTGGTATTCGCCAGACTATGTACGAAATACGACTCGAACCAAAGCAGAGAGATGTTTTACATGAAGGGAGTGCTGCATGTAGACTCTGTAGTAGACCGTGTTCATTGTCCTTGTTGGTCCTGTTACGGATCACCGTTGTGACGTATGATCGAAAGAATCGCCATAATCAAATCCTTCAGATGATACACCGTCTCCCAGCATATGTCATAGTCGTTTTGTATTATGCAGCATGCCTTCGATGATATCAACTGCTGGCTTAAACGCGTGTGCGCGATGTCGCGCAATCACATGTTATCCGCTTTGAGCCTAGCTCCATTGTCATGAGTTAGCTGCACGATCCATGTGCGAGCCCGTTGTGTTTTGCGGACACGAACGTCAACACGACCGCCACGTAGACAGAATTCCCATCGGCCAGTCCATTCAGACTGACTCGATATGCGCACATCCAGACCACCGTAGATCAACAAATTTCCGCAGTCCCTCGCACCAATACGAATGATTCGAGGAGAGACGAAGAATGACGTTTACGCGTTCTCTCTATTGCTTCCAATAGGCATTACTGGATTAGAGAACCATAACATGATGGCCATGGCTCACCATGATATGAGCCAAATGAGCCAGGATAAATCCCGGTGCATGCGTCGCATCTGTTGGAGCATGCATTGAACTTTACAAGCACTCTAACGGTAGTTTAGACCTCGAATACCTCTAGGCACGACTATCATCATGTCGCAGAAGCGCCCATCTGTCAAAGAAATCTCGTTTCCAGCGCACCAGTCTCCAAGTTGAGCTCAATACGAGAACGACCATTCCACAAGGCATCACGCACGCGCCTCTACGTCCTCGACTTTGACAAAGCCTCCCTACTTTCGTTCGAACGACCCGAAGACGCGATACAGCAGCTGATCACAGCGGTGACTTGCAACGGTCCATACTCGTCCGATCCGACTGCCACAAGCGAGGAAGATCGACAGCTCTGGGACGCTTTCAGAGCGACGTACCTGCATTCGGCTCGCACGGTCTCGAAGAACCTCCGACAGAGGTATGGCAAGTGTGCGAGAGCTCGGCCAATATGGTTCATAAATCAGTGGGAGATGATAGCGGAAGAGCTGTCACAAGGGAAGGATGGCGACTTCATTGAACTTGGAGAATGTCCTGGCTTAGTTGCCTTCATAGACACTAAGGTTTCTCGGCTCCGATACTCGCAATAGCATCTTGCACCCGCACTGTGCTTACGATATCTTCCGTCTCTTCTTTTTCTTCTAGTTGCTCACCAGCAGTTACCTGCCGCAGAACACCCACCACACCTTCCATTGCCGTCAGATTCGGACAGTGCCCTGTCTCTAACATCGCAGTCTACACCCTCGCACCCTCCTTCCTCATACTCTCCACAAGCCATTTCTGGTAATCGTACGGAGTCGTCATATCCTTTTTCATATGAATATAACCTGCGAAGGTGAGTGCATGGCGCATTTTCGCGTAGGAGTGAGGTTTGTGCCAGCCGCGAGGTATGAGGAGGATCTTTGGGGTCCTTGATGAGGACACGGTATCTTGGGATTCCACGAGACGTGTAAGCAGGTGGCCTCAAATGAGTCCTAAGTACTAACGACAATGCTGCTGAATCGAAACAAATTGCTTCGCATTGCGACGCACTATGGCAAGAATCATCGCTTTTAACGAATTACAACCTTGCGCACGTCCTGTATGCTGTGAGGATTATGTGTATACAATAGATTCCAATTCACAATCCGGTTCGACGAGGAGTTATCATGAGCTGGTCCCGGCACGACGATGTCTCCAATTTTCAAAAGAGAGGTGAGTATGGGGACCGTGCGATTTGGAAAGGAGTTGCTTTCAGCCGTTGTCATGGTTGGTGGGGATAATGGCCCCCAATATCGGCTGCTGACACGGATTCGCTCAGCCGCACCTTCTCCTTACAACATCTGTCTCACATTCGAATCATGAACATCTACAGTCTACCATGTCGACAGATACTACAGCCCCCAAAGTGGTACCGAGTCTGATAGACGCACCAAACCCTGCTTCTTTACGATACTCACCTCTTCCGAAAGACGGCGACAGCTTTAGACTTCTACGTGTACTACCTAGCTTGAGGTTCAACTCCCCCCTGCAATGCGAGCTGTACACTGCTTCAATATCGGCTGAGAAAGATCAGTATTTCGCAGGCTCATACGTTTGGGGTCCACCTGAGCCAACAAAGTCCATACTGCTGGACGGAAAGTCTTTCGAGGTGCGCGAAAATCTTTTTCGGTTTCTTGAAGCGTTCCGCAGCCGGTACCGATCGCAGGTTATATGGCTGGATGCTATATGCATCAATCAACATGACGTGCAAGAGCGGAGTCATCAGGTTCAAGAGATGAAGCGGATCTACTCTGGCACCAAATGCGTCTATTGTTGGCTCGGCAACATCAACCGATTGCCTTACACGAGCATGCTCGACACACACCGGATGAAAGATCTCATACATTGGCGTGATAGAGACGCGCGTCGTAGTCTACGACGGAGTGAGCAATCCGAATGTATAGTACAAAGAGAGTACTGGGGGCGACTGTGGATCGTGCAAGAGTTTCTACTGGCCAAAGACATTATGATCTTAGTGGGGAGGTACAAGCTTTCTTACCGTGAGTTCGAAAGCATTGTAGTCAGTTGGCCTTTCCATAACACGCCGGATTCACTGCGTGTAAGCAAAACATTCGATCTGATACGTCTGCGAAGAGAAAATGTGCGACGGACCTTTGAGTCGTTGTTTGCGGACTTTGGCATGCTGCCTTGTTCAATGCCCCTAGATGGTGTGTTCGCTTTACTCGGTCTCGTCGGCGACAGGAAAAAGGATTTGCAGCTTAGCAGTTTGATTGATTACGATCTGACAGCATGGCAACTTTTGAAGCATATACTGGACAGCAAAGTTCTGTGGGAGCCTTTCAGGTTTGCGGAATGCTACAACCGTTATTTGATCAAGGGACAGAAAGACAAGCATATGCATGATCGTACCAATTTGGAACTGGATTGCTATCTGGACTGGAAATATTGCCATTCAAGTCATAGTCGGTACAAGAACATCGACCGATCATCCTTCCAACCGGCTTTGCGAGCGTTCCAAGGCTGTGTTTCCGCGAAACTCGGGCACATGGATGTATCCAACAATCACAGTATAGTCTATGCGCATGACTGGAGGACAGTATCACGACGATCCTGTGTATTACTGCGTCTTTCTACGAACGTTTTGGAGTTGTTAAACGAGGTTGCGTTTGTCACATACGCTCTTGTTGAAGCATGCGACTTGCGATGCAAGAAAAGCTGTGCATCTCACCCGATTATCGGCTTCGTTGGCGTGACATCTTGTCACGAAGAGGAGCACCAGACAATGTCACCGATGGCATCGATCGAACTTCCATTACCTACGGATCATGCCGTTGGAGAAATGTTCAAGTTCAGGAAAGATGCGCAACAGCGTATGGGAGAGTTGTTGATCGCTGGAGAAAAGAAGGCACGTGTGGTCCGGCGCAAATCTACCCAGTACAAACTTGAGATAAATCTCGAGGTCATGATGCAATTGTCGACTTTCATGGTTAGTATAGAAGAAGGTGACTTCTGGTCGGCGTTTCAAGGAGTGCCTAGAAAGAGCTACAAAGACCAGCTGCCACTGAAGATGTGGCAAAACCTGGGTCGCTGGTCCCTGGGAACTTCCCTGGGAACTTCTCTTGGGGCAGAAACACATAGTTGAGGAGACGGAACTTCCGGAAGAGAGTATCAAGGTCGAGGAGCCTATTGGACAACATGCGCTGCCGTCGTCTAGCTTTTGGAACATGGGTCCACTGCGCAATGGTGAGTTTAGTCTCTCTTTATACGGCTATTCAAAGCATGACCCGCAGGTGTCTGCCTGGTTTTTGACTGTGTCACAGGCCTCATGTTTGGTTAGCTCATGAGATTCTGGCCACCACTGCCCCACATCACGAGTCATTTCGCGACCTACTTCATAGTATATACATGTGCGTCACAACCATTCGCACCTTTCCGCTTCCTTCCAGTACTTGCAAAATGTATATATCAGCATTTTATTTTTTAGCTGAGTCATCAATCAAACCAAGCACGGTTTCGATACGAAACATTCTCCCCGTAGCTCAGTTGGTTTAGAGCGTCTGACTGTAATATCTGCTGTTATCAGAAGGTCCCTTGTTCGACTCATGGTGGGGAGATCAGTTCTTTTTTTTTTCAATCGAAGATGATCGAGATCACTGTTCCGATTCTGAAAGCTGGGAACGGCTATGACTTTTTTTTTATTGATGCGTGTTGCTTTCGAGGTGAACATGAGAGAGTGTCGCGTCTTTCTGTTGTGTCGTGGGATTGGTGGGCGACGGAAGCGAGGCAGCTATGCACTACCGAGGCAACTGAGTCTCTGCTCACCATTCTCACTTGATAAAAATATAACACCTCTCCCCATTTGTTAGGGCTTTGTAGAATAAATCTTTAGATGTGGTTTAAACCGGCTCTTGATTTACACGTGTGTATCTTGAATCTGACTGCCATGGAGCAAGTTTATCTGAGCCCAGTTTGCGAAACAGTTGTGCGATATCGTGTAAGACTAAAGACTCGGTGACGATGCTTCAGATAATGTACCGCGGCCGACGTCTCGAGGATTATCTGAGCAGTTTTGTTTGCGCAGTGTAATCCCACCCAAGTGCTAATCGAGTGGCGTGAAATGATTGACCGCGGCCGAGGAAGATGACTTGGAGTTGGCTTGGTTGCTATCAGCGTCCACATAGAGTTCAATCAGGTTAGTAGTAAGCTCATTCTATATTGTCAGCAAGCTTGACCCCCATATATGGGTAGTCAAGAGCATTTATGCAAGATATGGTTCAAGGCAAGCCTGATACGTAGGAGCAAATTTCCGACAGTCGGATGACGTCCGTAATAGTCGGAGTGAGTATACGAGCCAAGCTAGGTGAACCTATAGGCAACAACAACAACAATGAGCAGATAAACAGTGCTTGTTGTTGCGGAGACCTGCAACTCTTGCAATGACCACTAGATGTCCCGCATTCTACCGCCGAAGGCCAAAACCTTACTCACTAACAGGATTTCCCCGACTTTATTCATCCAGCTGCAGTACATATCAGCTACTACCACTTGGTGAATACCGAATGCGATCGCCACAGAAATGCCTGATTACGCGCGGCAGAGCGCCCTGGATCTGGATGAAATGTACGGCAGTTATGCCAAAAACGAGAGCAACATCGCTACGATGAGAAACATTCGCACCAAGGAGAAAATGAACAGCGCTGTAAGTGACCGCAATTGGCGGAGCTCACACGAAGAAATTACTGAGCTTCAAACACAGCATCACTGCGAGGACAAAGAGTGTGGCGGCAGTCCAAGCATGAGATGTGTCAGCGCGCTGCACTTTTGCTGGTGTCTTGCTCCCATCGTCGACAAAGACAAAAAGTCAGATACATACGGCCAAGTCGTAGTATGTGGGCAGCGCTTCCAGTGCATCTCCCCCAAAGGATGCGCCAGGCATCCATATCTTGAAGGCTTCAACATCGACATCAGGGACGCGCGCAACGGCTACCCTGCCACCGAGGTCAGATGGAGGCTCATTTTCGAGTTGTTCAAAACTGAACACGATGCAGCATTGGCTAATAACGCGGAGCAACAAGAACTGTCAAGAGATTGGGAGGGTATGACCGACCATCAAAAGCGGCGCCAGCGAAAACTGCAGGACCAAGCCGTGTTCCAGAGACGTTGTGAACAGGAGCGGGCTGCTGGCCGATGGGAGATCAATCAGTTGCCGTTGATAGATGAAGAGATGTTCCTAGCAAGGGACGAAGACATTGTAGGTGCTGCAGTTGGATCTTATGGTTTGTGTACCGTGTATCGAGCGCCATCTACCAGACCATTAGTCAGACTAACGTACGCCGTCAAGGATGACTACAGGCCTATAACCCCCGAATCCGACGAACCGTCATCTGCGAAAGCGACACTGAGAACGCTACCCATCGCAACTCTTCTTCTGACCAAAGACTCCGAGTTACTGTCTGCTCCTACAGACGCGGGCGAAGTCACAGACCAGCAAGCATCCATCAAGATATCTGCGACTCGACTCCATTGGAGAGGCACTAAGACACAGGGTGACAAAGCTACCCCGAAGCCCGATGAGAAAGATGACAAGAGTCCTAGAGTTAGGGATGGTATGAGAGGCGGCAACGCGGGCATCAGTGTAAAGGCCGGTTTGCGCAACAAGACTGGAAGGTACGCATGCGTATGATCGCTGAGAGGCAGTGATGATTTCGGAATGCATGGACAAGCATGGAAACTGTAGTGGAATTGTTATGTGCTCGCCGTGACGCGATGAGGGTGCGCAGGATTACAGATAGCAGCTAGATCATTACAAAAAAAACAATCTTTTTTGCATTATCACGTCACAGGCTACTGTTTTCGAGGCGTTTTGCATGTGCTAACGTGCGTTGTTGTGATAAGGAAAGGCAGGTAAGAGCGCGTCAAGCACGCTAGTCGATGACGTTTGCCCTTTATGTAAGCGCGCACTCATGTGGATCCTCCGCAGCTGCTTCCTTCATGCCGTTACCCACAACTCTAGCATTCAAAAAATATATTGCCGTCGTCAGCCCACACAGTCTTACCGCCCGGTCCGCACACATGGCCAAAAATTCAGCTCCTCCGGGAAGGCTCGAACTTCCAACCTCCTGATGGACTGCTACTGCAAGCTGTAACAGTCAGACGCGCTAGCCAATTGCGCCACAGAGGATATATGAATTTTGATGTGCAGATTTTGAATTGACACATTTCTAATTTCAAGTATTTGCACGTCGAGACGCATGCCCGCGATGATTAGGCCCAACGATCGCTCCATATCGCGAACTACGTCTCCACCGACCAAATGGGTGGGCCCGGAATATTGTATACCGTCTTCGTCGAGACCTCGGGACTATAGATGTCGATATTGATCTCAGGTTCTACTAGTGGTCAGCCGCAGGCTCTCCTTCCAGTCGTCCGTATACGTACGATCCATACTCCACACTCCTGGAATCTTAACCATATATTCCTTGCTAGGAATCACACCTTTGTCATCGTTGCTGACTTCCAAATGCGCGCATTCAGGGTAAAACTGCGGTTCTAAGCAGGTACGACATGTTAGCTCCTTGCACACAATTTAGACTGGGAAAGAACCATATGCATACTATTCGCCGAATGCAGACTGATAATCTCATGCCTCACCAAATACCTCCCCGCTTTCAACCCTACAGGCACTTTCTCACTCCACAAACTTGGGCTCCCATCCCACATACTAAACGCTTTCTGGAACCACTCTCCAGTCTCGATGCTTCCCTCCAATAATCCCTTCTCTCCGATCTTGAACCAGTCTGCCGTTTCACTGGAGAAGGTCGTGCAGTCGTTGTCAGCGTTGTCGCAGTATGCCATCCACGCTATCATAGGACCGACGGTGTGCACCCAGTACGCGTACACGGCGGTTATATTCTCACCTGCGCGGATGGGTATGTAGGCGCGGGCGGGAGTGCCGGGTGTGTTGCAGGAGAGGGATGAGTTGGTGGTTTCGAAGATGGGGTTGTTGGATATCCATTTTCGTTGTGGCATCCACGAGGCAGTGTCTTGCATGGCTTCATCGCCGTAGGGGTCGTAGCTGGAATTGTTGTTAGTTGGGTCGAGACAGTCGTCGTTTAGAAAGACTGTAACATCAAAACCTTACCCTGGGTACCATGTGTCGCCGACAGTATAGTTGAGAGCACCTCCGTGAGCGGAAACATGATGGGCTAGTAGTACAGCGATAGAGGCGAGGAGGTTCCACATCGCAAATGCCTCCACTATGAGATAGCACGGGGGAGCGAGTTATGAAAGGAAAACTTGGCTCGGGTTGTGTCAAATGACACCTAGATTCGATCCGACTACTAATTGACAAGAGACGATATGACGATGAGTGTGAACGTTGTGAAGGCTTCCCCACATAACGCCAATACCTGCTGCATATAACTTACCAAACATCAACAAAACTACCCTTCTGTCCGGAGCCAGAGTCATAAATCGTCACACATTGGTCTCCCCTATATTGCCATTGCTCTCAGGTTATGCGACATTCGTCTAGACGCTGCACTTGACGTAAAGTTCCGTTCGGCACCTAGAGCGAACTCATCAAAATCTGACAGTGCAGCAACCACTGACATTCATACATTATCTTTCGCGCCGGCAGTCGCTAATTGATAGACGTGGGGTGCAGGGTTATAATAATGTGGGAAAATGCTTGGTATGAAGCTTGATTACGAACACCTTACTGTTTACCCGGATATATCTAACAACATACTCTGACGAACACCGTACCTCAGGTGGCGCAACATCATTCAGAGTATACATGATGGCATGGACAATCCAAATTCCACGAATGAAGATTGACCCCACCTGTTGATGTGGAAGAATCGAGTGTGAATGGGCATATAACCATCAAGTTCCAGATTGGAGCCCTTTCATCATTCTGACTGTCTTCAACTCTCCCAAGATGCGCATCCAATATCTTGCTGCAAGCCTCGCTCTTGCGTCCGGCGTTTTTGGTGCGCAGTTAACTCAGGTCTCGAACTATGGCGGTAGTGCGCGGGCGAAGCCTGGCATGTACGTGATAACCATCCATCTCTTGCATCTGGCTAATACCATAGGAAAGGTGGGTATATGTGCCCGATCAAGTGAAGAGCGACGCGCTGGTCGTGGCAATCCACTCGTGTCAATCATCGGCCCAGAAGTACTTCCAGAACTCCCTGATTCCTTGGAAGAAAGGCTCAGACACCAAAGGGTACGTGACAGTCTGGCCAAGCTCGACCACCGAGTGTTGGGATGTGTCCAGCAAGGCTTCGCTGTCGCATAACGGTGGCGGCGATTCAAACGCCATTGCGAATATGATTACGTATGCGATCGATAAGTACAAGATCGACCCTACGAAAGTATTCGTCACCGGTGGTTCTTCTGGTGGCATGATGAGCAATGTCCTCGCGGCCACTTATCCCGAGCTCATCACCGCGGTATCGCTGTACTCTGGTGTGCCAGCTGGGTGTTTCGTTTCCGCCTCCGGGGCAGCAGCAGCGTGGAACAACACTTGTTCTGGCGGACAGTCCATCTCGACTGCGCAACACTGGGGCGATGTAGTTCGGGGAATGTACCCAGGATATAACGGAACACGCCCACGCATGCGTAAGTTGTGGAGAGAAAGACGCGTTTGAATCATGTACTGACGCATCCAGAATTTTGGCATGGCTCTGTAGACGGAACACTTAGCCCAAGGAACTATGATGAGACGTTGAAGCAATGGACCAATGTATTTGGTGTTAGTACCACACCGACGAGCTCGAAGAAGGATACACCAGAGAGGAACTATCGCACTGATGACTTCGGTCCAAGCGTCGAGGGTATCTGGGCAGTGGGTGTAGGACATAGTGTTCCTTCGCATCTGACAGTGTCAGAAGCCTGGTTTGGCTTGTAATCGATCAGTGACTTTCGCTTGTTCAATGCCCTCCCTTCGGTACTTCTAGTGTATCTCGCCGTTTCGGCTGTCGAGAAGGACTAGTATCAGAACGCGGAGGTTCTTGGTGTGGTGGCGGAGACGTAGGTGCCGGAGATGCACTACCTTCAAGTGCTGGTGAAGACAATATGCTTGCCGCGTATACGCTGTTTGCCCTTTCTTCGCGAAGTTGACTGTACGTGCGACTGATGCGTTCCAGATCGGGGTTTCGCAGAATCTCGCCAGGAACCTCTGGAAACCTCTGAGTCTCCTCATCAACTCGTTCATGGTCTGGATCAAGTGCTTCATGTGCTGCATCCCCGAGGTAATTCCCGGCTGATGTCAACCAACTTCGTATCCGGTTTCTGCCAGCTGTTGGCTGGTCCGGTTGGTGAGTATCTTGCTGAACAGTCTGAGAGGCAGAACCCGTATTACGTTCAGAATCAGGATACGTGATGGTCGGGGCCAATTCGATAACGTTGGGCGATTCTGATCGTATACCCAGACCATCCCCCGTCTCTCTATCAGGGCCAAGATACACGGGCGAAGGATATCGTTGAGAAGGTTGCCGCTCACTACTGCGACTGATACGTGATGAATCAGAGTTCTCGGATTGGTTCGGAGGCTTCCCTTTCGGGACGTCGTCGCCGCTGGTTGACCACAGAATATAAAGAGAACCAAGGGCGGCCATGATTGTTCCAGCTATTGGTGACCATTGTCCTAACGAACATGTTAGAAACTGGCATATCGCTATAATTCTCTGCTTACCAATCGAAGCCATGGGCTCAGTCATAAATCGTACTTGTGGGCTGAAAAAGTTCGCTTCGCCAACCCCGATAATCGTGATGATCACCCCGCCAAACAACGGAATTTCGATGACGCCCAAGAACTTCCTCACGACGTTGTTGATGCCCTTGAGCTCTCCGACAGTCATATTCGCACCCTCAATCCTAGCGTTGAGAGGCTCAACAGGCCGTCGCCTCTTCCAGTTGATCTCCAAAATCTTATCCCAGGTAAATATTAGAGATAATATCGCGGGGATGCAGAATCCAGCAGAAAGTAGCATGGCGGCGTTGAAGGACAAGATACGCGGCACAGGAATAACATAGACGTCGGCAGCGGATCCTCCCCGCATTGGAGATATCGGACCCTCGCTTTCGGAGCACGTCAAGTTACATCTAGCATGTTCGTATGGGAAGCTGGCGGTGCCGTAAAAAGGGTTTCCATCATCATCGCTGCTGCAGGCCGTTGAGGTGACCCGGTAGAATTCCACGCAGAGGGCCAACAATCCCATCAAGATCAGTATCGTCCAGAGAAATATGATGTTGCGCCCTGGAGACTGGAAGTAGGTTCGCGACAGCCTCACAGTCAGAGGCGCTGCCAGAATTCCGATCGCGCAGAACTGGAAAGCCTACACAGTGAAGACATGGAAATCAGTTTACGTCACACGCGTATGTTAGATACCAAGAACTTACTCCATATATATCCATATCAACGCCGCCTACATGGTTCGTTGTTAGATTCGCTCTTCTTGGGTGTTCTTGACGTTCTTGGTGGCTATTGTACTGACCATTCGTATGCGCCGAAGCGAGCACGAGGGCTTGGAGAGCAGAAATGGCCGGCAGAATCAAGACGGCAGCAAGGCACGTATTTCGCAGCCATTCGGCTTTGCGAAAAGTTACACATGCCGCGACCAGGACATAGTACAAAATCTGTATTCATGCATCAGTTCTCTGATAGGCCCAGACCCGCTCAACACGGGTATGCTAGGATGGGGGAGTACTAACACGCGATCCTGCGCCATAGTTGGATGAAATTGGCCAGGCACAAACGACTTGTACTGCAGGGCTAGACATTGTAGCTGTTGAAGTAGCTGTCGCAACACTTTGCGTCGCAAGAGTGGATAGCGCTCGAGTTGCCAGGATGCTCACATAGTACGAGCAAAGGCAGATGAGATGAAGACATTACTGAGCGGACTGTCGCAAAGGGAGAGCAGCGGCAAAGGTAATGCGCACTGCGCAAACGGGTGCGCCTCCGGACAGTAAGGCGTTCCATGTGTGCTGTAGATCTCCAATGATCTGGGGTAATGCAGCCCACCGGTGAACTATATGGCATTGACGTGCTACAGTTGCATAAGGCGAGAGGCTGAGTCGACGGCATGACCAGCCCGCGACTGGACCCTTTTCGAATACGGGTGGGGCTAATTGTTAGCGGCCCAACCGTCGCCCAGATGCCATCATCTTGTCATCCTCGGCAGCAAGCCTTTTTACAACGCCGCCTCTTAGCCTGCACTTATCAAGACAATACAAAGAGCCTCACTTGCCTGCCGCCAGGGTCATGTCGCGCGTCATCTCGCACATGGCACAAGCAATTTCTCGGCATCGGTACTGATCCTCACGGTCACGACTAAGGTCCAGGCACACCGGCTCACAGATCGCTTGTAACGTCTAGCGTATACATGCACTCTTCAATCGGGCCTTACCAAAAGCCTGATTTGGGCGCACTTTAACCGTCAAGATACCTTCTGGAGTTTTTCTGCCCCCAAAAGCAGTCTGCACGGCGGCTTCCAAGCATTGCTCCAAGACACGACATGATCTCTCAGCGTGCCACCCAATCGGAAAGGCCAGACCTTGATACTAGTAAGATCAAAGAATGGCGCTCTATAGTGACACTGATTGTCTTTGTCTTGACAAGTAAGTAGGATGTGTGTACTGACGTCGCAAACTCAACTAATCCTCAACGCCTATAGACATCAATGTTCTGTTTCCTTTCCACGTTCCCATCTATCTCCCACGGATAATATGGACCCCGTTCCTCAAGATCGTGAGTGCGTTGCGCATCATACCACCACCACAACATCCGACTAGAGTCCGGAATGGCAAGCCTGGATCTTTCGTGCGATTCGACTTTCCAATGAACTTCATTACAGCTCCGCTGGTAGCAGACCTCTTTCTGCTCGCTATCCTTGCTATTGGTGCGAAGGAAGTAAAAGGCGGCACTCTTGGCGATCAGGGTATCGTGCCGTACGATATTATGCTCTTCTTTCTCTCTCTTGCTTATATCGCCATCTCGGTCGACGCCTCCGGTCTCATCAGATGGCTGGCTTTCAAAGTGCTGCAGAAGGGAGGGAAAGTCGGCCACCGACTTTTCTTCTACCTGTATGCCTTCTTCTTCCTTCTCACAGCTTTCATTGGAAACGACCCGGTTATCCTGTCTGGTACTGCCTTCCTGTCATATATGACGCGCGTATCAAGCAACATCAAGCACCCAAGAGCTTGGATCTTCACGCAGTTCTCTTGTGCAAATATCGCATCGGCAATACTGGTGTCTTCCAACCCTACCAACCTTGTCCTAGCTGGCGCATTTGAGATCACGTTCATCAAGTACACGGCAAATATCATCGTTCCGGTTCTTGTTACAGGAGTCGTGTTGTATCCTTTCTTGCTATACATTATCTTCCATGATGAGTCTCTTATCCCTGCATCCATCAAGATGGAGGATCTTCCCGATGAGCTCAAGGTAAGCGACCAAAAAAAAGGTGTGTGCTATATACGCTGACAAAATGCTCCTCAACAGAACAAGAAGCCAGTCAATCCCAATATTCCTTTCGCCAAAAGCGGGCCAGAAGAGAGCGACGGTGATCCAAACAGTAGTGACGACGAACAAGAGAAGAAGATGTCCCTCGAGGAAGTTCTGAATCCCTTCTTGGATAAGAAAGGCGCGATTTTCGGAGCAGCAATCATGGCAGCTACCCTTATTACCGTCTTAGCGATCAATGCTGCCTCTCAAGGCACGCACGAACGCCCAGTGTTCTGGGTCACGCTACCCGCCGCATTCGTCATGCTCATTTTCGATCTCACAATGGGATGGCTTAGTAGAGCAGAGACGCGGAAGATCGCTCACGAGGGCCGACGAAGAGCAGAGACCGCACTCGCCGAAAGGGAGATAAGGAGGAAGTCTATCACACAGGAGGAAGCAGACGCAATCACCCCCGAATCTGATCAGCACATGAACCAGGACTCTGATGAAAAGTCTCATACCTTGGCTGAGGCCTCCAGTCACATTTTGAGCGGGAGAACACACGAAATGATGAACCTTGAACCTGTGTCACAGGAAGAAAAGAAGTTGGATCCAAGCAAGAAGCCGACACCAACCACTCTAGCGTCGCTCGTCGCAGACACATATCGATGGGCACAGGAGACGTTTCCGACAACCATGACCGTTTTTCATCATCTTCCCTTGGCGCTGGTCCCTTTCGCATTCTGTATGTTCGTACTGGTCCAGGCTCTGGTCACTAAGGGCTGGGTTCCAGTTTTCGCACACGGATGGGATCATTGGGTTGAGAAGACCGGCACAGTTGGTGCAATCGGCGGTATGGGCTTCGTCTCAGTCATATTGTGCAATGTGAGTTCTCGGTATTGTCGCAGAATGCCAATAGCTAACGTTTGAGTAGTTCGCTGGTACCAACATTGGCACTACAATCCTCATTTCTAGGGTAATCCAGGCATGGCAAGAGATTCACCGTCTGAATGGCAATCCGATCTCCGACCGAACCTTTTGGGGCACGATTTACAGCATGGCAATTGGCGTCAATTACGGTGCCTTCAGTCTGGCCTTCAGTGCATCGCTAGCAGGCATGCTTTGGCGCGACATCCTGGGCAGAAAACACATCCATGTCGGCGGTTTGGAATTTGCACGCGTCAACCTGCCTATCATTGCGATTACCATGCTCGTCGGTCTGGTTGTCCTCGTTGGCGAGATTTACATCATGAGGACGGACGCCCCTTACGATGCCCAATGAGCCCAAAAAAGGCGAAGCGGGCCAGTGTACATATGTGGTAAATACGATAAGATTCAAACAGTTTATGTCCGAGAACGAGAGCAATTTTCTTCTTCCGGCTTGCTGAGTCGCGATCGCCATGTCCGATAGTCTAGAATTCTGGGTTCTAGATCAGGCCCACTTTATCCGCTGATCTTCAGCGAATCGCCTCCTTCTCTGGTCTGCCCGAGCATCAATACCTTACTCTACTGCAATCGACTATTACAAAGCTACAACATCTCCGATAGTGCGCGCGCGCCACGGAAGCCTTCAGAGAATATCAAGATACTCAATCGACGTGGAAGACATGCCTTGTCCTGCTTCTTTCATCATCATCTCACCGTACATCATGCCGTCTACATACGATTCCCCGATTAGCTTGTAGCCGCCCTGATCAAGCGGCCGCAATACTACCGGCACCTTGCAACCCAGGAGTATGACGACTTTGTCTCCAGGCTCTATTGTGGAAGAACCGATTCCAAGATATCCTCCACTTGTAGTGAATACGAACCGTTCGAAACAGGCTTGACCAGCGCTATGTTCGAGAGCTGTCCAAAGGGGGTTGAATGATGCAGATGTAGAGTGGTCGTATTGTCCAGCTGCCAGCCCAGTCTCGACAAGATGCTGCAAATCCACCCCAACAAACTTTAGTCCGCGCATGCTGCGCCAGGCTCGTTCAAAGCCTGAAGCACGTGCGTAGAACGGAAGTGGAAGTGGTTGCTGAGGGTCGGTTTCGTACACTGCAGTGCTTGTCCTCAACTCCTGCCAACGTTTTGCGAAGATGGTTTTGAACTCTGTTGGAGGAGCGCTCCAAGAACCCATCCGATTCGTATTGGCAGTAACCGTTCTACACAACGCCTCGAACGCGCCAGCTTCTGTCCCGTAAGCGTTTTCCTTGCATCGTGACTGACGAAGAGAACTGGGCCTTTCAGTCCACCATGGATCACCAGCGACTCCGTCTACGGTGTCCACCACAACTCCCTGGCATCTCAGGACAGTACCTGCTTGAATCCTCTCGCTCGAGATGGTTGCGACTGCGCCAGCGCCCCCCGAAGCGTCAAAGAGAGGCCACTGCGCTTTGTCACCTGTGAAAAGCGAGCAAAGCATGTATTGTGGTTTCGAAGGGCCCCAGTCTGGTAGCCAGGATGGTAAATGGGAATACGTTCTTGGTTGCATTCCTGCCATACATACGACATACAAGTCTTGCTTTTGCTTGATATACTCAGACAAGAAGGTAAACCAAATGTTCTCCGGCTCGGCATCATAGTCAGGTGGGCACAAGTCTATCAGCTCGCGTCCACTGAGCCCGATCTTGGCAAACAAGTGATCTCGTGGGTCGGTTGCTTCGGTCAGCCTGGTCATCTGGAGAGTTGCAAGAGCGGAAAGTGTTTCGCCTTTTTGTAAACGTCGGCGCAGGTTAATGAGGTTTCTTGCAGGATCAAGGACCCTTGGGTTGATATCCACAGCTTTGACTAGAGCGGTAACCCGTTCGTTCTTTGACGGCGTGAATTCCATGAAGATTAGATGATCCGCTGCCTCTAGATCATCTGCCGAAAGACGATGGTTACCACATATAAAGATGACGTTCTGAGCCAGTGCAAACTCCTGTACAATCCATGCTCTTTTCCACCAGTTCCGGGCCATCAAGGCCCTCAAGCCTTCCCAGGTAGAATAATAGCAGGGATGCATGCCTTCGTTCCCGAGCCAAGCTCCAATGTGTTCCTTGCGAGAATGCCTTGCTAGATGTGCAAGAAAGTTCATTGCCAGGTCACTGCCTTCTGCAGCTGGTCCCAGCCATGCCAGAACACTTGTAGCATTGGAAAATATTTGTCGCATGAGCGTTACTTGAATATTGCGCTCAGCCGTATTGGACTGGTTTATACATATTGCGTCGGCCCAAATGCACTGCGGAACCTCGAGGCGAATAGAGCGCAATGCCATGGCCAAGTTCTGGTGGAGAGATGTCTTGTGACCGTCGACATCTACTGACTCAAAGACTTCACCGTTGCTGTCATCGTTGCCTTCCAATTTCGATGCCCAGGTATATGATAACGCCGCGTAAGATTCTTGTGGGGTACACACGTTGCTGTGGAAGATCTGAACTCTGAGTGGCGCTGAAAGCGACGCTGCTGGTAAAAGTGTTAGCAGGCGAAATTCATCATCAGCTAAGGGCCTGTATTCTAGCTGCGAAGACATGATGCCTGTAGGGTATGCGATGTGCTACGAAGAAAGAGGAAAAGAGCGTTGCTTCTCAGCCTACAGCACTGGGAGGCTGGCCTTCAACGGCTAATTGCGTAACATATGCTAACCAATTCGACACAAGATGCTGACTGCATGAACGGTGTACTGGAGCTTGGCTCTCTGTGTAATTGACGCGCGCGAATCGCTTAGACGATGGACCATCGACGATCAATGAGACGTATCTATATGTGCATGTGACAAGTTGTCGTGTGACTGTGGCTTGCCATGGTATCCCAACTACGCAGCAACGTGTGCCTTGAAACGCACAGAATCAGGTAGCCATGCTGGAAGGCTGAGAAAGCCAAGGAAGGATACCAAAAGTGGAGACGAAGGATCTCTAAAGTACGCTGACGATATTATAGGAAGCCCGGAGCCTACGGTACTTGATCATATATTTTGGCAATCATACTCTCTTCACGTTTGGTAATTGGAAAGAGAGAGTACCAGACACCGAGAAGGCGGGGCGGCGGCTGGAAGAGGAACGCGAACGGATCGATGGAAGGCTGAAAAGGAAGGCTAATGAAGCTGCCTCTTCGGGAACCCAGCCGAGGCAAAGGTGACACGGACCGCATCTTGGCTTTCATAGGGTCTAACAAAGCTGATGATAGAAGCGCAGCGACACCAAAACGGGGTGGAAATCGGTAACACGCCTTTTACCTACTAGCAACGAAAGTAACTCCTGCGCAACGCCAGAAAGCTCGGTCCACTTTCGTGATGCCAGTGATTGCGTATCACTAGCGCGAACGAGCGTTCGCGCTACCCCACCCACACTGTCCCTAATGTTTTCTACACAGCCATATTTAGTACCTCGTCGTCTGCATACAAACGAAAAAGATGGGGAACGCGGCCTGGCTCAGTGAAAACAAGCGCACACTCGAGGCCGCGGAGACGGACCTTGACAGGTCAGTGACGAGAACCTTGACACAGTGCTTGACTACTGCTTGCAACTTTTACGTTTCTCACAAAAGAGATGTCGGTTCAAACAAAGTAAGTCTTGTAGTCCTGAAATGACTGCGCGAGAAACGATAGCTAACCACCAACGCAGGCTTGATCGATCGAAAGAAAAAGTCGCGAATCTGGCGATCAGGCGAAGAGATGCGGGCAGCGAGTGTGACCAGCTCAGCTGCTTCGTCGCTAAGAAGCTATGTCGTACCTTCGCCGACAAGTCTTACGTCACCCTACCGCGCGAGCTCCGCGAGATGGTCTACGACTACGTCTGAAATTGGGTCATGCTCTACCTCACCCTCGACGATGTGACTCTGTACGGAAACGGTTCGGACGATTCACTTGAGCCTCCTCCATCCTCACAGAATAGCCATCAGCAACGCAAGGGGACCAAATCCGTGCCTTGGGCCATACCTTGCACGCAAGATACCTGTCGTTGCTTCGATTGGTGAGAGCGATCGCATGCAGTAGTTAATAAGTGCTCACGGAAGATGCCAAAGTAAGTGTGCTTGCTTGGGACATTGAAGCGCTCGAAGAATATGATGTCTCGGACTAGTACACGCTCTCATTGGTCGACTGGCAGAAAAAGTGGATTTGGAAGGTGAAGAAAGACCACCGCCGCAAGGGCTACGTCTCAATTCATGATGATCTTAGGAAATTCCCTAGTGGCTTCTCATATTACGAAGACTTGACAGACGATGCAGAAAAGGCTGCAGAACGAGAAGAGTAGGAAGACGACCAGGACAAGGTGTTTTTGGAAGCTCTGGCGGGCTTAGAGGGTCCAACCAGGACCGTTCCCGTGTCCTATCCCTTTTCCGGTTTACAACACTGATGCAGAGGACGTTCTCTGATATCCTCGCGAATATTTTACATCAGAGCCTCGGACACGTCTACGCCGACGACAGTACTCAAGAAACCTGAGCACGAACTCCAATATCTCTATGTTAGAAAAGACAGGAGGTTGCGTGGTGGTGCTCCAAGGATTAGCAGCAATAGTGTTCGAGGTCATATAACACTCGGTGGCTATGACTTGCTTCAATAGTCCCGTAATATACACGGAAAATACTTGCACGGCATCTTCATCCCTCATGCAAATAGTGACGCAACTTCTCGTGCAATTCCAGTGACTATGAAAGGTAATAATACGACAAACTTGAGTTGACAGTCACAGCGTCGTAAGATCCCGAGATGAGTCAAGAAAATACTAGTGCTCTTCGGTATTAATCGATCGATGAGGCAGAACCTTTATTGAACTGGATGTTCGAAGAGAATCACTTCAGCTTAAATATAGATCAAGCCGCCGATCCTAACTACCCATCCCTATCATACACACACAAAATACCTCTCCTGCAATACGTCGTGCAACCTCCCAAACACACCCCCACGCCATTCTTTGAAATCCTCCCATTCCTCCTTTGGCATGCACTTCGCCATCATGTTCAACCACCCACCCACAATTAAATCCGCATAGTTCGCCTTTTCGCCCTCCAAAAAGGGCCCCCCCTCATTTACCACAAAGAAGTCTGCTAGTGACTTCAGCGCCGCCTTGAACGCCACCTTGAGCTGTTCCCTAGCCTCGCCCTGAACGCTTACACTATCCCAAGACTCCAAATGCGCTCGCTTACACATTTGCGCCTTTACGGCCTCTGCAGTCTCAGGATTAAACGGCATATACTGCGAGACAAGGATGACATGCGCAGAAAACGTCGCATCAACATGCGTGTTGAACTTTGCATACGCCTCATTCTTCGCACCCTCGTTTAGCGTCAGAGGCGCAAAGAACATGGTATCTTTATTCGGGCTCTCATAATCCAGTCCTGTGCCCTTGGAGTCCTTCGGAAAGAGACAGCCGCCAGAATCTGGAAACGTGTCTTCGAGGTAGTTTGCAATGTCGAAACTGTCCCCAATGGTCTTGTTGGAGGAAGGGTCTTGTAGCATGGGTAGGGTGTGGTAGTCTGAGCCATCGTCCAACTTGCGTGTGGCTGGACAATTAAGCCCCTTGCGGACGGTGGTGATGTCCAATAAGTCGACCCATGTTGTTTTAAAGGGAACTTTCTTGAAGCTAAGGGCTAGACGGGCTTTGGAGGGATTGGGTGCGTAAGAGCGAGGTTGTATTGGTGAGGAGATGTCATAGAAGACGAGGGGCTTTGAGTCTGTCATTTTGAAGGCGGAAGTAGTGAGTGAATCCGTAATGTTGGCTTGTTCTAAAAACGAGCGAGCGGAACAATGAGTGTGAGCCTGAAAGTCGTGGTAATTGCAGCGAAACCATCGTGGCTAATGTACATTTATGTATGTAAGATATCAAGAGCTTGGCGCGTTGAGGGGCGAGGCTAAGATTTGGGATTGGTAGCGACTTGGGGTTGCGCTTGCTGCTGCGTTTTGCCAAATCAGTCTAGAGGTGTATGAGCCATTCTGACGCATATTGCTTTTTGCAGCCAGCCAGTAGTCGTGGCATCGAGTTGATGGAAGATAAACATGGCCCCCTGTGGAAACGACGTGACTACTAGCGGAGAATTTATTCGCAAACCCGGAACCTCAGATTATTTGTGTTGTGCTGGTAGCTCTTAACGTGTGCAGAGAGTAGAGCGCACAGGCCATACGCTAGAGGTCAGTGGGGAAGGAAGGACGTCGCTGTTACTCGGACACCTCACGCGTCAAATCTCTTCTTCGCAAGGCTTCACGCGTCTGTATTCGACGGGTTTTATGTTTCAGTGAACAAATATCCGTTCATGGTCGTTTGCACCGCGTGTAATAGAGGCTGTTTGCAAGGCAGACCAAGTTCACGCGTGTAACGATGACTAACACAGCTATTGGACAGACTCGGCACCGGTCTCGTCCTAGTCTTGTCCTCGTCATAGGTCAACGGACTGCTCACACGCGCGATGAATCTAGCATTCCATACGGGTGCAATGCATCAAGCGAGGGTATATATGTCGGCGCCTTCTGACCAGCGGCATACTAGAAGATCAAATGCACAATGTCAGCTACACAGCGCGTAGATGCTCTCGACTTCCTGGACGTCGCGCACGATGACGAGCTTCCGGGCTACGGTGAGGCTGAGACGGCTCCAGCCTACGATGACGGCGCATACGACGGGCCCCTTGTTACCTACCATCTTCGCCAGTATGACCGCAAGATACAGATGCTCGCTGCCTACAATGGGCCGCTCGCCTCCTCGTACAGAATCACAACGAACAGCTTCCGCGTCTTCTCGAAGAAGCCGGAGATGGAGGTGCTGCATACGTCGCAGGATATGCGCCAGCGCAATATAGCTGCTCTTTCGTATGACAACGACGGAGGGTTCCCCTGGCGGCCGCGCGCGCATTTTGATTATGCTTCGGAGGACGGGTTGCGTACAAAGTACAAGATGGAGTCGCTGAACTTTGAAGACTGGAGTCTCACGGTTGGAGACAAGACATACGTCTGGGTACTCGAGATGCGACCGATCGCATTGGGTGTGTACGAGAGAGGCTCTAGCAAGGTCATTGCGCGCTTTACGTTTTCAGACAAAGGTGTGCTGGCACTCAGAGGCGCCGAGGTCGGTGAGATGACTGTGTTTCGCGATGGACTGACACTGGCGCCGGGTGGGATTGACAAAGTCATCTGTGGCACCATGGTTGTCCTCACCTTCTTCAAAAGAATGGGCAGGAACTATACGAACCCGAGGATGGATGGGTTGGCGAGAGTAGGTTCTGTGACAGGAGGCACGCCGCTGCCGTCGTTGCATAGGGGCTCGACAGCAGGCTATTCAACCGTGGGCAACTGGGCAGGATAATATATGTAGTTGGTGATTGGGCACAACGAAGACATATCGCGAGACGTGAAACATGCAAAAGTTCACATTGCTATGCTTATGCCACGTGTGGAAGGGCCGAGAAGGTACCTAAAGACTAGAAGGTTGTCGATCCGGGGCATCGTCTACCAGGCGGGTGGTTTGGGTGTCATGAGACTGACTAGAGAGGCGACTTGACAGCGCACTACTCGAGACAGCGGCGCGGACCGTTTGAACGACTGTTAGCAAGCACCTAGCAGCCGTTGAGAAGTTGGTGTTGCAAACGTCTTTCTTTTTTTTATTTTGGTCATGCAAGTGCATGCTAGTCTTGCCCCGGCGGCAAGACAGGACACAAGGCCGACTAGGGTGAAAGTCTGGATCGCAGCGGATCCAGTTAATCTGCCGATCAAAAGAGCAAGTGGAGACGAGGCCCGTTCAAGACGACAAGGCCATCCCCGCTTGCCAAGTGGCCTGAACTCGTGTTTGCTGGTGGAGAGCGAGCCGGACAAGACGCACACAACACGCTTGGTGCTGCAGCGCAACAAAATGAGGACAGGTGTGGCTCGTCGGCATTGCGCGGTCAGATTGCACTCTCTTCTCGGCCAGGTAATTTGTTCAGTCCATGCCGCGGAATGCTGGCAAGGCGTGGCGAACCCAAGGCAGCGCGCGAGCCTAGAGCTGTCAGCCCATGTTCAGCGGTCGACAGCTCTAACCCAAAGGGAACTCATGCCAATCTCTCCCCGGGAGGTCCGCCCTCCATCCTTTTCCATCACAGTGGACGCGACGTGCGCGCTGAGTCTCTTGCTACTCATCCGCACCTTAGTCCGCCCGCCAGAGCACACCGGCTCGTCCTCTCTTTTCGCGCACGCAAGAATCGTACGGTACCTGCTGCCAAAAGCAAAATATACCCTGTAGAACCTAAAGCCGAACCTGTCTTACTGCTTCGGGCGTAGTACCCTCTGCCGTGCTTTCACTCCACCTCGCCTGCCCTCTGCGACTCGCACCCCAGATTGCATCGAGATCTGCCTCTGATCGTCCACAACACCCAAGCGAAAACTCCGTCGCCGCCGCCGCCCACTGCGAGGAATGGGATACGCACATCCTACACACTCCACCGACAACTCCCGTCGTTCGCGTCTGTCAGCTCGCTGGTACCGCTAGGATAGCTGACTGAGATCCGCCCCGACTGCGCTTTCTCTCGCTTTCTCCGGGCTGCGTTGCTCCCCTCAACAGCACGTCCGACGTGTAGCCTGCGACGCCTCGCAGGGTTATGGTCAAGATGCGGATTCCCATCCGTGAGCAGTTGGGATGTCTGGTTCTGCTGGCTTCCATGATAGGCCTGGCTGTGATAGCTGTCGCAACATGGGTACCTACCAACGCTGTGTATTCCTCCGTACCAATGCTAACTCTGCCAGCTCACCAACCACAACTTTGTCTTGAATATACGGTAAATCTTGCCGTTTCACACCACCGACGTGCCCTACTAATCCTCCGCTTAGGTCCACTCGTCTCACGCTGACAGCCTCTCTCAAAGCCGCCCAACTGTCGTCGAACCTGGCTCTCATGCAAATCCTCACTCAACAGGCTGCCAACCGTCTCTCTCCACAGTCTGCCCTCAACCGATACTACGGTGGAAATTTATCGGATGAAAACTGGTCCCGGGTCGAGGAGGACTATGATGCCATCTTCTCCGGTGACATGCGGACCCGTGTGGCTATCCAAGCCCAGATATACCCCTTCAACTCCTCCGAGCGCTCTATATTCAGTCGGACTGCATACAGCATGATGGACGTTGTGCTGCCCATACTCAAGCCCGACGGACAGAATGCAACACTAGGTGACACCGAGTACGGTTTCATCCCAGAGCTCTATCCCAAGTTCACTATAGAGACCATACCATACAATGACACTGTCAACACGTACAAGGCACACTACGAAGGCAGAACTATCGACAACACCAGCTACCTCTTTTCCGGCCCATACCGCGTCAACGAAACACTCAGCCTAGTGTCAATTACCACTCCCATCATCAATAACACGTCCAACATTGATACCCTTGGATGGCTGACGGCTGTCTTGGATGCATCGCTCATCACCAATGTTGTCAACGCCATGGAGGGCCTCGACGAGAGCGGTCTTACCCTGCTTTTCGGCCCGAACAATGCCACCAATGCTTTCCCTGTCGAGTACCTGTACGATGCTGCAAACCCTAGCGCTCCCGAGGACGTACAGGTGCGCTATCTTGCCCCGCCAACGCAGCGATCAAAAGTGCAGAGGCATGGCCAATACGATACTGCTCTCGATCCACCGCCATTCTCCTGGACCAAGTATCCCGCTATACGCAAGGGCTTCACCAAGCCCACTGGCGCCACCAACAACGCTGGAAGCATCATCTCTACCAGCAACGAGGATGGCGACAATGTTGCTGTTGGATACGCTGTCATCAATAGTCCTATGGTCGACTGGATGGTTGTGGTAGAGCAAACCCATGATGAAGTCTGGGGACCCATCTACCACCTACGCAACGTCATCATCGCATGTGTGTTCGGCACACTGGGTGCCATGTTACTCCTCACATTTCCTGTAGCACATTTCTCCAGCCAGCCGATCCGAAGACTCCGAGACGCGACCAAGAAAACCGTAGCGCCCCACATGTTCGAGGACGATGATTTCAGCTCGCAAAACGATGGTCCCAATGACAGTTCGGAAGACGGGGCTCTTGCCCGTAAAGAAGGCTTCTTTGGCCAGATCGTTCATTATCGGAGGAATGCAAAACTCAACCGTGCAGAGAAGAAAGAAGCAGCGAGGCGGAGGCAGTTCCGCATCCCAGGCAAGGTCAAGGACCGCAAGCACTTCATCCACGACGAACTCACCGACTTAACGACCACCTTCAACGAGATGACGGACGAGCTGATGATGCAGTACGAAAAATTGGAGGAGAGGGTGGCACAAAGAACGGCCGAGCTCGAACAGAGCAAAAAGGCGGCTGAAGCGGCCAACGAAAGCAAGACCTTGTTCATCGCAAACATCTCGCACGAGTTGAAGACGCCTCTGAACGGTATATTGGGCATGTGCGCTGTGTGCATGTCAGAAGACGACCCAATCAAGTTAAGACGATCATTAGGCATCATCTACAAGAGCGGAGACTTGCTACTCAACCTACTCACAGATCTCTTGACGTTCAGCAAAAATCAGGTTGGTCAGCAACTAAGTCTAGATGAGAAGGAATTCCGGTTACGCGATATCAGCTCCCAAGTCTTGGCTATTTTCGAAAAGCAGGCAAGGGAGGGCGGTATCAAGCTCGCCGTCGAATTCGAGGGACCGTATGAGAACAATCTGGACGACAACGGACGACCCAACGAACTACGCGATCTTGGACCTTTCGGACTAGGCCGTCTCAAGGACATGGTCTTGTACGGTGACCAACATCGGATACTCCAAGTCGTTATCAACTTGGTATCGAACAGTCTCAAGTTCACTCCACAAGGCGGTTCTGTTACGCTTACCATCCGTTGCCCTGGAGAGGCCCACATGTCTGACAGTCGCAAAGCCTCCCTACAATCACGACAAAGCTCCACACGCAACTCAAAAACTCGCATGAGAGCCTCTGCGTCTGAGGTAGGATCCGTTTCAGTTGCCACACCACCAGACCACAACTACGGCACTGCCAATGTCATCAACGTCATGGGCAAAGGAGACGCGTTCGCCCGCTACATGGCACAAGAGCGAGCTGCGACACCACCGCCCGGAAGATGGTTATCTTTCGAATTTGAGGTGGAAGATACTGGTCCAGGTATACCTGACAATCTACACTCCAAGATCTTCGAGCCTTTTGTTCAAGGTGATCTGGGGCTTAGCAAGAAGTTTGGAGGCACGGGCCTTGGTCTGAGTATCTGTTCGCAACTTGCTGGTTTGATGAAGGGTACGATTGGTCTCAAGAGTGAGGTCGGACACGGAAGTGTGTTTACCATGGTAATACCGTTGAAGCATCTCACCAGTCGGGCCGACAGTACAGCAAGCTCAAGAAACGTGAACCTGGAAACCGGGACACCGCGCCGGAGTCTGTCGATCGACGAGCCGCAGCGAGGCCGCTCACATGATGACGCGCTTTCGGCCCGCTCGATACAATCCGCTACAAGTGGTCCGATCGTCGCTGGGAACACCGTTGCTACTGCTCCACAAGGGCCGGTGGCATTCGACACCGACAACCAACCCCGTCTTGTTGGTCTCAGTCAGCCTTTCTTCGCTTCGAACGCGCCACTAGAGTCGCCAAACTCGCAAGTCGCGGCTATGAAGCGGGTGGAAGCCGAAGCAACAAAACGAGGAGACAAGGTCAAGGTGCTCGTCGCTGAGGACAACAAGACTAATCAAGAGGTCGTACTGCGCATGTTGAAGCTGGAAGATGTGTACGATGTGACTGTCGCGAAGGACGGCCAGGAAGCACTTGACAAGGTCATGGAGAGTATGGAACGTCAAGCTCCATACAATCTCATCTTCATGGACGTCCAAATGCCCAACCTGGATGGTCTGCAATCAACGCGACTCATCAGACAGTCCGGCTTCTCAGCTCCCATCGTCGCTCTGACAGCGTACGCGGAGGAGAGCAATGTGAAGGTGTGTAACCCATGATCTCATTCCGACTACCCAGATGCTAACATGTCACAGGAATGCCTCGACTCAGGCATGGACTTCTTCCTCTCGAAACCGATTCGCCGGCCCGCCCTCAAACACGTCCTCAAAACATACTGCCCCACGATTCCGGAAGAGGATTCGGATACAACGCCGCCTGGTTCCGCGAAACTGGCCCCCAAAACAAACGGTGCAGTGGTAGTCCCAGCTCCTGGAGCGAACACCACAGCACCTTTTACCATTGTATCTGGCACGGGCACAGGCGAGAATCGTCGTGCGGATGAATCGCCTGCTGTATCGCCTATGACTTCGCCGCCCGCTGCATAGCGACAGTGACATCTGCCGTCTCCACAACGCTTTTTGATCTTTCCCAACTCTGTCTACGAAGTTCTTTGTTAATGTCCTACGCACGATACCACCTAATCGCTACTTTTCTAATCCTGTCTTTTGATACAACAGTTTTCTGTTTCTAACTTTTATTCCTGTTTTTGCAAAGCAGCAACTGTACATAGCAAGCATGGCGCTGGTGGGACATGGAAGTTCAGCTTCCCTTTTTCTTTTATCTCTTTTTGAATCACAAAACATTTGGGTGCGCGTTTTGGCGTCTTCTTCCTCTCGATCTTGAATCTAGGAGGCTTCGGTATCTGGGTCATCTTGGGGGGGGAATGTTTTCTTGGTGTTGATGTTAGAGAAGATGGGATGTCTTCGGGGAATTTTCATCACTAAGCAACAAAATATCTAGGAAGGAACTGGGATGAATCAACTGATCTTGCAGTGCTGTCTTGGCTGCTGCGTACCAAACAAGTTGTGTCTTTCTTCGTCTCCCTGCTGTGATCTACCCAACCCTGCCTTCCCTTCCCTCCCAAGGTTTCTCTACCTCCATCAACCTAAAATAATTAAAAAAAAAAACAAAAGAAAAAAAGTCGAGCAAAAGTTTAAAAACATACAACAGCGGGGATTCGCTAGTGGTCACCCACCTAACTACTAATCCGCCGGTACACTGCTTGTATATGGCTGAGCGGACGGGAAGCCTAATTCTCAGTGTCCTATGGTCGTATGTGAAAAAATGCAGAGCTTTGTCCAATATATTTTCGGGGTAAACGGATCGATGGAGACGAACGGAATCTTTGGGACAGATCTTGCTTGTATCATGTGTAGGGTATCATTTTTGGGACAGTGAGTGACAGGTTGACGGTCTGGAGTACTGCACAAACCGAGCAACAGCCCAACTGCCCTCTTCGACGGGCTGACCAGTCGATAATCATCCAAGTTTCCTACTCGAGGACAATATCCTCACGCAAAAGACCCATCTTCAGCGCCTCACCATGCATGACCCCATACACAAACGACTCTCCTACAAGACGATAATGACCATTGGGCAAAGGCCGCAACACAAAAGGAAGACCACCACGGTACAACACCCAGACCTCATCACCTACACGCAACGATCTCGCTCCAGTGCCCATGAAGCCTCGGCGTGTCTTGAAGAGTCTCCGCTGCCGCCCTCCACTCTGATCAAGCTCGTGTTGCAGCTGTGCGAGCCCGATTGGCGAGTACGTGCCATTGAACATACTCTCCACGACTGTAGTCAAGCGCTTAGTATACGAGCTCAGTTTGTATTGTGAGTCTGGAGGTTCAAGCTCGAAGAGCTTGCGCCAATTAGGATATATGAAATCTGATAGTGGAGAATGATGGGGTTGGAATTCATCAGCGCTGGACCATGGTGTCAAGCGATGTCTGATTTGGAGGTTGAGAATGTAGTCGATGAACAGCAAGCCCGTTTCCGGTGGAGATGGGTATGTGTGGTTGTAGATGTCGGTAGTCAGTGTCCGCCATAGTACCTCGACACGCGATGGTGTCTTGCCAGTTGCACCGGGGTCTGGATAAGGAGAGTCGAGAGAAAGAGCTAGATTCACGATGCTTGCCCATCCTGCAGAAGGGTCTTCTGATTCGTCGATAAGTAGTGAAGTCTGATCAATATGGTCTAGTTGTATCCCTTGGACCCAAAGTAATCCCTTCCTCATGTTTGTTACAGCTGGACGCCAATGGCGGCTACCAGCAGCTGCCCAGTGTGCGGGACCACGGTAGCGGAGCGGATATGGTTGGAGCGATACACTAAGGTCAGGCACCCAGGACGGTAGATTGGATATCTGTCTTTGTGAAGCGTCTTCCACGTGCGATAGCCAGGAAAGATTCTTATAGGAAGACATAAGAACGGTTGCGGTTTCGGTGTAGACTTCTTGCACACTGAGATTATAGTCTGGGATAAGCGCATTTGGCTGCGTACGGAAGGGTGATAGGCTCTTATTGGCAAGGCCGAGGAAAGCATAGACCTTGTCCCTTGGGTCTGAGGATTCGGCAAAGCGATGCTTGTCTAGGAGGTTTCGAAGAGATGAGTGGCTGACCACTTGGCCGTTCGTCTCGGCCAACAACGATGCAGTCAGTCGAGTGGAGTTAAGATTCAGAGGGCTGATTCCGACTTCAAGTTTCGACTTGAGGACTTGCCTATAGATACCGGGCTGTTTCCGCAACTCTTTCACGTGCCTCAGCTTCTCTGAACGCAGATGATGATACCATCGCGTAATCTTGACAAAAGATAGTGTTTTGGCTAGAAGTTCCCAGGGAAATACCTTGCTACCACAAACCACCAGGGCTGTCTTGCCAAGCGCGATTTCTTGAATGACCTGGAGGAGTCAGCTATACGTCGTACAGGTATACGCTTGTTGCGGGCTTACCCAAGCCCTCTTGAACCATGGGCGATTAATTAGGACTATGAAACCTAGCCAGTTATAGAAGGTGAGTCTAGTAGCAACGACCAACGGACTCTCTTCTGGATTATAAAATGAGGTGTATGGCACTAGCGGCCATTTTCCCTCAGGAGTCGCCGATATCCTCTGCATCGTGGTAAGAGCGTCCTGTGTGTATTGGTCCTCTTTGCCTAACCAGACTACAACACCATCTGCTTTTTTGAAGACGTCGGCCATGCTGGCAACTTGCGCATTTCTTTCTTCAATGTTTGTCTGGTTCACACACAAAAAGTCTATCCAGTAGTAGGTGGGTGTTTTCGGCATGTGCGGCATGTTGACTGCATTGCTGAGCATGAGGAGTGCATCCCGAAGATTGCTATTGACCTTGATAAGGCGATCATCGCAGATGATGGTGTGTTGACGGGCCGAGTTCACTCTTGTAGTCAACAGAGACTTTGGACCCGTCCCTCCATGTGTTGATGTTGGTGGAATAGAGGTACGCGAACTTCCCCATGTGTAAGACAGGGCTTTAAAGAAAGGTGCGTCTTCCAGCTCAGTCGTCTTCAGGGAACAACGTATGACGCCATTGCTTGCAGTTGGTAAGAGCTCCAACAGACGTATGCAAGTGGGCGAAGGTAGACTTTGATATTGGTAGCGTTTGAGGTTGTAGGCTATAGGCAGCTTCGCAGTCTGAGTAACGCGAGCATAGCGTACGAGTCTGCGCAGCCTCATGAGTGGATCGAGTAGCTTCAGAGTGCATTGCGCATTGGTGCGTCACTAGAGGTCAGTGCGGGTGGGGTTGCAAGGTGGGGAGCGACGAACGTCATTCGCCAGTTTGCGTCCATGATCACTCAGCTTCAACCAGCAGGCACCATGATGCATGTGATTTCATGATTCGCTACTGACTGCAGAGGTCGTCAGAAGTTGCTACATGGTAGATAAGAGGTCTTGCAACACGTCGAGGCTGCTGCGAATTCGGTGAGAAGAACCCACGCGGATGACGCGAATTCATTCCATGTCTGCTTCAGTTTCAAAGCTAGGGGCATCTTCTTGCTTCGAGTTTATTTTGTGAAGCTTGAGTTGCGGCTTCATCGCAGCTTCCTGTGTTGACGGAGCTGGCTTGTTCTAGTGGCATTCACATGCCAGGTCAACAGAATATACACCTTTGCAGACAGCCAATCATACAAAAATGCTCAAGACTCAGCATCAGCGACACACAATAGCAAATCCAGGCATCATGGCGGCATCTTGGAAACTCGAAGTCGAGATCAATTACATGCTTTCTGCACGTGCTTTCCGCATTCAACGTTCTCGTACCTCCTCCGTAGTCTTGACGTTTCAGGTCAACCAGGGTAGAGGAGCCACCGTCAGAACATCGGCATCATCTTTGCAGGCGAACGATGCCGGCACCAGACCTGCCAAAAGCAGTCGTCGGAAGTCCGCGGTCCTAACCATGCAAGACACAAAACAGCCTTACGATCCCTACCAGGCCGGAGCTGGTACTATAAATCTAACAAGCTATATGTGATAATAACCGTAGAGGACACGGCAATATTGCGCAGACAACGGAGCATGGTTACTCTCCGTGTCCCAAGGATTATATAAACTTTGTCTTGTGACGATCCAAGAATAGACCGCATGTGTTGGGATTGTGACGCTCAAGGATATCGACATGCTGCTCGTTTTTGGTGCTGATGAAAGGTATCAACTTCATCTGGGCATACGTAGTGGTATTGCGCAAGTATGTCTCAATTGCTGGCATACTTCGATTGGCTGCAGTGGTGTTCTAGTATCAATGCGTTGCGTTGCGGTGACCGTTCAAGGAGAGCTTGAAATCTTGTATGGAACCTGTTGGGCCTGCCCCGTCATGGTCCGACATCACTGGTCAATTGCTGGTGGGGACGTTTCAGCGACCGGTGAAGTCAAATGCGCAGCACCATATATTGGTAATGTTGCTCGGAATGTATTGCTGTATGCTGGCAATGCGCGACCAGCCAGCGCAATCACGACGGAAACGGGAATCGCGGGGAGAGACGGGCAGGATGCGACATCGATGACCAACACACATGATAGCAAGTTTGATCGTATGTGCACTAGTGGACGGGACACAACCGCGGCGCGAGACTCGCCTGAATGGGCCCGATGCCGATGCCAGCGGGTGCTTGATTTTGACAGGCCGGTAACACTCGCACTGACGACTCAAAAGAGCATCGAACCCGTCATGTTTTCCTGGTTGGGCGCTACCAACGTGGTCTGATTCCGCCACTCCCGCTGTCAGTAACGTAGCTGTCAAAATGCCGTCCTTCATCGCTTCTGCTGGCACCCGCATGTAATACAACGGCAGCCCACGTTCCTGGACCGTCTGCTGTATGACTCTTGCATCGACTAGGGCGGAAAAGCTTGCTATAAGGGTAGGTTGCTGCTGTGAGACTCCAGCCCTGTCACTCAAGTGGGAATAAACGCGTTCGTATGACCCCAAAAGCGGATATGTGCATGCTGTCTAATAGACTCAACAGTGTATAGGTCATGTATGTCGTGCTCAAATGAATTCCATCCTTTGTCCGCGGTGAAGAATGCCGATGCGCAATGTCACATTGTGGTTTCGTTATTGAGCCTCTTGGCCGCTCGTGCATATAGCACATGTGATTACACATCCACTCACTTCTTGCAGGATGCTGCCTTCGCAGCTCTAGACCAGGAATGTCCAGAAGCTTGGGTAGACAAACTCATCTTCAAAGATGCGCCTGACTTGCTCCAGTACGAATGACTCTACCTTCCCAACGTTCTTGAGGACCTGTTTACCACTGCCTTGCCCTCCTATTTCGCTTTCGACTTTGATGTGCTCCAACAGCCCTCCGATCTTAGGTCGTTGCACAGGACGTGGGTTTTGACCTTGTGCGTCTGTCTGAAGACCGTTGAAACCATTCTCTCCGCCGACCAGAGCATCTGCGTCTTCCGGTGACAGGAAGCAAAAGTGTGCTCTCTTCTTGATATATGCCAAGATCGCAACACCATCGAAGGTGAGTCCGGTGATGTTCAACTTGAGAGGAATGCCGACAAAGCTTGGCATGGGGTAGTCCAAAAGGATCTCTGCAGTCAAAGACATTTTGATGTCGCCAGAGTACTGCACATGGGTCACAACCTGTATATCATCAGGGCTCTTCTCACGCATGCGGTGAGGAGATGCGGATGGTGTCCGCCCGAAGCTGTGCTGAGAGTGACTGTCATCTGATCCGGCAAAGGACTGTTTCTTCCCATCGTCCTGTTGGTGCCTGGAAGAGGGTCTTGAGCTGGGATCTGGATGGGATTGTGGCGTGAGGGTTAGCGAGTTCATGGACGCGGCGTTCCGCAGACGCATATTTGTTGGCGTACTCGGCCGGCCGTGACGGTCGTCGAGCCAATTATGCAACTGGGCGCCAGCTACAGCGGCCAGAGGCGTCGTAGCACCAGAGAGGCCTGCACTTAGAGGCAGATGGAAGTAGTTCATGTTGGAGGTGCCACCAGGTATGCCTGGAGTGAGAGCTCCATGAAAGAATGGGCTGCCTAGCTCGTGGGGAGCCAATGATGAGCGCTTGGTGGATGGTCTAGCAAGAGGTTGAAAGGGGCGTAATCTATTCTGATTGGGAGTGTTTTCCTCCAAGTCTGCTTCTCGGCCTCGTTCCCTGGAATGACTATTCCTTGGTGAATGACTAGGTGGGTTGCTAGAATCGCGTGACTTGGCGTCATGCTCGGTGTCGTCTTCCCCCAGGTCGTCCCCTTGTTCGTCTGGATAGTCCTCATCATCTTCGTAAAAATCCGGCAGTGGGTCGCATATGTCTTTAATCTCAATCTCCGGGGGTACGCTGCCGAAGTCGAAGGAATGCACGTGAACTGAGCGAATGAATCGTGGCAGCGTCACCTGCTGGAACCGGTCGTGGATGAAGGCGCGTATCTTCTCTGCACGCGCGGAGCCTTCTGCACCGCCCGTGATGGTGTCCCAGTTGATGTCAATCGACATGGCTGGAGATTGATGGTTGGGGCTGACGAAAGAAAGTCGCGGCTACCAACACCGAATGAGGAAGCGACCACCGCGGGCCGAGCGCACAAACGATGACGCCGAGCCGCGAACCACTTATCATCCTGACCACGAAGTCATCGCTTGCGCACCTCATTTCTTCACGAAACGACCAAATGTGATGAGCTATTCACGTCTGCATTAGAACCCTGCCTTCCGTGTAGCCCCGTGCCGACTAGACTCAACGATGGGTAGTGAGACCCGCTCGCGGTGGTGTACCAAGTTAGTACAGGTATGACTTAACTCGAAAGCAGGTCGTCTAATTGATGACCCGAAAGGAGCCGCTCTGCGTTTCTGCACGTGCTATTACAAGCGTCTCTGTGCCGCAGATCGCCCATGTGATGTTTCGAGGAAACAAGAGCAAGGGATGGTGCGGTAGTTGCAGGGGTCCGCACCGGTAGGCGTCTTGCCTCTGCCTGGGGTAACAAATGAGCATGAAGATATCAACTACAGCACACCATGTTTTCAAAGACTGCCATCTAAGCTCGGTCGCACTAGCTCTTAACAGTGTGACAAGGAAACTTGAAAGAGCCAGGGAGGGTCGATGCACAATCACACGCATGACCGAGGGCGCTGGCACTACTACCGCGTCTATGTGGCTCAGTTTTCAGTTGAACCGTCAAGGCAGTCAGGCTGAATGCCTTCTAGAAGACGCGTTACCCGGTTGGCTGCAGATGATCAGTGCGGAGCTTGACGCATATCAGGTGCCCATTTATAACAGTCTCGGTTATTTGGCGATCGGGGTACATATTGGCGCAGGCCGCGGCTTTGCTGTTGGCTACATGAAAGCGCTGCATGCACTCGGTATTAGTGTATGAAAGAGATTTGGTTATTGCGATGGTGGCTGAGTTGGGCGTGGTTAGACGAACGCATCTAAGCTGACGAGGCGTTGAACATGCCACGGCCCGTCCCTCAGCATGATCGGAGGTGTAGTAAGACGGCCATATCTCCTCGAGCGTTATACGACAACGCCCCTGTTCCCAGGTTGAGTATTAGGCCCGGTGCACATGCTAGCATGTACTGCATGACAAGACTGGAGCTTGACTGATGGCGTCCTATCATGAGGCGTGAACGGACGGTGCCTTGACCATGTACTCTCGTTTACCTGGTTGTTAGTGCGAGGCTGATATACAAGGGAGTCAGGCCCCAATATACATGGCGGATTGGCGGCTCGCTTGATTGGCCTGACTCACAGAGGTGGTTCGAGAGCTACGTGAACTGTGATTGATGGCATCGCGGAGGCCGTAAGCCCAGGGCGATTGGCGAAAAACGGCATTGCATATGGGTCCTCATGCGTGATACTGTACCGCAGATCAGCGCAGATTGATTGGCCATGGGAATGGTCTTGTTCGGCGCGGAGGTCGCGCAATACAACAATGAGCTCAACGGATGAATTATGGTGATCCGAGAGGGGACGACATGTCCGTCTCGGGTGCGTAGAGATTGATTGACTCGCTCGTATACTGGACATTGTCCCTCATGCCAACGTTGCGAAGCGCTAGAGACGGCAGACAGAAATATAGTGATAGCAATGACAAGATAAGAAGAGAGAAGGCATGTGGTTCGCCGTCGGCGCATTGCGCGACATGATTATGAGAACGTGGTATCCATGTAGTAAGTAAGAAAATGTCTCGCAACGCGGGCCTGTATCCAAAACGCCGGACGTGCAGTGCCCAAGGTCCAATTAAGACGCAATGCCTAAGAAGGCCAATACTTTTTGAAATCCGTGACGCCATGAAATGCAGGCTTGGGGCCAGAGGCTCAATGGGGAGCTGGTGGTGTATCAGGGTATGGCAGAAGTCGCGCAATGGGGAGCTGCGAGGAAGGAGCGGCTCAGTGCGGCGGACTGGCCATGATGATGGGGTATCGTGCGAAGAAGTTCACGGTGGTACACTGCAGAGGCGGGGTGTTAGACACGTGTGACGCGTAGGGTTTGGGGAGTGTCGGGCGCACCTGTCTCAATGGTCGCATCTATCACACTTCTCGTCGTGCTTGACGGTCTTGGTGTTGCAGACGCCGCAGGGAGCTGTTCTCGACGTCGCGCATGGGGCCTTCTCGGCGATTTCGTGGCCGCAGCCATATTTGTGTACGACCTTGGTGCACATGTTTGGCGGGGGTGGGCGAACGGGCAGCGGGCAACACGCGGTTTAGGGTCGTACGGCGGGGGTATCGCCTTCTGCAACGGCGTGGGAGACGAGGAAGGCGGGGTGGCAGCTGTGCCGCGCTGATTGGCTGCTGGACGGGGAGCTCTTTCTTCTTGCAGGTGAGGGCGAGACTGCCGTGCGGAGCGCAGCTCAACGTGCTCGCGGGGAAGGAGGAGCAAGAGGGTGTGGTGGACGAGCACGAGCAAAAACAAGTCAAGTCAGGAATAAACAATGACGGTGAGAAGATAGAGATGGGCGGCCGGCGGCGGGAGCAAAGCTTCTTTCTTGTTGGCGGTGGGAGGGTGCCGGACTGATGGTCGACGAGGAGACGGCAAGGGCAGCAGCAGCAAGTGCGAGCTTGTACTTGGTGGAGAGGTGGAGTGTGAGGAATTGGTCGGAGCGTCCAAAAGGGATGCAGCGGGCAGCGTGGAGAGTTTTATAACTTCGACATTGCAGCGAGCCAGCCTGACGGTACGCTCCAAAGCTGTTAGATTACCTTCGCTCCCGTTTGCAACAGGACGCGACAGTCTTGTACAGCCGTTGGCTCCGTGCGGAAAGGCAAGCACATACATACGCGGACTTACTAGCCTCGACGCCTAGCTGCAGCCAGCAAGCCAGCATCGCATCAGCCAGGGTGATCCCGCCTCCTGGCCAGCGCCAGTGCTGTGACCAACACGCCGTGAATGGCCCAATCGCCGTGCCTGGACACCCGACGACCGTTTCTCTCCTCCTTCACCTGCCCAGGGTCTGCCCACTGCGGAGGCTGCCCGGCACTTTGCGAGGCCCAGGAAACACCCGCTGCGCCAGCTCCAGCTCTTGCCCATTTCATTTCAAATCAACTGCACAAACAAAATAGATCTACCCGAGGGGCGCCGGAAGAGCGCCCAACGCATCAGACCACAGGGCTGATTACACCGTCTGTGTCTGCGTCTTACTCGTACCGTACCACACCTGCTGTTGATAGACGTTGACCTCCACTACTGCAACCCTCCGTCCGTTACATGGCGAGATGCAACATCATGCCAGACGGCTAACGGCATCTTCCAACTCATCCTTTGTCGGCGACCAGAGTTGCGACTCTGTTTGCACTTCCTGCCTGACTCAAGCCTCGACTCAAGCATTGTGGTCAATAATCACCACGCGTACCCTGTCCGGACGACCGACGAGATGATCACACCCTTGTTCCTATCGCGACCGCACACCATTGGCACATGGCACCCTTGTGAATTCAATTGACAGACATAATAACACCAATGCCCCTACTTGTCATGCGCTGTCGATTCCAGTGCGGTGGACAGCACGGGTGGAACATTGGAAGCAACAATAAGGGCCGTACTTGCATAACGTCAACGCAACTCAATGACAGCTACCTCGGGGCGAGGTCAAGTGAAGCGTCGACGCAAAGCCGACTAATGTAGCTATCGAGTCTGGTAGCCCTGTGGGCCAAATTTGGACGCAAGCTTTAGCGTTGTAATTGCGACCTCCGCCCATGATTCGAGACAGGCTGGAAACTTCCTCCCTCCAGTCGTCAACCCAATTTCAAACCCTGGAACCAAACAAACTGCGGATTGCAAACACCCAACCGACTCGGAGCCCACCAAATGAGCTACCACGTCAGCGTCGGTTCAGAAGGTTGAGAGTCGAGCCGGGTTGCCGATATGTGATTACCGACAGTCTCCACACTCCGAGGACAGTACAAAAAGTCACCTGGAGCGCAGAAGCATCATACACGACTGAACACGTCCTTTTACGGTCCGCGATCGAGATACAAGCGCTACTCGACGCATGCTGTGTAGCCTGTCAGACTGTGTTCCACAACCAGTCTTCAACGGCGGCAGGGGTAATTTTGTCCGCCTTTCCCGACTCGCTCTAGCGTCACGGCCCGCTCTTACCTGATCGACTTGTGCGACCTGGAGCTCCACAGTGCAGATGCGCCGTCGGTGATCAAAAAGCAACGCGGACTGTTTCGTTTTGCGAGACGCAGGAATCAAGTCCGCGCGCCTGCAGTGTTGGCGCGCAGAAGCAACATGTGTCTTATACCTGCAACAGCCCTCCAAAGTCTGTTGCTCTCTACTACGAGCTATCGCCCGCTTGAGCAGGGCTGTGTTTCGGCACATTGATCCACGTTTGAGGCGCGGGGGTTCGCGGCTGTAAGATTAAGATGTGACTCGTCTTCCCTTTTGCGTGAGGCTTGTCCCCCATTTCCACGCGCATCACAGTAGCCTCATGTGACTGATTCGGCTATTGCTCGGCAGTGGACAACGCAATGCTGCTGATCAATGATCAACATGGTCGTCAGATCTGTACAGCACTGTGCTGCACAATATGGTGTACTGATCAAGAACCACTGCAACATCGATTTGCGTGCCCACTGATTTACGCAAGACTCTGGCAGCATCACTTGCGGCTCGGATACTGTCAAGGTCAGCCTGGCGGTAATCTCCAGGATGCGAATCTCGGTTGCGCTTACCACACGCGAAGGCACTAAGTCAGGCCGCGCTATACCACAGTGCGCTTGTGACAGCGGCCCTATCCTTATATCCTTCCGATGACCACCAAAAAACCGTTGGCTGCTGGTCTCGCTAGCATTCCTTTGAGGTTGTCAGTTGCTAAGAGGCACAGCATGCCCCACTACGCTTGAAGGAGAGCAGTCATTATGACTAGTACCAGCGACTATGCGTCAACCTCGGTGTACGCCTGATCAACAGCTACAATTAGAACCGGGGCTGCCCCGCCTCTCGACGGACACGGTGTCTCGTCTACATTCCGCACCTTCGCGGCTACTTGTTCCTTGTCAATGGACATTTGTATTTATCTTGCATGTTGTTGAGGCTATTCCTTGTCGACTTTTCTACAAGGAGATCTGCGTCCGAGACATGGAACCAGCTGGGCCAGGCGCGTCTACACAGTGCGCTTGCATCGCGACATGGCGTGAGAACAATACAGTTGCAGATGCGGCTAGCCTGCTGCTCCGCAAGAGGCGTATCAACGGATAGCGGTATTTACCGGAAACCAAGCACGAAAGCTCATTGCAGCCTTGCAGGGCCGTACGGATGCCGCACAAATGCTGCGCATTCGCATCCGCACTTTGAAAGGTTTGTACAAGCAAAACCAATAAAGTTAAAGCTTCAGGGGCTGGCAGTGGATGATCGATGCCCTGAACGGCGCCCAACGGAGGTTGTGCATATATGCTCGCGCAACGACGATGCCAACAGCACCAGACTTGCATCGAAAATCTTCGCGTCTTCAGCTAGCGCATTGATGCCATGATAAATGATTTGACTGTTCAGAGTTATGAGTGCGATGATCAAGCTAAAGCTACTAGTGCACACAACGTTCAGTGCCAAAACGCCCTCAAAACACTTTTTCCGCCGTTTGACAATCTCGACCTTTGCGGAAGCCACGGACTGCGGAGAGTTTAGATATAGCTGCAAGGTACAGATGACAAGCGCAACGCCTGTCGATCATCAGCCAAGGCATTACGGTCAAGGTGAAGGAGCAGGCAATGCCAACCAGATGCAATATGTACAGACGATCCATTGGCAGAAGGATGATCCGGACCGCCACGGCACTTGACGGATACTAGCTACGCCGAAACTATCTTCTACAAATCCGCGAAACACCATCAGCAGATATTTCAGATCAGCGTGAACTCGTCGTCACTCTCAAATAAGCCAATCGCGTCCACACTATACTGACGTTGGCTAGCTGGCTGTATTGCGAAGCACGCTATCGACGCTTCGCAAACCGCTGGTCTGTTGTGCGAAAAAGTAACCCCGACATTAGCGTAGAGCGGCTTACCTCAATTGCATGAAACGATGAAACTGTCATGTGAAATTTGGTTCAGGAAAAGTTCCGGAGGTTGTGGGTGGCGTACTATTAAAGTAGACGCGATGTAGTTCGGCGTTTGCGGCCATGTAGGGGAAAGGTGTGTGACGGTTGGCGTCTGGGTCTCGTGCTTGAGGAAACGGTTATCGTGGCGTTTCAGCATCAATGGGAGTAGATAGCGAGGTCCAGTAGAGTTCATCGGAACACATGCGATAGGGCTTGGGCTCAAAGAGCGAGAGCGAAAACGCACGCTAAAATTCACGCGGTTGGTTAGCTCAACGAAGCCTGAAAAGCAGCCCCCTTCGCCCTGGATATCTTGTGCAATCCTCTCACATATGACTGCCTTCGCCTCCGGAGATGTCGTCTTTGCCCTGGACATGCTGGTAATCACTTCTGGTGGGGACAGTGCGGGGCGTCCACACGTGGACTTTGCAACGGTCTTCTTCTCTGACGTCACAGCATGATATTCCCGAGCAGCGGCACTTGAGCATTTGCTTACGACCTGTTCTCGACTCGCCGGGAACGGGTCTAGCAGCGACGTTTTGAGACAAGGTTCAAGGAGAGGCTATCCATTTCTCAGCATGGCATTCTCGAATTGCTCGGGCCAGCTGCCGGGTACATGGCAAAGTTGAGTCTCGCGTGGCATATCGGCGGGGCTCGGCAGTCGATGCAGACGTACAAATCACGATGATCGAACATCATCTGCTTTGCCATTGGCTGTCTTGCACGAACTCCACTTCCAAGCGCGTCGCAAACACGCAGCCAGAGTCCTGATGGAGCTGTGTGGTAGAGGCATTAGGCAACTCAAAGCCGAACTGCAGCGAGCACACGTCGTTATGACGTCGAAAAGTAAACAGATTCTCGCCCGCGGTTACGATACAAAGACGAGCGCGCCGCGCACAGCGAATGCCCTCCACATCGATTGACATCGCCAATCGTCTCAATCTTTACACATAATCGACAACATGGCGTCCGAAATGCTAGGCAACGCTGCGGAAAAGGCAAAGGGCCTTGTCGGTGAAAAGACCGGCAAGATGGCTCAGCTTGCAGCTGTTACCAAAGACGTTCACGACGACAAGTGGCGCATCACCACCGATGCTGGTGTTAAGCAGAGCAACACTGATGACTGGCTGTCGGTGGCGACAGACAACCAGCAAGGTCCCTCGCTGCTGGAGGATCACGCCGCTCGTGAGAAGGTAAGCACGCTATTCTTCGCAACGCAACACCATGGCCTGACAATCTCAGATCCACCGCTTCGACCACGAGCGCATTCCCGAGCGTGTTGTCCACGCCCGTGGCTCCGGTGCTTTTGGAAAGTTTAAACTCTTCGAGTCCGCTGAAGACGTCACATCGGCTGGCATTCTTACCGACACATCGCGCGAGACCCCCGTCTTCCTACGATTCTCAACTGTACTGGGTAGCCGTGGATCGGCAGACACTGTCCGTGATGTTCGCGGTTTCGCCGTCAAGTTCTACACAGAAGAGGGTAACTGGGACATTGTTGGAAACAACATTCCCGTCTTCTTCATCCAGGACTCTATGAAATTCGTAAGCAATGACCCTGTGCGAACCTCATTCCCCTATGTGAGATACTGACTTATTCAGCCCGACGCTATTCACGCCGGAAAGCCGGAGCCTGACTGTGAGGTCCCGCAAGCACAGTCCGCTCACAACAACTTCTGGGACTTCCAGTATATGCACCCAGAGGCTACGCACATGTTCATGTGGGCCATGTCCGACCGCACCATTCCCCGCTCATACCGTATGATGCAAGGTTTCGGTGTCAACACCTACACACTAATCAACGCCAAGGGCGAGAGGAGCTTTGTCAAGTTCCACTTCACCCCCCAACTCGGTGTCCACAGCTTCGTCTGGGACGAGGCTCTCAAGATTGCTGGCCAAGATCCCGACTTCCATCGCAAGGACTTGTGGATGGCTATCGACAGTGGCGCATACCCCAAGTGGAACTTCGGTATTCAAGTCCTCCCAGAGTCAAAGGAGCACGACTTCGATTTCGACATCTTGGATGCCACCAAGGTCTGGCCTGAGGAGCTTGTTCCCATCCGGTACATTGGTGAGCTCGAGCTGAACCAGAACCCCGACGAGTTCTTCACCCAAACAGAGCAAGTCGCCTTCTGCACAAGCCACATCGTCCCTGGTATCGGCTTCAGCAACGACCCTCTTCTGCAAGGTCGCAACTTCTCTTACCAGGACACCCAACTCTCACGTCTGGGTATCAACTGGGAAGAGCTGCCAATCAACAAGCCTGTCTGCCCCGTCATGAACTTCAACCGTGATGGTGCCATGCGCCATACTATCACCAAGGGCAAGGTCAACTACTGGCCTAACCGTTTCCAGACTGTTCCTCCTGCTACAGAAAAGGAGGGCGCCTACATCGATTACCCTGAGAAGACTGCCGGAATCAAGGCCCGCATGAAGACCAGCAAGTTCAGGGAGCACAAGAACCAGGCTGAGCTTTTCTACAATTCCATGTCAGAGAACGAGAAGATGCACATGAAGGACGCTTTCGCCTTCGAGCTTGACCACTGTGACGATCCCGTCGTCTACAAGCGTCTCTGTGAGCGTCTCTGTGAGATCGATCTTGAGCTCGCTCAGAGTGTTGCGGAGATGGTTGGCAGCGATGTGCCAACTGAGCAGACTCGCCCCAAGCACAACAAGAAGGCCAAGGGTCTCTCCCAGATGGACTTCATGCCCGAGAAGCCTACCATTGCCACCCGCATGGTTGCTATCCTTATCGCCGATGGTTACGACAAGGTCGCTTACAACGGCATCAAGGCTGCGCTCACTGCTGCCGGCGCCCTTCCCTTCACCATTTCACCCAGGAGAAACAAGATCTACGCCGATGGTGAGGACAAGAGTGGCTCCGGTGTCTTAGCAGACCACCACCTTGAGGGCCAACGCTCCACCATGTACGACAGTGTTTTCGTTCCTGGTGGTGCCAAGTCAGTCGAGACCCTCCGCAAGAACGGTCGCGCCGTTCACTGGATCCGCGAGGCTTTCGGTCATTTGAAGGCTATTGGCGGCACCGGCGAGGCCGTCTCCTTCATCAAGCAGGCCGTCGAACTCCCCGGTATGGAGTTCTCGGCCGCCGCTGATGTTGTCAACAGCTACGGTGTTGTCACTGCTGGTCAGGTTCACGCCGATAGCTTCAAGGAGGCTGTCAACATGGCCAAGGAGGCTAAGGACTTCACTAGCGCGTACTTGTACAGCATCTCACAGCACAAGAACTTTGAGCGTGAGAGCGCTGGGCTTAGCCAGATGGTTGCTTTCTAAGCGCGCGGGTTTGACGAAGAACGGTAATGATGAGATACCTTTTTACTTTCCGAGAACGTAGATAGATACGAAATGATACCACATGAATAGCTTTTACTCATATATTCTCGATTCAACTTTTCCACTCAGCCCCGAGTATTGATGATGGTGGTGCGAAGATAAGAGCTCGTTCAGGAAATATGTCGCCCCCCTCACCACTGTCGTTTGGCAGTTTTCTTTTCCATTTGTTTGTCTTTGTGCTACTCAGTACGCCAAACATACCGCTGATTCTCCGATCTCTTTTGTGCGACAGCAAAATATGCAGTTACCAGCTGTCCACCCATGACCTTCTGCCCATGTCTTATACAAACCCTGTATCCCTTGTAGTTTTGACCATCACGATACTTATCAATACAAGTCCTACAGGCATACTCTGTACCATCAGCATTATGCGTGGCTTGACCGTCATAGCGCTGGTTTATGCAGACGACGGTATTGCTGGCTAGTCGACCACGGGTGATGTACATTTCAATCAGTTTTTGAACGGCAGCTTGAATTTCTGTGTTGATCAACATGAGAGGAATGTTGATGTTTCCGTGGAAGAAGTAGATGGGTGCTCTGGAAGGGGCGATGAGGGTTTGGCTTGTGCTGGTGGTTGCTGTGGGCACTTTGGGGATCACTGGAGCTGCGGTGGTGTCTGGTGCGGGATCATTCGTGCCTTCGTCTTCTTCTTCACCTTCATCTTCATCTTCGTTCTCCGTTTGTCTGTCTTCTGTGTTCATACAGATTGGTAGTGGGACAGCATTTTCTTTGGCCCCGTCAGAATCTTCGTCCTCGGCATCACCATCGTCAGCAACCGCTCGATCTGCTCGTTCTTGTCTCTCGCGGTCTGCTTTTTCATCTATAAGCGCGAGGCATATTTTCCAGTCCTCATCATCTTGATGATCAAGGGGACGTGGGTTTTGCCTGTAATTTGCCAGTAGCTCTTCTCGTTTTTGGTACATGGAAGGCTAGTTAGAGACTGGCTGGATTGTCCAGATGTCGACGTAGCAGAGGGCGAAAGAAACATCTGTCTTTACTACAAGTATTATATATGTCTAGAAATAGGTGATTGCTTCATCACACAAATATATCGTGTCTTGTGGGTTCGTCCATATTGTTTGCTTCGAGTGGATGTTCGATCTAGTTAAACATGTTATTCTGCCAAACCTCTTGTGTGTTCCCGACAGCCATGCCGATGTTGTTCCCACCTACTACATGAGTCTAATTACTATTGGCGGTCCATATGATGTAGACAATGACGTAATTGTCCGTGTGAGACTGGTCTACGCAAAATGTAAGTTGGCTACTTTACTGATCACTTCATCGCTCTTTCCAAGGTTTGATACAGAGGTCCGCATCAAGCAGACTCATCCGTGGTATTCTCGCTAGAGCAGATATCTGCCTAGGTATGCGACACAAACAAAGTCTTCAAGGTGCTAATGAGTAGCCTGTCGTTAATATATAAGCTAAGACTGACTCAGCCATGGGAGATATGGGGATGGAGGTGGAGTTCGCGTTCTCCGTAACTTGCTTGCTGCAGCTCAGCCACACGCCCCACTTCGCACTGCCGACGCTAGCCTGTTTCGTACGGCTGCGCCCTTCTGAGAGGAAAGGGCGATACAGGAAATTAGCGCTTACGAACATCCGAAAGACGTTTCTTTTCACCCACATTGGAAGAAACCTACGCAACGACAGCGAACGTCGCGAAAGTAGAGTACCTCCTTCCAAGGCCAGATAGCTCATCCGGCAAGGTGAAGCGACAGGGCCAACTCGATATTCTGGCAAGCAGCGTAGGTTTCTCCACAGTCGCATCACGAACGACCGGCTTGGCGAAGTCGTAAAGTTACCGCAATTCCCCACTATTCGTCTCACCGGTTGCCTAAACCTTGGATCTCCATCGCCCTTCCCTGAAGCTGAAGGGCTGCATGAATGACTCCGAACTCCATCGCGAAACTCGTGGGCGCAGCGCCCTTTGATCTAAAATACCGAGCAACAGGCCTCAGGCTCCTAGACACTCATTCTCCATCATACTCGCTCATTTCTTGGAGCTTGTGATTGCTAACCGTCTACCACGACGAAAGCAAGACGCCGTACCCAACGACAACGCCCTCTGACAAATAACATAGTCATGGAGCATCAGGGCGCAGGTTTCGCCTTTGACACGACGAACATGGACTTCAGCAACATGTTCGCGACGCCACAACAACAGACGTTTACGCCAGCGGATAATACTTCTGGCTTCTTCTTCGCTGACGAGGGTATCGATACTACCGCATCATCTTTCATTGATCCGACTATATTCGACAACACCCCTCAGCAGAGCACATTTAACATGCAACATAGTCTTGTAAGCTTCTTGTTGGGCTTGCCGTATCGCATGCGTGCTAATAGTGTGGCAGACCTTGGATGACACCTCGGCGACCCCAGCATGGAATACGCAGCTCACTCCTGATATGCAACTCCAACATATCGCGAAATCATTCCCACCTACACCACTACAATCTTTTGATACCATGCCAACGCAGTTCAATACGCTTGGAAAGCGCCCACTCCAGCTTGATGTGCACGACTACCCTCAGTCGAAGCGTCACGCAAGCTTTGATTTCCCCTTGTTCCCCACACCCCCTGCGACAACCACGTCTAGCTGGAGCCTGGACCCTATCCCCTCCGTGGTAGCAGATGGGCTTCCAGATGAGGCAGCTGATGTCTGCGCGACATGGTTCAACAAATACAATGTACTGCCAAGTGACAGGCATATCGACTCTTTAAGCCAGCTCACTGGTGAGCCAGCAGATGCCATCCGAAGCTGGTTCAGTCAGCTCCTAAAGCAGGGTATGGGTGGCGGCCAGAGTGATTCAGCCTACAAGTCCCAGACAGCACTCATCCAACAAGAACAACAACAGAAGCAGCATGAATCCTTTTGGGATGACCACACATACCAGACAGAGCTTCCAGGAGCATACAATGTCTACGGAAGCGTTGCACAGCCAGCGCTTGGGGAGACGTCTTCTCCCGGCTCGTCACCCACTCGTGACAACACCACCGTCACCATACCAGTAGTCTCCACGCGAGGTAGCAAGAAGCGGTGCTGCCCTACCGAAGACCTTGAGTTGCTTGGTAGGGATCCTAGGAAAATCTACCAGTGTACCAGGAAGTGCGGCAAACGGTATGGCCGCAAGAACGACTGGAAGCGCAATGAAGAGGAAGGCTACCCATGTAAATCCTGGGTTTGCAGCCTGTGTACGATTGAGGGGGTTGAGAATGTCAAGCCATGTTATCGAAAGTACCACTTTGTCCAGCATTTCCGAAACATCCACCCCGAGATGAACCCTGAAGACTTCGACGATGCCAGTATAGTGATCTCCGAAACCGAATTCCCTCGTAGATGCGGATTTTGCCGACATCGCTTCGAATCCAGACAAGAACGTATAGATCACATCGCCGATCACTTCAAACAGGGCAAGTGCATGCTTGACTGGCGGGATGAGGAAGACAACGACAGTAACGATTCTGCGGACGATGACAATGACGACGGCCCAAGCGATGACGGCTTCGGTGGCAAACCTTCTCCTCAACCACCATTCGATCCACGTGGTGGTAGTGGCTCCAAATACTCTGGCAGCGGTGGCAGCGGTAGCGGTTCTACAGGCCCACCATCCTGCGGCGGATTCTTCCAATTCCAGCTCTCACAACTTGGTGAGAGCCAGTCGGATTGTGCGGACCAACATATCAAACCCACTATACTTTCGCCGAACATCTCTCAGTCATCGACCTCACTACATGAATCGAACAAGTCGGGCTCGCGCAGTGTGTCAACTGTTGCGGGCTCCCTGCGAGACGGCCGCATCAGAGCAGAGGAAGATGACGAGAGCGCTCTGGCCGGAGATGATGTCGCCCAACCCATAAAGAAGGAGCTTCCGATCTCATCCATGGATGATAGGACAGACAGTGTTTTGTTGGAGCATCCTCACTGGAAGCACTCTAGAGCCGACATAGCTGCTAGTACTGGGCGTTCGTCATCAGCATCTCCTGCCCACATAGTAAATGGAGAAGTCATGACTCCTGACATATCGCTCGACACGGGTACGACGATCGCCATACAAGACAACTTGTTGCAGAGAGCAACGGGTATTGGACGACCTCCTCTGTCATCCACGATGTCTCTCGCTGCCACCGGAGATCAAGAACGCACGACACACGACGAATCCCTGGACAAGTATACAACGACATCCACGCAGAACATTTTGACGGTTGGACACTCCAGAGGAACGATACAAGCTAGGAACGCGACCTTCCTTAGTGTCAAGCTGCTTGGCTCAGGAGGCTTCAGTACAGTCGACGAAGTCGTGCATCAACAAACGGGATTACACGTCAGTCGCAAGACACTCAAGAATCGTAACCAGACAGTGATCGAGGAGCTCAAGAAGGAAGTAAGCGTTCTTCAGAAGTTACGCCACCCTCATATCATTCGCATCATCGGGACCTACTCACGGGGCGACAAGATGTCCATGTTGCTCTCACCCGTTGCCGATACAACACTTGCAGTATGGCTCGAGCGATCAGCGGCGCAAAAGCCTGCCAATCTTTCAGAGACTATTGTCAGAATGTTTGGCTGTCTCGCATCGTCAGTAAGACATCTTCACGAGCAGCAAGTTAGGCATATGGACATCAAGCCTCAGAACATCTTGATCGTCGAAGGTGACCAAGAGTTCCCTCACGTAATACTCAGCGACTTCGGTGTCAGCTCCTCAGAAGAGATGAGTGACGACCAACACAAGCCGCTAACACGCCAATACATCGCACCTGAGGTATCCTTGGGCATTTCCCGCAAGAAGGCTGCTGATATCTGGAGTCTTGGTTGTGTCTTCGCGGAGATGGCATCCGTTCCGTTTAGTCAAGACAACATGGGATGGTTAGCCTTCCGCAAGGCTTTTAGTGGTCGTACTGGCAAGCACTATTGGCAGGATGTATCTGGTATACAAGACCAGCTCGCCGGGTTCCTTGCCGAGGCAAAGACCACGACAGAGCATACAGTGATCTGCACGCTTCAGAGCATGCTGAATGCTGATCCAGATGCACGACCAGATGCAGGAGCGTTGACTATGATCTTCACTCCGGCACCATGCTGTCTCAACTGGCCCAACGACAAGGCGACGTTCCCGGGCCCACAAGAAGAGCTTGATGGAGTAGACATGCTCAGTCACCAAGGCGACATCGATACCTACGACCATCCCCACCTTCACGGAACGAACGCCACAGAATCAAAAGCCAGCCTTGCGAATGCAAAGACTTGGCTAAGCGAATGTTCATGCACGCACGAAGCTTGTCGCCACATGGTCACACGCGATGCTGGCTCCCTACCCACACGTCTGATCGAGATCCTTTCGAATGGCCAAGATGGCACAGTCCGCGCGAAGGTTGTTCAGACTGACAGTATCGAATCCACTGCCGACAAGACAGAGTACGTGGCATTGAGTCACGTCTGGAGTCACATACAGCCACTACTCTCGAGCGATACACTATCGAGCATGCAAACTGAATTGCCACTACAAAAACTTCCGATTGCGATCGCAAAGGCAATTGCGGCAGTGCATGACTTGGGCTATAAATATTGTTGGCTAGATTCACTCTGTGTCGTACAAGACTCGGAAGAAGACAAGGAACGCGAATGCATAAGCATGGCGTCTACCTTCCGCAATGCGACACTGACAGTCGTACTTGACCATTCGGAAGACCCGGACCACAACTTCAACGATGAAGCTGTTGTCGAAGGCATGAGCAACAAGACCCATCTTGCGTCCTTACTCGGGTCAAGTACAAGCCAGAGTCCGACGTCAGGTCGACTACCTGCTTCTGCTCTGCTACCAGCTGGCATCCTGAATACGCCAAACTTTGGTTGGGATACACGTGCGTGGGCGCTACAAGACCGCCTCCTCAGTCGACGCTTCCTCCATTTGGGCGAACAGTTGTACTGGGAGTGCAACACCCTCAAGGCATCCGAAACTTTCCCTCGCGGTCTCTCAGCACTCGTCTGGGAGAAGATTCATACTGAATCTAGCAAAGACATGCAACCTGCCCTGATGGCCACTGCTAAGAATGACAAGAGCAAATGTCGTAACGATGCCCAGCTCATGCTGAACATTGACCCCGTCTCGATCTCGATCACGACGCCAGGAAAGATATGCTACGACAAGGATTACCTAGATATCCGGGAAGCCCACACTTCCGACGCTGTCTGCGCTAGATCTTTTGGGAGTACAACGGAACCGCAACGCACACTTCCGTCGGCGAGTCGTTTACGCGACTGCCAATGGCTGAGGAAACAAGGTGATGATATCGGACAAGGGACAGAAGCCGTACAAGCTACGTTGAAAGTCAACTCGACCCAAATGTCCGATCCAAAAGGCGACTTTTATCCTCCCTGTCGGAGGAGTGGAAGTCGTAGACTCAACAAAGCTTGTTTCCAGTCAAAGACACTTCCTGGACGGAACCCAGGCGGCGGCAATGGCAACGATGAAGGAGTGGAAGGAAATCTCATCGAGAGGTATCGGAGTGACGCAAATGCAAATGGGAATGGGATGGACTAGTTGGTGCGCTTTGTGGTAAGAAGTCGCTTTTCTTACTCGGTTATTGAGTTGAAGAACCTTCGTCTTTTCCCATGGCGCTTCAGGAGTATTTCTTTTAGTTTACATCAAACTTTACGATTGTTATTTCAGAATCAAGAATCAACATGTTGGATTCGACTATCTTGTCTTATACGCCATACCAAGTGAGCCTTCATCCTGAGCGGCTGAAGCAGTAATACAACTGTCTGAAGCTTCTACTCGTGCATACTACTGTAGTAACCTTCCACAACAACCTTGACCTCTCAAGCCTCTGGCCTGACCCTCCCCCTCCTCTCCCTCATGCTCTCCACTCTCCTCCTATCCTCCTCAAACTTCCTCTTCAATGCACCCTCAGCCTCCTTCCTGCGCTCCCGATTCTGGAAGCGATAGAAGTCATCAGTGGCCCTGTGATTCCTCTTCCTCTCATCCAACTCTGCTTTCTTCTTCTCTGCGTCTTCGATCCTCGCAGGCCCGACACGTCCGCCTCGCGTAACCGTCATGAAGCCATCTTCGTCAGGAACAGAGCGGGATGTTTTGCGGAGGCGATTCCTGGATGTTTCTAGCGCGTTGAACTGTGTGAGGTATGCGTTGAGGGAGGCTTGTAGTACGGAAGGAGTGGGGTAGAGGAGTGTGTTGTGTGACTTGTAGCCTGTTGATTTGTGAGATTAGCATGGCATTCATGCAAACCTAGCATGCCGAGTAAAGATATATGACAAGACTTACGCTCGACGCCCAACCCTTCACCTCCTTTCCACGCAATACTCTTGCCCTCTTTAACAGCTCTTGCCACCTCCTTGAGCGCTCCCCTTGCACTCTTCTTGTCCACAAAAACCACGACGGCGCCACTCCCACTCTTCCTCACCTCGGTATTCCATAATCGCGGTAGTGCACTCTCGGCATCTTCCACAACACCCTCTGCAATCACAGCCGCGTCGTCCATTCTCTTTCTCTTCTTCCCCCTCTTGTCACCTCCAGCGACATCGTCTTCGTTCGCAGTCGCAGATTTCTCAGTGTTCCTCCACCGCTTATGCATTGGTTGCGCAGGAACACTCGCGTCGAATTCCACGCGTTCGACCATGCTGCCGCCTAATTGTCCTTGGAATAGCGCGCGTATGCTGCGCTCGTCGGCATCTATGGGTATGTTTGCGATGAAGAGGCTGCGCTCATCGTCTGCGGTAGGGAGGCTGGGCGAGTGCGGTTTGATGTACACATAGTGTTTTGCGGAGTTTGAGGTAGCTGGTAGGCCGGAGAGGGTGGGTAGTGTGAGGGGGAGGACGGTGAAGTCTGCGATTGTTTTGGGTGGAGCTTTGGACTTCTTGGGTGCGGGGGACGCTGAGGGTGCCATGATGGCTTTGGCTCGTGGGTTGATTGCGACGGACAGCGCTGTGTGCTTGAGCAAGTCTCGCCTGGTATTTCCCCGAATGGACACGACCTGATACTCTACACAAGTCTAGGTCTGAGCGCGGTATCTTAGGGAGCGCTATTGCGAGAATCCGACGTAGAATTGTTGGTGTGGAAGTTTTCGCATGTGCCCGCGCAAGTCGAGCTCGTGGTGGAATTCCGGTCACGAAATTTTGGCAGGGATGTCACGGCCGCGTTAGCGTCGCAACCCGCCATGGACCGTAGTGTGACACAGGCAAACATTTAGAAACGTACTCTCTTCAGATTATGAGGTGATATTGATCTACGGTCGCTGTCGCTATATGGGCTAATGCATTGCTCAACGAATATAGCACTAAATACATACAAATGCTGAGGGACTATGCGCGAGCGAGGCAGATAAAGCAATAATGTGGATATCAATAGGAATCATAAGTCGTAACGACGGTGAGAGTTCATCTCCAATGAAAATGTACTGATCGACCGAGTATGCTTGCGTTTTAGCCAAGTCGAATAAGCAAGTGGCGAGACGCAGCAACCATGCGCTTGACATCGCAACGCCATCTTGTACGCGTAGTCTAGAGTGTTGTAGTCAGGGATGATGCTATCATCCTAGTCGATTATTGTCGCAGTAAGGAGCGGTGTGAAGAGAGGTGCAAGAGTTCCATAATAGCCAGTCTGGGCGCTCAGTTGAAACCGCCTGGAATGCTCTTCATCGGAGACTCCGGAAGTGAGTGGTAAGCATCATCCTTCTTCTCGTCATCAGGCGAAGGCTCATGCGAGTACTTTGGCTTGAGTCTGTTGCCGATCTGCTCCAGTCTGTTGTCCTCTACAGAAGACAAAGAAGAGGTCGAGTCACCGCGCATAAGCGAGGGGGTGGATTCCGGGCTATGCTTGGGTTTGGTCGGAGAGGGTACAGGGGATGCACCCTGGGTAGTGCTCAGCGACCCGTCCGAGTTTGTTGAGACACGGTTGCGGAAGGGGTTCCTGACAGGCAGGGCTGGAGCGACTGGTTTGGCAACTTGAACAACGCGTGCGTGGATGGCTTGGGGAGCAGCCGCCTGGTGAACCTCATAAACGACTGGCTCATCCTCAAAATCGTCGTCCTCATCGTCACTGCTGTCGTCGTCCTCAACCACTTCAGTAGCTGTTGAGTTGCGAGGAGAGCCGGTCGACTTTGAGTCAACAGCGCTATCAGTCTTCTTTGCAGCTGTGGGTGTTGCCTCTTCAATCTGCCTCTCGACACTCTTGGCTCGTGGCGGAGTGGCTTGCTCGACTCTAGTTTCGGGTACTTCTGCTATGGGAGGCGTGGGTAGACGTGCGATACTTGTTCGTGGCGGTAGTGTAGGGGGCGTCTTCCTGACGGTCGGCGGGGGTGGCGGTAGATCGTCAGTCTGTGTGCTCATATCGGCCGTTGGTGTCCGGGGCTCGAGCACGCCACTGATGGTGCTTGTTCGCCAACTTGAGCGTCGACTGCCGGCAAAGCTTGACCGATCCGTGCTTCTCCGGAATGTGGAGTTCCTGAAAGTGTTGTAAATCGGACTTGTTGGGCTCGGCTTGAATTCAAACTGCTCGCTTGTCGGCCGACTGTGTGTGCCTGCCTCCCTGATTTCTAGACCGGCTTCTTGTAGTGCCAGGACGCCATAGGGATCGGGATCGACGGCGTCTGGGATACCAAAAGTCTTGTCTTCGGGGCCTGTAACCTCAAAGTCTCCTGGCGTTGCCTCGTCTGGTATCAGGGACTCATCCACGTCGGTGTCGCCCTGAGCTGACTTGAGTGTTTCCATGAGCCTCCTTGTCTCATAAGGTGGATGCCGTACGTTTCCAGCCAATATGTCTTTGACTCCTATGCGTTCGCCGTAGAAGCGTTCGTTCTCGTCCGTTCGCTCGATTATGATGGTTCCGTCTAGCTGGAGACCAGCATAGAAGCCCCGCGATTTGATATATGTGAACAGTGGTGATTGACGCTTGTGGAGCTCCGTGTCGAGTATGCCACCGACACCGGCTGGGCCTGCGACTGCGCTGATTTCTCCTCCCAGAGTACAGCGGATGGACTGGAAAGCCTCCATTGCCTTGTCGGAGTTGATGACGATAACACAGTCGTAGATGTCCACGCCAACAAGGAAGCCTACGCCAACAGTGTGCATCATTATGCCAGAGGGTGGTGACCATGTTCCGTCTGCCTTGCGCGCAACCAATACGCCAGCTCCGCCTGATCCGGAGACCCAGAGGCCGCTGCGCATGGTTGTGAAGATGCAGAGACCTTTGGCATTCTTGATTACCTTGGAGGGTATCTTCTTGAGGACTCGTTGCTTGCCCTTGGGAACATCGGTGGTAATGGGCCGGTCTTCTTCTTGGTAGAATCCATCCTCTGTGACTGTGTTAGCGGTTGGCGGTGGGTATTGGGAATCGACATACTGCAGAAGCTTTTGAGGATCCTCGCAGCCTTGTCCGACTCGATGTCAAGCGTCGTAGGCCAGAAGGCTTCGGAGCCGACCTTGTTGGACAGGCGATTGACAGGCGCACCGAGCTTGTCAACCCAGTTGTAGACTTTGTCGAAGCCTTGCTTCGATTGTGTCTTGGCTGTTGACCACAGGGCCATGTTTTCGGGCTGTCGGTGTGTGCAGAAGCACTACGTCAGAGGTGGGCCAGAGTGCTATGAGTGCGGTGCCGTAGCATTACACATTAGAGATGTAGGGCATTCAAGTAGGACAACTCGTACGAAGAAAAGGCAAAGAGTAGGGTCAGCAGACGGAAGCAGCGGGAAAGGCAGTCTGGTAGGCCAGCGGGCTCCAACCGTTTTTGAGTCCCACTGTACGTCAGCTGTAGGCTAATGCTGGCGGAGGCTGGCGACGGCGCAGTCTAGCATCGGGTACCTTAATAATAACCCTGGACATGACCAAGTGGTTTGACCCCTGCCCATCACGACTCGATAGAAGAGTTAGTGACGGTGATGCGATATTGATTTACCAGAAACAGGACGTAGCGGGGTTGAACACGGGTGCTGGACACACCCATCACGGAGGCAGCACGTCGCCTGATTCGTCATGAGGATGCGCTTCCATGGCGCCACCAGGAACGAGCAGAAAAAACCAAAAGTCAAGACAAGCGCATCAAACTAGGCCATGCGTCGTGAATCAGGCGCACGTGTCGTGCAGTCTAGATAGCCGTGCGGGTCTGCAATCTACCGGAAAAAGAAGCAAGCACAGGCAGGTGCAGGGCTTCCCCCCGTCTTCACCTCGACGGCCGGAGAAGGGTTTCGCCGTGCTCCGGAGTCGACGCGCCAAGCCATGTCCCGACTAGGCGCGTCCATGGAGCTCGTCCAAAGTTTATGCTTTGCGACTGCGACAACAGCTGGACAAAGAGCTGCCCCAAGACTCTTACCCCTCAATAACCTACTGGGGCGCGTGTGAGGCGGAACGCTTGACGTGTGAAACAAAGCGCAAAAAATACTTTGGTTCTGGGTTCCTGGCAAGCCTGTCTCACCACGTAAAGTCGCGACAGCACGAGTGCAATGTTTCGTGGACCACCTTCCACACCCGGCCGCGATCACTACTACGACTACGACCGCCAACCTTCAACCACCCCCGCCGGCCCGCCGCCTCCAGACGAATCCCACTATCCCTCCTCCACACCTGCCGGCCCGCCGCCCGGCATGAACAACGGACTATTCGGCAACACACGCCCGACATTCAACCCGAATAGCCATGGCTACTCGACAAACTCGCTCTTTGACAGCTCGCCGCCCAAGCAAGGCCTTTTCGAAGGCATTGGAGCCGGCTCGATAGGCACTTCAACGTCCGGACGGCCTCCAGTACAACGAGGACGAATCACCTCCAGCCACTTTCAAGCGCCCACCAACGCACTCAACCGCGATGCACATGGCGAGTCAGATGAAGAATACACCGATGAGGAGGAAGATGAAGACGACCAAGACATGGACCACGACGAGGGCACCGACGAGGACGAGCCGCTCTCCCCACAGCGTCACAACAAAACACAAAACAGGTTCTCCCAATCTGTCGTCTCAAGAACAAGCGCTACCGACATGGAGCCAGGCCTTGTATTAGTGCGCTCCGGTGCAAAACAGACAAAATTCGACCTTCTGGCGCTCGCCAGGGGCCTTACATCCGACGCTCCTCAAGGCCGTTGGATGCCAACTGGCAAACAGAAGGTCCTGAACGAGGGTAATCACCTTATACTGGAGACGGAGCGCCTGGCTGAGAAGGTCCACGAGTCTCTTCACTCAGACTCGCCAGACAAGCGCACCGAAGTGCTCGGCACCGTCGCTCAGGAGTTGGTTGCAGTCTGGAAAGAGGAGACGAAGCCGCCTTCTAGACCACCTGTTATGTCTGACAATAGAACACCTTGGGTAAAACTCAATGGTAGCAAACTTGCCAGTCTTCTGCTCACCCTACACCACCCTCCACAGATCGGCCTGAACCAGCGGGCCTCCGCCCTTTCACTTGTGCCTGCGCGAACTGACTCGAGGCAATACACCCCCATTCCAAGGGTACTGCTCGACTGGCTGAATTATGCATTCCCCCTCGATGGTAATTCCGAGGTTGGACAAGTAGGCAAGGAAACAAACGGTTATTCGAGGCATCCTTCTTTCTGGGAGGCGATTCATGTTTCCATTGTTCGCGGCAACTTCTCGCAGACTATGAAGTTCCTGCAGGGTGCTCGACTCGAAAACGCTGAAACAGCCGAACGCGACGGACTAGGTACCACAGGATATAGCGGCACACATCTCCAATACGCGAACCACGCGGTACGTCAAGCAGTTGATCTTCTGCGTGAATGTCCGGCTATTGCATCCGAGGACTGGGACATCAAGGGACATGACTGGAGTATCTTCCGGCAGCGAGTACAGCAGGTATATGCCAGCTTAGAGGACTTTGCCGAGGGCGAGAGTGCAAACCGTCATTCCGTCTATCAACCTTTCCAGGCGGCACACTTTGGCATCTCGCAATCACAGGCAAGTTTCCAGCTTAGCGTGGCGAGTCGCAAAGCCGAGAGCAAAGTACCGTGGTCAGTGTACGAGAACCTGGGAATTGTTTATCGGCTCTTACTGGGCAACGAAGAAGAGATCCTTACCCTATCAGCTGATTGGATCGAAGCAGTTGTGGGTTTGGGTGTTTGGTGGAATGGGGAAGAGGACGACTCTGCACAAGGCAGCCTGGCGGCAAGCCGTCGCTCCATTATGCGGTCACAACGAGTTCGTCCTGTCGACGTGACTCCAGTTAAAGCGTATTGCCAACGGTTGTCCTCTGCGCTGGCAGCAGTCGTTCACAACAGTGACGACGACTTTGGTATCAATGCTACAGACCGCTTTGAAGTAGGCTTGGCATGTGCATTCGACGACAACATCGAGGGTGCTCTAGAAATCCTCCAGGTGCTGTCGCTTCCCATGGCCTGTGCAACTGCGGAGCTCGCCAGTGCAGGAGAGTGGTTCACAAGCGCGAAGGGCCTACTGGATCAGTTTGACCAGAGTGATCTAATGGTCCTGAGTTACAACGAACAGCAGAAGCCAAAAGGTCTGACAAAGGACGACTTGCTTGTTTCCTACTCACAACTCTTGACTGCCGTCGATGTACCCTTCACTTTTGATCATCAACTACCGGGTAAAGAAGGATGGGAGATTGCTGTACAAATTCTCGGCAGACTGGACGACGTCATTACAGCGAACGAACGCATTGAGCAGATATTAAACGACTTACCATTGGACTCCTCGGCCCGCGTCGACAAGATCACTCAGCTTTGCCACAATCTGGGCCTCTCGCAGCATGCTGTCACTATCGCCCAGGTAGGTCGTATCACAACATCTTATTGGATCCAGACTGACTGTTACAGAAATATGCCGACCATCTTCGCACGAATACTGAGAGTTATGGCGATACACTTCTTTACTATGCACGCGCCCACGACGCACAAAAGATTCAAGAAGTGCTACGTGTCTTGATCGCCCATTGCCTGATCAAATCAATTGCCTATCCGCCTCTAGACGAATTAGACGAGTCACTCAGCTCGCTCATCACCTCACCAAAGCAGACCCTAACAAAACTCGCAAGCCTAGACTCGGAAGCCGCTTCCCTCCTCTCGAATCACCTCAGCGGTTATGCGACCATTCGCAAATACTACGATCTGCGAGATGAAGGTGTGCTGCTAAAGGCCGGAGAGAAGCCAGCACACCGGCCCATGGCACGAAAACGAGCTGCAGCTAATGCACTCATGGTCATCATCGCCAGTGCAGCGTCTAGCATTCGTGGTGGGCTGTATGATCCAGAGATAGAAACTGTGGTTCAAGTCGATGTCCTACTACCTTTGCTGGGCGAGGCACTTGTCTTCGTCAACCAATCCAAGCGCACATTGACCCTCCGTCACTTATACGACCTCCTTGCCGCCATCGAGGACCTTGATACCGCACCAAGTATGATCCGAACACAATGCGAAGAAGTACTCACAACCACACTCTTCTCCGCACATGACGTCAACTCGTCACAACAACTGCCGAACCCGCACCAGCTCCTATCGAAATCTACATCCAATTTAACAACGGCGTCAAGCCAATATTCGCTCATTGGTTCGACCGATTTCGGCTCTGCAGATGGTCAGAGTACAGAGGGCTCAACAGTCTTTGTCAAGGGCGGACATGTAGACGATACCAAGCGTGGCTGGGATTGGCGAAAAGGCTTTCCCAAGGGTGCTAAGAGTGAAGACATCATTGCGGTGCTTAGGTTGGGGGTTGCGAGAGAAATTGGGAGAGCATTCGCAGAGGGTGAGGTCACTGCTTGAGGTGTCTGGTTGGGAGAAATGATACCATAATGTAATAGTAGAGCGTTCTTTGGCTTTGGCCATCAGGAGTTGATATTTGAACGTCAGTAGTCATCTCACGTTGACACGTGTGTATGATGATCATGTTTGAGCAATTGTCAAGCATTACTAAACGTCTCTCGCTACTCCTCCACTCACCAGATACGTCCCACAGTATGTTTGACTAATCGTATTGCATTTCACACAGACGTAACATGCTCACACCAATCGTCCTCCTCGTCTGCGAAACTTAGACATATGAAGTGAGCTAAGCCGCGCCGGAACCCACGCGTCGACGTCGAACACCGCCAACGCGTACCTCGGTTCCTCGTCTCCCCGCATCATGATTACCAGAAGCATGGCTACACGCTCCAGACAGCATGGGGTAAACGCGTATATACAACATGCTTTATAATAACGTCGTCTGCATCAAAAGATACCATTTACGACCATAAATCACCTCAGTAGATAATGGCACCCAAACAATCTGCCCGTCACACCCCGGACATCACGCTCCCAACCTCCTACAACACCCTCCCCTTCACCCAAATCACCACGCGCCACCATGAAAAAGAGCCCTCAATCATCATCCTTACACTCCACAGACCAGCCAATCACAATGCCTTTACCGACGTCATGCGCGCAGAAATCGAATCTGCGTACGGCATGTTCGACGTAGACGACCGTGTAAAATGCATCGTCGTAACAGGAAATGGGCGGATATTCTGTGCGGGTGCAGATTTAGATGATGGGTTCGGGGATGGCGTGCATGGTGAGGCGGCTGAAAAAGTGCAGGAGCATAGGGATGGGTATGTTGCTTCCTTTTGTTTTCCCTTCCCTTTTTTCCATGTAATGCGATGCGACGATGTGTGATCTGCCTAATAAACGAAAGACATCTGCTAACATACAACGCTCTCTCCAGAGGCGGACGCGTGACCCTAGCCATCCAACACTGCCGCAAACCCTCCATAGCCGCTCTCCAAGGTTCTGCAGTAGGCGTCGGCATCACCATGACGCTCCCCATGAATATACGCATAGCGTACGCCAATGCGAAGATCGGTTTCGTCTTCGCACGCCGTGGACTCATTATGGAAGCTGTTAGTTCGTTCTTCTTGCCCCGGTTGATTGGGCATAGTCGCGCGATGCAGGCAGTCACGACAGGTAGCACGTATCTTGCTAGCGACAAGATCTGGGGTGGTTTGTTTGCAGAGACGTGTGAGAAGGCCGAGCAAGTGCTGCCAAGGGCGCTTGAGGTGGCCGAGGACGTGGTGAGGAACACAAGTAGCGTGAGTACGTATTTGATGAAGGAGTTGATGTATAGGGATGTGGGAAGTCCTGAAGGTCAGCATTTGTTGGATAGTAGGGTAATCTATGAGCTGTTTGGGTCACCGTAAGTCTGTCGCAAAGTTAAGATCGAACAAAGCTAATTGGTAACAGGGATAACACCGAGGGTGTAAAGTCGTTTATGGAGAAGAGGCAGGCGAAGTTTACAGGAACGATGGATAATACCAATGTGACTGGGTATCCGTGGTGGATGCCATTGGACACTTTGAATAGGCCAAAGGTAGCGCCAACAGGAAGGCCAAAGATCTAGTCGCATATTAGGATACGAGCCAGCGTACAAAATGTACCGTTTAGTGTATTGGCATGACTTCATTGTCTATCGTCCTCAACCCACACAACTGCTGTTCGATGTCCCTGTCTGGCTCGCCTTCACGCGCGTAGCTAGCCAACGCCCTGTACTGCATCACGCGCACCGACGGCTCGAATGGAGGTATCAGGGATTTTCATTCGTTCCTAGTGTACTTCTTTTCGTGAAGCATGCATAACCGAGGGAAACCCATATCATCCCAACCCATCCAGACCGCACTCCGTAATGGAAAACACGCTTAGAAGAAAGTGGAAGGTCGGGTAGCGGAGAAGACCTTCTTGCCAGCCTTCTTGTTGATGCGGTGGGGCAGCGGGAACTTGAGGTTCTTGGTAAGGAGCTGCTTGATGTATGGTCGGCGGATGTCGTCGGCCTTCTCGACCTCAACGACCTTGAGAATCTAAACAAGATGTAAGTGGACTGATGAACACGGTAGAGTCGGTCTGATCTTACCTGAACCTGCCTGAAACGCGATCGGTGACGGGCGGCCATGTCCTGGTAGAGAGCATCGACGGCGGCGACGCGGGACATCTCGCGGTACTCCTTGTACATGTTGTGGGTGCCGGAGCGCGAGTCGTACTTGAGCCAGATACCGAAGTTCTTGACCTTCTGGGGCTTCTTCTCGTGGATCTAGACAAGTCAGTCTCTGACATTTCTATTTGGTGGATTATCCGACGTACCTGGTTTACGGAGACGATCTCACCGTTGGCCTTCTTGATCTTGCGGAGCTTGCCAAGGAAGTACCAGAACCGTGACTTGGCGACAACCTCGTTGGGCGCAAAGATGCGCATGCGGTAGATCTTAGGCGCGGGGTTGGCCTCTGAAGGCAGATGGCGGCCGATAATCTGGTATTCCTGGAAGCGTGCTGAAGCATCGTCAGTACTGCTTCAACCAAAGATAGTGCCCCCAATCCAGCAATTGCAACAGCCGTGGTCGGAGAGTTCGGGTGGGTTAGGCTGATCGAGTACGGTCGTGTTCGAATTTGTCGCATGCGAACGATTTCGCGTGCATTCGCTGCCATGGTCATGACTGTTGGGTGCCGTCAAACCGCCCACGATGCCTGCACACACTACTGCTGCTCCTTCCCAGTCGGTTTCAAACTCGTGTTGTCGTGTGTCGTCATGGCGAGAGGTGTTCAAGGTCGCGCTGGCCTTGTTCGAAAATTCCATCGGCTGCGATTGCTGGACGGGACGATCTTGCGGAGAAGAGAAAATTGCTTACCCATCTGCGAATGGTTAGCAAGCGATGTTGGCATGAGCTGGCGACGTCGACTGACCTTGATTGTGCTGTGAGGTTAGTACCTTGGGTTGAGAAGTTCAGTCAGGTCGTCTCTATCGTGGACACACAAGCGAATTCGACACCAGCTTGTGGGCGCTAGCTGAGCAGGGACCCACAACAACTTGGCGGCAGGCGCGAGGGTCATCGGCGAACAAACAGCCCAAACACCGACATGCCAACACCAAGAGCATCATCAAACACGCACCAGCTGGTTTACTGCAAACATAGTCTGCAACATGTCCAAGGGTTAAGTACACCAGCTGAAGTCGCGAAACCCTTCTGATCAACGCGACAATCGACGTTTGATTTCTGCACTCGTACGCCCACGCACGACCATGCAAGCCGCACTTGAGCCTTTCCACGAGGCATATGCCAGTGGTCTGGCGCAACCCGTCGCAGACTTCCTCAGTCCAGTTGCTCCTGCACATGATCCCGGCCGGCTGTACGACTTCTACCGCGCTTCCAGCGACGACAAGATTGAGGGCGATGTTCGATATGCGCTCAAATACAACAAGAACACACGCATGACCAACAAGGAGGCTGGCGCGTGGATTGACATCATTGCTGCTTACTGGCGCGCTGTCAGAGACATTATCAAGACTGACGAAGCAGCGAACCAAGGCAGGCTCAATGCGAATCACTACGTGGCTGTGTACGATGCATGGAAGGACTTGACAAGCAGCTTCATCAAGCACATCAGCGCTGGACTACTTCCACCATGGGCCATCTTCACCCTATACTTCACTGCGAATCATCTTAGGAAGATAGCAATCAGAGCGGACGAGCAGTTGGCCAAGTCGAAACCAGCAACTCTCAATACTGGCTACTCGGACGATATCGTAAGCACAGCCCCGCAGAATCAGAAGCTTGAAGAAGCTGCGCGAGTCTTCAACAGGATATTTGCTCTTTGTCTTGGTGACAGGAACCCAGACATGTCAGAATCGCGAAAGTGGGGTGTATACTGCATAGCCAACCTTCAGTTTAAGACATACTTCAAGGTAAGACATATCCTAGTCCGCATTGTGTAACAATCGCTAACACGTATGCAACTAGTTAAAAGCCATAAGCCTGTCTAAAAACGTCGTGCGATCCATCGAAGCACAATCTGATTTACCTACATTCGAACTGTACCCGCGAGCGCATAGAGTCACATACAGATATTATCTGGGAGTACTAGCATTCCTACAAGAGGATTATGCCAAAGCGGAAAGCAGCTTGCAACAAGCATGGGAATCTTGCTGGTCGAAGTCGCAGAAGAACAAATCGTGAGTTCGAACAATCTAACGCGGGTGGTCATGAAGCTAAAAACACAGGCTCATTCTTACATACCTCATACCCTGTCGCCTGATCACCCAACACAAGATTCCTACGGCTAGTCTTCTCGCTGAGGCGCCTCGTCTAGAACGCATCTTTGGCCCCCTCGTATCATGCATAAAGCGAGGCGACCTCACAGGCTTTGACAAAGCCCTAGCGGATGGCGAGCCCGAGTTTGTCAGACGGCGCATCTTCCTCACTCTAGAGCGGAGCCGGGACATCGCCTTGCGCAACCTTCTCCGAAAGGTATACCTAGCTGGTGGCTTCGACGATCTCAAGGAAGGACAAACGGAGAAGGACCGGATACGGAAGTCGCGAGTACCACTAGCGAACTTTGCCGCCGCACTCAGGATGGGCATTGCAGGCGAAGGCAGCGGCCAAGCCGTCGAGGACGATGAGGTTGAATGCTTATTGGCAAACCAGATCTACAAGGTGCGCATACCATGTCTGCAACGTTGGGCTCTACTCCACATTTCTGCAGGTCTTATCCAGTGTCGAGGCTACCTCGTCACGTAGACCACATCGCATCTTGAACCCACTTGGCTAACCCAGATTGCAGGGTCTCATGAAGGGGTACATCTCGCGCGAACACGGCATGGTAGTGATGAACAAGAAGGGGGCATTTCCAGGGACAGGGGTCTGATGCCTAAACACATTTTCGTACTGGATATCCCCTACAGGACTCAACCCATCAATCAACCGTGGTTGCATACCGCGACACGTCACTATCCAAGCTGGGAACGCGCATACACGTTTGCCTGTGTAAGAGGCCTCAACGCGCACATAATCACGCCATGACGTACCACACCATCGCGGCAAAGAAAAAACTTATCAAGAGCACCAATTCAATACAAGCTACCGATGTACCTCAAACTCTGCTACCCTGGTAGTTTCTGTATCTGACCTAAACCCTCGCTTGCACGGTTCGTGAGACAAGCCGGCTCTTCGTGTGCGGCCAGTCACTGTTGTAGGAACCACAAGCCGCGTTCCCGCACAGACATGCTGTCGCCCTATCAGCTGATATCGCGTTGCAGACCCCGCCCACACCCAACGCCAGTCCGCCCTAGTAATCGTCGCGCCATTTGTGCTACCTGCCCGACGCGACCCAGGGCGACTTTTTGCTGTCGTCCCCGCTTCAGCGTGCAACGATGGTGGTTCTTGGCGCATGTGAATGTCGGCAGAGGTACTATGACTGTACCTACCGACAGTATCGGTACCACGCCTCGCCGTATGAAAGTGTGGGTAAGCTTTCGAGGAGAGGAGTCAGCGGAAAACGATCGTCGGTGTTCCCTCGGGTATGCAGGTTATCGTGTTCCTCCTTGCCTCAACGATGCATCTGGTCCTCCTCCATCCATGTTACTCCGTCTTCGGGCACCGTTATCGTTTACCTAGACATTGCATGCCGTTTCCCATTCCGTTGGTATAGTTGCTGCCTGACTGGCGTAGTGAGCAGCGTTTCCTAGTCCCATGCACCCCAGCTCATAGCTCATTGCTCGCTTTGCGCTCCTCGCTTCCTGCTCCTTGTTGCCGTTTGCAGCCCGCATGTTTTACTTCTATTATAGCGGCGTATCAAGGCTGCATGTGCTTCGTTCCACCTAGAGCGACTCGACAATTTGTCTTACCCCGCGGATCAGATTGTGCGCTACTTTGCTAGCGATATTGCCTTTTGTCTTGCTGTTCTTCTTGTGGTTCTGGTGGTACTTGCGATACTGTTTGGGCACTTTCTTCCCGCCGGCGCGTTTTGCACTGATGGCTTGGACGGAGTGCGGGGGTGGGCGTTCCATTGTTATGTGCTAGATTGTTTGGGTCGTATTGTGTGGTGTATCGTATAATAAGCAAATATTTAGTGAATTATGTATGTATGTGTGTCTTCGAAATGATCATGGGTTTGCTGGACACCTGTACTTGTGCTCTGTGATATTGTCGGCTTGAATACACCAGAAATCTTTCCCGGTTATATATCTAGGGTCTGTTAAAGTGTGAATGGAATGTTGATGCCGAGTTGCCGGCCAATGATATCAGCCAAGCGAGGGTGGAGACGGAGGAGGGCTGAGTATCAAGAGTTGGAACATAGAGTGGGAGGCCTAACGAATCGCTGCGCTATATCACATTGTTGACCGAAGACTTTGTATTGGTATTCTAATGTCTGAGTTTCATTCATTGTGTTACCAAATGCTATCATTAATTGGGTTGAACAGGTTATAAGATCGACGACCATATCTTGTTACAATTTAGTGCAGCCCTGCTGCAAAAAAGGATACCTCAGACGCGAAATATAGAGACTAAGAGGAAAATAAACGCAGAATAACCGAGTGACGATGGTCACCCACGATAATTTTGTGTCTTGAGAGTCAAACCGATGTGACGAAGGCCTGCATATCGAGGCAACTTCAAGGCCAATGCAGAAGGCGCGAAAGTCAAATGAAACCCAACCTAGGCGAAGAGATAAGTATAGTAGTACAACAGTGGCGTGAGTGAGTGCCAGAAAGGTATGTTCAAACTGTAACGCCATGCAGGATCAAGACCGTAACCGAAGAAGAGCCCAGTAAAGAGATGAGGCATAGCCGCGAGGCTCAAACGGAAAGTGTATGTACAAGAAGAGCAAGAAAAGACAGACAAGTGAAATCATTAGTCGGACCCAAGGAAGTGAGGCTGCTGTAAGCGGAAAGCTTCAGCGGATTGAAGGTGATGATAGGTCGTCCATGTGGTTAACCATGGCAACGAACAAGTCGAAGAAGAGCTTGCCACCGTTCTCCATCTCGTTCTGCATAGTGCCGCTGCGCTTGAAGGTGTGTCTGGCTCGGATGATGAGCGCGAGGTAGTGTGCACGGAGCTTCGAATCGTTGTCAGGAGTGTTGGCGTAGGCATAACGGGCAGATGTCAGAATAGTCGAGCACTGGATGCCTGACTGGAGACCTTGCTTCTTCAACGCAAGCTTTTTTAGTTCTTGTAACCCGTACTTGTCAGCTTGACAGTAAATGATGGTATCTTTCAGTATCGGTCCGACCGAGGACTGGACGACAGCTTCATGTGTATTGTTGGTGTTGCCGCCATCTTCAAGATTCCAGCTGTTCCGTTTCTTGTCGTACTCCATGCGCGGGTAGTAGTCACCCTTGTAGAGATACTCAAGAATCGATGAGAAGACTTCAGGTTCTTCGTCAGGTAGGTCGATGCGCTTGTTGGTAGTCTGAAAGAACTGGCCGCTACAGAGGGTTTGAAACCAAGGAGAGTGAGATAGGACATCTTCGTGCGCTGCGAAGAGTCGCTGTTCGCGGCCGACGGATATGGTGATGATGGCACTGATGGAAAGATTAGCAAAGTCGCTTGGGTTGGTCGGGAATGGATGTACTCACCTTCCTAGCGACGGCGATGTTTGATTCGATTGCGGCGATGATGCCTGGGCATGTTGTGCTAGCCTCTCTACTCTCCTCGGCGAATCCCTGAACGAGGGGTTCTTCTTGTGTGATTTAGACTTGGTTGCGCGATGTTTCGAAAAGCTGCCTTCCTGGTGACGTGTGCGGTTTGATGAGAACATGATGGGATATAAAGAGTGTGGTACTGTGCGGAGAGATGTTGTTGATACTTATATGTGCAGTGTGTAGGCAGCAAGCATACGAAACTGAGTAGGCAAGTAGACGACTTGAAAAGAACCTTAGGCAGATGCGTCGTAGGGCAAATGAGACAGTAGCACGCAAGTACTAGGCGACTGCAGCCGTGTATATATACTTGACTCCTCACGGGAGGCCACTATCTGGCCCTCGGCCAGGGTGAGGGTGAATGGACACGCGGATTGGACGCGTCCACGAACCTAACACGTAAACGCGATATCACATGTTCCGCTTTTCCTTTTCCAGCATTAAGAGTCAGGACGGCTGAGCCCCCGGACCTAGACCAAGTAACAATTGTGCAAGGTTGTGAAACAAGGGCGGGAACAAAGAAGGCTGATAGCGCTAGTTGGGCGCCGGTGGGTTGGCGTGGTCCTCGAACCGCAAGTAACTAGACATGTTAGAGACGAGCCAGCGAGAGCTGAGGATCGATACTCGCGATGTCTCATCCCATGCTTCTGCTAGAGATATCACCAGCCTCGGCGGCATTATGAGATGACTGGTCGCAATTTTTGCGCAGGGCTTAATGCCTGCAGCTTGCAGCTTGTGTCGGGAAGGTGGACGCTTTGGCCAGGCACCCAAGAAAGTTTGAGGAAAAGCAATCGACGCCGCCGCCGAGCAACAGCCAGCATCGGCTCATCGCTTGCATCTGCGAATCAATGGAAGGCGGCCGTCCACCGGAGGCCCTCTCTAGAGCCCGTTTTCCGTTCCCCTGAGGGGCGAATGCCGCGTTGAAGGACCGAAACCTAGTCAGAAAGGCGTGGCGCGAGACTATGATCCGGTTCCGCGCAATAATGGGATTCGCGGCTGGCAAAAGTGAGGTCAGCGACCATGACACGGTGCCTGGTGCCGTGAAATTGTGCGTTGCTGATCAATAACCCTCAGACGCGAGGGGTGTATGAGTGGAGCGCGTTCAGGCATTCACAATGGAATCGCCCCCTCGACGCGTCCTCACGTGTTCCACTCAAACCCGCATCTGGTTTGGCGCATAACGCTACCAGGGAACCCAACGGCTCTGCAGTTTCACCACGTCCGCAATCATCATAATGGACGGCAGCAACACCTAGTATAACCTGTCGCATCGATTGTGACGTATCGGATATGCAGCAGAGCCCCCCCCCCTTATTATGCAGCTCTCCATCCTCGGTGGCGTAGTTTCTTGCTTTGAGCTGGTCTTTTTTGTCGGCTTTCAGGAACGCTGGCAGACACTGCATTGTCAACCAGGTCATCATCCACGAAGACTGGCTGCCAGTTAGATAAGTTGTTTTTTATTTTGTCCATTTTCAAGCCCGTCTGCCTTCAAATCGATGGCACCATATTCCAACAGCGCATACAACACTTCTGGACGGCGCGAACTCAATATGGATAGGCCTCGGGTTCTGCTGCGATCCCTTCGTCTGTTAGCATTTGCTCTCCATCTATTTACTCCGTTGTCTTTTTCGACTTGGAATGATGGGCAAGCATGAGGAATCTCACTCTCATGACCAATTGACTGGAATGCCAAGGACCTTTCCTGGAGACCAGCCAAGCTCGTTTGTTCACTCAAACATCACATTTCTTTAGACCAAAGAAAACACTCACCAGATTTGTTGAGCCATTTGGAGCCATTTTCGGATGCGACATACGTCTTATACCGGACTGATGAGTCGTCCCTGTTCGTTGCTTCCTTGGTTCTATCTCAAACAGGCGTTGTGTCACACAATTCGCAAGATATATTAAATTCATTGTCAGCATGTACTCCTAACAAGCGCCATGCGTCTTCTTAGACGCCAGCACTACCGAAGAACTTGCTGCGCTGGGTAACACATGAGATATCGCGCTTCCCCTCCTGACCGACTCCCTGTAGTGTTGCGACGCAGGTGACGAAGTCCACCATCTTCAATATACTGGCCCACAATCAATGTTGATGTGTTGCAGTTTCATTCAAGAGTACTCGAGCTTGGCAAATGCCGCTTGCGCCCGGCAGAATCCCACCGACCGCCAGGGGTGCCATAGCCGGTATTACACGTCCGATATTGTCCAGTAGGGGCTCTTTTGTTTGTAAGAGATGAATAATGACGACGATCTTCGCCGCTGGTACTTGCACACAGCTGCAACCGACCACGAGAAACAGACTCTTTGGCTTGATCAATGGGACTCCAGATGGCAGCATTCATTTTAATTGTATAGAAATGACCGGATACTATGACACTTGGGACCACCAAAGTGTAGGAGCTTCTCCTCGTAGCTCATATTCACGGAGAATGTGAGCTCAGGATGAATTGGAGCTGAGATCATGGCCCCAGTTCCGCGCTATGCGTTGCATACGCAATGATGCTGACTGCCTTGTCTGGACTGCCGCTCAGTAGCGCGGCCAGATGCAACTCAAGCCTTAGAGTCTTCCAGAGATTGATACCAAGACACTCGGGACCTTCATGGATGCCGCGCTGCAGATCTCATGAACTGAACTGGAAAACTCGTGAGATCGATGGTAAAGATGGCGGGCTATCCTTACCTCAACGGCGTTTTTTTAGGTGCATGTGTCGAACGTCAAGGATGCTCATTACAAGGAACCTTTGAAGAATCACGCGCCACACCGGGCAACATGTTGGGCGGCCATCTAATTAGATGACCCAGCAAGTGCAGTAGTATGGCAGTCACTACCAGCCTGCATTGGAGAGGGAAGCTAGCCATGTGTACTTAGTATAAGAGCTCTGGAGATCCGCACTCAGCTGAATCGTCACAGCTTGATCAATGGCTGGCACCGCGGTTGTCAAGGCCCTTGTGGCATCTTTGCTTCTGGGTTCAGGCGCTTCATCGTCTCCTTTAGTTAAGAGACAAACCACGCTCACGCTTGATGGTGTACAGGAGCAGGCCCTTGCTAATGCGTACAAGGTACTGGATGGGACTCTATCGGATGGCTTGAACAGGTCCACGTCATGTAACAAAGACACTGTTGCTGTACGCAAAGAATTGTAAGTACTTCTGGAAATGATTCGACGTACGCGTTAACACATGATAGCGGCGATCTCACTAAAGAGGAGCGGAAGGCATATACAACAGCCGTAAATTGTATTTTAAAGGCTCCATCAAAGCTTCCTGCCGGTCAATACCCGGGCGCAAAGTCTCGCTACGATGATTTTGTAGTCGTCCACATGAATATGACGCCATCCGTTCATGCCACCGCAAACTTCATGCACTGGCATCGCTACTACATATGGGCGTATGAAACAGCGCTTCGCATGGAATGCGGCTACGAAGGCTACCAGTATGTGTCAATCTACGAGGTTTATACGAAGTGAACACTAACCTAATATCTCTTATCACAGACCCTACTGGAACTGGGCAAAGTATAAGGACTTGGTCAACAGCCCTATCTTCAACGGCGATGAGTGGAGCATGGGTGGCAACGGCGATCCAATTGGCCCACACGCTGGCATGAGTGTAGGACCGGGACAAACGCTTCCAGGCGGTCCAGGCGGTGGTTGCATATCTAAAGGTCCTTTTACCAACCTGACAATCCGTCTCGGTCCCATAGCATCCACCATGGACCCCAAGCTAAACATCAAGCCCAATCCGCGTGCTGATGGCTTCGGTGACAATCCTCGCTGCCACCGTCGTGACGTGAGTAACTTCTTCACAGAAAGTTACTTGCGGCCTCAGGATCTCCTATCCCACATCACCAGCAACAAAGCCATCGGTACCTTCCAAGATTCTCTCCAGGCCAGCAATACCAACAACCTTGCTGTGCTTCACATTGCTGGTCATTTCAGCATATGGGGCGACCCTGGCGGTGATGTGTACGTGAGCCCTGCTGAACCAGCCTTCTGGCTGCACCACAGCCAGCTCGATAGACACTGGTGGATGTGGGCCATGTATCAGGAGAAGGAGATCAAGTCTCGGACGAGTATGTACGAAGGCGGCACTCATTGGCTGATACCCAACAGTCCTAGAGGTAAATCGACAGATGAGCAGGAGCTGAACGTTGCAGCTCCACCGGGCAAGAATCATCTTGAAAGCAATCAGTTTTTTTCTACTACAGCGGGGCCGCTGTGCTATGTATATGCTTAGAAAAATCAAGGACCTTACTCGCATGTCTGAACGACTTGCCAACTTAGCTATCATGTGCTGATCAGTATTGCGTCTTAATATAATTTGATTCTGTTTTCGCACCATTTCTGCGCTTTCGTACGGGTCCAGGTGTCGTTTTGGTGTTTCCAATATCTAAATCTGCCCTCGGCTGCTATTATCAGTCCCAAGAGCGATACCTCCTACCTTGACCATGTTCGAGAGACGGGATACTCTTGCCTCTCTTGCCCAATCGAGAAGGTAAAAAAAGTCCAGGTATTCACTTGTCGCGTAAGCAGACACACGTGATGACGGGATTCTAGCGCGACACGCTACCGGTAGATCATCCAGTTTGAGAAGCGACGGATGACATCGGTGGTCTTGTTTCACCCACCCACCACCCCGCCACATCGAGAACTGCCGGTACCAATGCATCAACAGTCACGAAGATGGCGACCCCGCAAGCGAAACGTCGCCGGCTAAATGAAGCCACCAAGACGCTCCAGAAGCCGTTCAAATCGCCGTTCCGCACGCCCTTGAAGCCTAGCATAGGAGACGATCCGCCATCCTCAGATCCGCCTGAGCTACACACTCCTGCCCGCAAGGCCGCGGAGACAAACGTCAACACTGCCAGGAATATCGCTCCTGCGAGCCATTATGCACAGCACTCAACCACCGCTGAGCCTTCTACACGACCACTGCCAACGCCGGCAACGTCCAAGGTGACAGCACGTGTTTCGAAAACTCTCGTCTCACGGCCAAACACAACCACACCTTTGCGGCTCGCTTCAAAGAAGACAGCATCGAAACCCTCAGTCGCACGCGAGATCATGCAACTCCGCAATGAGATCCAGATGCTTACACAAGCTCAGACCCTCGCTACCTCTACAAAAGATGACGACTTGGTTATGCTAATAGATAAATGGCGCACAGCGAGTCGTGCAGCTGCCGAAGAGTTGTTTGGAAGTACTCGAGACAGAGTCAATAGAATGGGTGGGGTAGGCGCGTGGAAGGAACGTGAGAAGGAATCAAAAGAACGGCAGATGCAATGGGATAAGGAAGAGATGGAGGCAGAGCGAGAGAAGATGGAAAAAGCCAAAGAGAGCGGAGATGTCTCGGAAGAAGAGTATGATCGGTATGCTGAGATGGACTCGGAGAGAGAGAAGGGAGATGAGGAGGAGGAGACATTCAAGTGCGCAGACGACGATGTGAGTACGCTGAGACAGTTGTGAATCTATTATTACTGACAGGGAGCCAGTCGTTTACGATGGACATGATGCTCAAAACACTCAACATAGACCTCAAGCTCATCGGTTACAACAAGGAAGCGCAAAGGTGGGATGGATGACATTGAAGAATTAAGAGCACCATCCGGTATATTCCCGGCTCGTACCTCGAGTTTGACAGACCCCACCTATACAAGACTTGAACTTGCCCTGTCCATGGAACAGACATAGGCATCATGATAGAACTACACGATACAAACTGTACGTCATCTTTCACAGCTATTGTTGTGCGGAGTAACTTACTATGTTAGGATGAATGTTCACGGCGATACCCTTACCAGCGACAGAGTTTGTCAACACCTAATGCAGATCTCTACGAATGTTGAACGATGCCATGCCTGTGACGTCATTCTTACTCCACACAGTACTACTACACTACTAGCATTACTAATGTTCACGCGCTACGACGGCCATCGTGTTCCTCCAAGTACTCTTGATAACCCAATTCCCAACCTTTCATACCAATCCAATCATCTTCCTAAACAACCTATCCGTTCCAGATTCCCACTCCCATCACCAACCATGTCACTCAAAGGCCAAACCGTCCTCATCACAGGTGCATCAATGGGCATCGGCGCAGCCATAGCCCAGCGTTTAGCCGCCGAAGACGCAACACTCATCCTCTTCGCCCGCTCAGGCGACAAGCTAAAAGCCTTGTCCGACTCTCTCAAAGCCAAGCACTCGAACCTAAAAATATTCCTATCTGTCGTCGACGTCCAAGACCACACCTCCCTCAGCACTGCCATCTCACATATAGTCCAACAAGTCTCACACATTGACGTTTTGATCAACAACGCTGGTCTTGCCATTGGTGCGCCCTCCAAGTTCCCCGACCTCCAAATACAGGACATCATTACTATGACGAACACTAATATCAATGGATACATGTTTGCTGCATACGCCGCATTGAATGAGGGAAAGATGAAAGAGAGGGGCAAGGGCACGATTCTCAATGTCACTAGTACAACGGGGTTGGAGGTGCCGCCATTCCCGGGTGAGGCGGTGTATCATGCTAGTAAAGCTTGTCAGGAGGCTTTCACCAACGTGCTAAGGACGGAGTTGGTGGGCACAGATATCAAGGTGCTTGCGTTACGACCAGGGGTTGTGGCGACGAATTTCCATGAACAGCGGTATGTCGTACATCTCTTCTCGTACATGGTGTGGATCTCGTACATGCTGTTTCCGTGCTCTACCGCTTTTGATCCTGCCGTGGAACTTTGAACTGACAAGGAGTTTAGTGTTGGATACGACAAGGAGAGCTATGACACTTTCATGACCGGCTTCGAGCCTCTTGTTGCTCCTGACGTTGCGGAAGCGGCTGCTTTCATGCTAAGCCAGAAGGATCGGGTTAGCGTGAAAGCGTTGGATGTAGTGCCTACTGCACAGCGGAGTTTACAGGTGTTTGATCGGGAGTGGAATAGTAGAGACAAGGCGAGGAATGAGGAGACGATGAAAAATTGAAAAAGCGTGAGACCGGCGATGGGTATCATTAAGCAGGTTTAAGCTGGATACAATATGCGTAGAGCTTCATAGGTGAACGAGACTTGCATAGAGACGCTACATAAGTACCGAGACATAAAAGAGGTGTGGACCTCCTATATTGGTGAACATGACACACTACAGTTCGCTATCGCGGTACGTGAGAAATGTACATCGATTCATATCACATAACACCACCACCTCTTCTCCCATAAATCCCCTCATAGACGTAGCAAAGCCAGATCGCTGCAAATTCATCACAGCTTCTCTGCATCGTTGATGCCACCGTTTGTGATGATATATGTTGCTTCCTTCTCCGGCATGTCTGAAGCGATGCGTTAGCAGATATATGATCAAATAGCGATGCATGCTGACAGCGTTTCCAACGGGACGTAATACTGTACGGTTGAAGCTATCGTGAGGTACGTACGGATCGATTTCTGGTGTTGTACGTACTGTAGGTCCAAAAAAAGCTCTAAGTACGGGCCGTAACCGTAGTACGTTC